CTAAAATGGAGGATTTGTGCATCTAAAATCGGGATATCATGGGGATATTATGTTGTTTTTCCTTCTGTTCCATCAGGGGGTGCACGGGAGTTGTTTGAGGTGAAGCATGTCCGTGACTAAGAAGCGTTTGGCCGCTGGCATGCTGATTTTCAATTCAAGCATCATCATCATCATCATCATCATCATCATCATCATCATCATCATCCATGCAAATTGGAGGCAACCACAGACCACACAACCAGTACCCGGAATGTCACGTGATTGAAAATGATCATAGTTTATCCACCCAATTTGCCTTTGAGACCTTTCCAGTTGTCCCGTGGTAGATGGCGCCATCTCAGGTTCCAACGTGCTGCAACTTGGGCGAAAGGTGAAACGAAGGAGTATCAAATCTAAATCCGAAGTAGTCGAGGAGGACTGCCTGGATACTTGTTGGCTTCACCAGGGAATGCCAACGGGGTTTGTTCCCTGACAGCCTCAAGTGCTGTCCTATTATGATGAAAGCCGACCTGTGTGAAAAGCTACAAAAAACATGCGACTGGCTGAGAGCTGGCTGAGGATATTTGGATGTTTGCAGACATGTTTGGACCCTTTACATAAGAATTAAGCCGAGAAACTTGTGATTTTGACCCCGCACACATTCTTTTAAAAGCATCCAGTTTAGTTCGTTCCATTTTCCTCCACCTAGACCCTCCATTTGTGCCCATTGAAATGGTGTTTTACCAGATAAAATTGCTACTTCTTTTACATTTTTTATTGTACACGGAAGGTCAAACAGTAGATATTCCATGATATTCCCCATGTCTATAAGGTAGATTCTTCATGAGATTCCCCAATAAACCCTAACCAACAAAATAACATAAAATAGATCATATTCCATGATAACCCCCCTTGATAATTCCATGATTTACACCATGATATTCCATGTCATTGGTTTCTGCATGGTGTCAATATCGACCCAAAAATCGACTCGGCTGACACCGTGGCCCTCTCGCAGATCGCCATCATGCGCTTCCTTCGGCATGAAAATGTGGTGAGGTGCGACATTGCTTTGGGGAAGTATGTCACACGTAATGTGTGAATTGTATGTGAATCTACATGTGAGTGAATCTATGCAATTACTGTATGTATATATATATTTAGATAACCACAAAAAGGATCAAAACAGTATTTCCAGGATGGTATAGGTGACGTGCCCATCGATTTTGAGGTTGCAATGTTTCTATCTTGCTGTGGACTACTATTTTCATGAGCCGCCTAGAACTGTGCGTTTGTGCGTATCGATCTCCTTCATAAACAGGCTAAAAAACAGTTGCTTGCCCGAAAATCAAACTCATGTGTCATTCTCTGATCAAACAGAAAATCATGTTGTTTGGGATAATCATGATTCCTTCATTCCCACTGATGATTTCTAAACAAACCATCATCACAGGTGCTACGATGTCTTCATGGAGGCCCCACCTGGGTGGAGGGCTTCAGTCTGGAGATGTTACCTGCTTTTGGTAGCAACAATGATGCAACTTGGGACTCGGAACCAGCAAAGATATGGGATTTCTTTTAATAACCAACAGATGGTCAAAGATGAGGCTTGAACCAGCATGTATGGGGGAGTATTCGAGAAAACAACTGGCAAAAAGTTGGAGCTTAATCAGCAAGCAAAGAGTTATTCATGTTTTAAACTCAAGATGGATGACTGGAAGTAGCCAAGCATGTCCTCTTCATCAAAAGAGGTGCGTCAAACGGACGCCATGAATTTCATGGCCTTAAATCTGGTTTCGGAATTCCTAGATTTGTTGCATATGATATATACCCTGTATAATCATGCACATACACATCAAAGTGAGAAGATGAACTTAACCGATATACTGATATACATGGTATACACCGTACATGGTGTATACAGGGTATATGGTACATATAGGGTATATAAAGGGTATAACTGATAGGAATCTACCAATCAATATCCATGTTAAACTGGACGGACCCGGACCACGGATTCTTGGAGATGATCCTAGGGTGTTCTTGGTGATTGTTTATCCAGAACTACTAGCTATTTTGATGGTTAATCATTGGTTAATCAATTAAGATGTAATGATCAATATAGCAATGGTTAAATGGTTAACCAATATTATTACATCACATTCTTGTTTATCCTATTTTGATGTAATAATAGTGGTTAATCAATTAAGAAATTATGTGCTATTAATAATGTTTTTCCAATCATGTGATGTTCCGAACTTAATTTCTGTTGATGTGATGTAACAAATTTTCCTTTCCAGGAAAATTCCGACTTTTCCATGATTTTCCAGCAAAACCTCCATGGCTAGGGTTTCTTGCGTGATTTTTTTGTGGTGTTTTCCCAACGCCATGTTTACCATCCCGTTCACCAACCATGACTGGTGATGTTACAGTTACAATAAACCTCCCTTGGGGATAGTTTATTATATATATATATTTATATATTTATCCTCTATTATTATGATCCCACTCTCCCAGACAACTCTTCGTTTTCTGTGATCGACACAGACTATGCGTCTCATGGTAGACCCTTTAAAAAGGAATTGGATGATCAAACTAAGCTGTTCTCTGTATCATTAACCAAAGTGATGATCACATGTAATTCTCGAAAGGTACGTTCTATGTTCTGGTTGGTGAGTGGTTTGGAACATTTTTGTTGTTTCCATATATTGGGAATGTCATCATCCCAACTGACGAACTCCATCATTTTTGAGAGGGGTAGGTCAACCACCAACCAGATATATATATATATTATATAGGTATTATAATCACTATTATGATATATAATCTCATTATAAAGATGATTATCCCATTATAATCACGTTTTGGCTGAAACCATCACGTGGCACCTCTTCTCGTCTTGTTGGATTCATCGCTGGCGAGATCCCCTTGGGTTTCCACTAGGTTCCTGGTCAACGGTCAATCTCTGCCATACTAATAGATATAACAATGCATATATCATGATCAAAAAATGATTGGGAATAACTCTGATGCAAAATCATAGATTTTACCATATATATATATATATATATATATGGTATTTAACTACTATTCCACTCATTCAAAATCGAATTCGTACTACCAATGGTCTTCCCAAATTGCAGCAATCCAAACGATTTGATGGCGATACCTCCTTGTTCCAGTTATTCCAATTTCAGTATCCAATTATATCCCTTAATTGCTGCTGGTTATATCCCATTGTTTTCCCATAATTTCTCATTTTGTCACTATCTCCTGGTTTTATCCCCTCTGGTAGTTTTAAATAGCCATGGGAACCATGGCCCATTTGGGAATGGTTTTCCTTTTTAGAACTGATGTTCCATGTCGCAAACTGCTATATTACCTCTAGAAGGATATATTATCATACCAGGTTCTTCAAAAAAACAGCCTCCACAAGAATCCACATAGATACATACATTACCCCCGCTACCCCCAACTTCCATGTCGTGCTTGGAAGTGCCGAACATCATGAACAGAAATGGCTGTGTTTTTTTTTGAAGACCGCCAAACACATAATTCAGAGTACAACATTGAATTGGGGGACGGGGGCGCCATGACGTCGGCGCCATGACGTCTATTTTCCCATGATGTTTTTCATTATTTGGCTTTGCTCGTAAAACCTCTTTTTACATCAAGTATTTTTTTCATACACATAATATATACATATTCCCACTATTTTCCCTTTATTTATAATATATAGTTATATATATATATATGCTATATGCTATAGCCACTAATCTCCTCATCTCATCGAACAAACCGGGGGAACTCATCAGCCAGGGGCAATTCGTCAGCGTGGTCATGGACCTCTTCAACGGCGGCGACTTGGTGGACGGCCTCAATCTGCACCGACGGGTGCGCGCTCTTCGCCGCTGCGCGGGGTTGAGCCTTTTTTTTGGCCCCGTGGGGCCTCACTTCTAGGAAAAGATGGTGGTAATATGGTGGTTATAGATGATTCCTATGGCGGTTTTATGGTGATTTTAGGATCATGGTGATTTTAATGAAGGGATTTATGGGAGTATGTTGAAATTGCTATGGAATTGCGGCCATCAATGGATGGGAATATGTTCCAAGAGTGGGTTTAGGAATGCCCGAATAGCATACTTTCTGACAATCATATTTGGGTTTGGCCAAGAACAGGATACACCAAAAATTGTTGGTTTAATTTAATCATGATAATCCCCACTCAAATGGCCCTTACGGGTGTATACAACATGTCTAGACACGCCCGATGAAACGTTATATAATGTTGGACACAATGGCGAGTTTGAATAAATTTGCATGCACAAACAAAGTCAATAGATATAAAACTACCTGCCGAAGAAGTCAAGAAAGCACATGAATTACGATCCGAGATTTCGAGAAGTTAAAATGCTTATTGGACAAGCATGGAAAAAGTGGCGGCTAATTTCAATGATCGCTTGTATTTTCTTGTGTTTTTTTCAAGACACATCACTGTCTTCGTTTTGTATTTAGCATTCGGATCAAATGCGGAGTTCTTAAGCGGAAGGTTTTGCATTCCCAAACGCTATGATGATTGCCGGAGTTTCTTCCTTTTTCCCAATTTGCAGCGCAGAGACGATGCAGGCAGTTCAATCAGTTCAATCGTGCCAATTCTCAAAACGGGAGACCTTAGTTTCACCCATACAAGTACAAACAATCCACAGCCAGGGACTGGCGTTATCACAATAAGTCTTCATCAGAAATGCCATTTTTGGATCTGTTTCGAAGATTAAGTTAAGAGGTCGGCAAAACAAATCACAATCTAAAGATGTCTAAACCAGTTTATTGTGGTTTATTACATACTAAAGAAATATTTTGGATTGTCTATCATCCAGATGAGCAATGAGTTGATTGTTGACAGCGCAACCATGTGCACTTCATATCTAAGCGGAGAGCATCTTCTGGGGTGCACATGATTTATTCATACTAGGCTGGGTAGGTGAATTTGTATGTCTTACTGGGCAACAGAAACACACACATATCATTTGTATCATATAGCTATTATATTTCTATCATATATTATATAGTTTTAATTTAGCTATGTTTTATATCATATAGCTATACTATATATACTATATATATATAATATAGGTGCCAATATGTCATAGCCAGCGTTGCAGAACCATCGCATCGTGCAGATTCCAAGCTCGGCTCGCTTCGCCACTTCTCCAGAGAAGTGCCTTTCATCAATGGGCTACCCAATAGTTGGATGGTTTGTAAAAGAAAACCCCAATCTAAATTGGATGATTAAATATCCATATAAGGATCATCAATATGGATTAATGGTTTATAAATCTATATTTCAGGAAATTTCCATATTGTTAAATATTGTGATATATCTAGTCAGTATACCACATTGCGAAAACCAACTATACTCATATTTTAGGAAACCCCCATTCGGGCGTGTAAACCCTGCTGTCCCGTCGATGTTCCAATAGAGAAAAAACACCAGATTTGGGACGACAAGACGTCTTGCCTCCAACCATTGTTAATCATTAGCTATTTGATAACCATGTATAATAACCATGTTAAAGCATTAACCAATATTAATTAACTATAATATTCACTCAGCTATCACCAGTATAAATTATGCATCTTCCATAGCTACTACAATATAACCACTATCAATCTATCAGCTATTATAACCATGATTAACCAATATTGACTACACAATTTCCAAGATTAGCCATAGCCCTAGAATATGAAATCTAATCTTAATACATAACCAATATTGACCATGATCGCCCCAGATAATGAACCAAGACACAACCACTTTTGACCATGTTTTGAACACTTAACCAAGATATATCCTCTAATGTAGGTAAAACAATAATAAACCATCCTCAATTTCACAATAAATAGGTGGTATGGTTATGATTTCCAGTGGTATGGTTACCATTCCCAGTCATGGGCGTGGGTGGCTTATTGTTGTTTACCCCCATTACAACCATCATGAAGAAAGCCAGGCCCAAGGCCGGCTGCGAAATTGGCAGCTGCGCTTGTTGGCCAAGCAGATGACGGCGGCCGTCTGCCATGTGCCGCCTTTCAACTCGGATGATCTTGGGATGGAACTGGGAAGGACGGGGGTTGAAGCATACAGTGATGTAAATGATGATTCTTGGCTCAAGAAGCGCTGAAAAATGCGGATGTTGGTTGCTATAGGAGAGAGAAGTTGGTAAACTCACGTAGCTAGGGCTGATAGCAAATATATCAACATGGTCAATGGGGGTTATAAACCAACAGACGGTCGGGGTCACTGTTACATGATCCAACCTATGGACCTATGGACGAGCCAATGGAAAATATATGAAGAACCTATGGGGTGATGAGTCTTTAGGAACTGGGCCGCCCTGGGCCCCACGATTCCATGAATTCCTTGGCAAACCTTAACCCTGGGAACGTGCAACCCCATTTTTGTGATATTTTGGCTAGTCATATCCCATTGTTCTTGCTTGAATCCGCATTTCTCTTTGTAAAAACTGGCTAATGTCGACCCTGGATCAATAAACCGAGGTTGATCAATTACAGGTGGTTCCTCCAATAATGATAACCTGCTGCTGAGATGCTAGCCCCTCAATTTTTCGCAGTGTGTTGTTTAATTGTCCGGTGACGACATTCTTTTGTGTTGATTATGCGCCCCCAGGAAAATATAAGTGATTATTATAAGATCTGATGATATATTTGATGATCAGGCTATCAATAGATTATCATAGATTATCAATAAATCAATATAAATTATTTAAATTATATCAATCAGGTTGGTATTTGGCTGCAGGGTCAATCAGGGTCAGATCGGAAACACTTCAGGTACATAGCCTTCAGATTATCCACCGGGATGTGAAGGCTGGATGGTGGAGTTCCACAACAAGCTGCCTTTTTCTTTTGCCCAACAGGGATTTAGCCAACATGTGTTTTTTGCCAAACATGGCGGGTTTTAGTCAATAAAAGTACACAGGAGTTTTTAGAAACAGACCACTCGTCATGAATTGATAAGGTCAACTAAGGCTTAGTTGACCTTATCAATTCATGACGAGTGGTCTGTTTCTAACTAAGCGGTCGAATGTTCCTGTTTGTTTGCCTGAGGCTTGATCAGCGGCTATCACCGGTTGCCAACAACTAGCAGCCCCAACAAAAATGGGTATCCCAAATTCTGAGACAACCCCAGATATCCCCAGATCTGAAGTTTTGACTACTTCGAAGAGGGTCAGTGATGATAAACCAAATCTGTGCCCAAGATCCCCCCCGTGGCTTGCCACAGATGGGATTTTGCATCACAGCAGCATACAATTGTATGATGAAAGGCAAAGACAGTAATACACATATTACGTATATTATGATATGTATATATAGATAGATGGCAACAGGCCTGAAAGGTAGATCACAGAGAGGCCTTTTGGCATGTATACATATATATATATGCATATATATATATATATATTTATTTATTTATTTATTTTTATATTTATATGCATATACATATATATATATATATATACATATGATGCGTTCTGTAATGACGTTCCTCACATGTTGAGAACATGTTTCCATACCTCCCATGTCAAAAGTTGTACATGCTGCCCTGAAGCTACGACAGGGTGAGAACTTCTTGTCTGACCGGCCGAACATTGGCGACCCACACGTTCGAGCCGGCTCCCCGGGTCATTCGAAACTGTAAGTGGGCACTGTATATCTAGGCTTTTTTTGGGTGGAAACATCACTTATTGTGGGTTGAATGGCGTGACCCTCAAGATAACGTCAAAACATGTGTAAACACATTGCAGAATAGCCTCCAGAAGATCCCATGCGATTTAGTTTCGCGCCATCTTTTGCTGCTTCGCTGGTGCGCTCGAGAGGCCAACAGTTTGACTTGGGTAAGAAACATATATCCCAGGTGCTCCATGTATGGAATCTTCACCTACGTTTGGGCCATTTTTTGGGGTAAATGTAGGTATATATTCCAGCACCATGGAGCATTTGGGTACTATAAACACCCATTTTTGGAGTTTTACCAAAATCTGGTTATACCTTCCAAGCTTTTGAATTCGAAATCACTACGGGAAAAACTGACGCTCCGTGATGACCGCTGCGATGGCTCAGTTCCGGCGATGGTTCAGTGCCATGGCTTCCCCATGTGGGCTCGTGCTCAAAGTGCCTGGATGGAAACAAAGAACCCGGACCATCAGCCGAAAATCTTGCATAGTAATCCCCAAAAAGAAGAAGGATGTAGAATGGTAAAATCGTTGAAAATAGTGGTCAGTGAATGTAAATGTAGTTTTCGATCCTGTTTACATTTGTTCACTCTACCCCAAACTTCCATTCCCATTCGGTGCATGTGGGGGGCCTTGAATCTCAGTCCAACCCGAATTCTTAGACTATGGACGAGCGGCTGCTGACGTAAACCAAAAAGCTTTGTTTCTCTTGGATGTATATAGACCTTTTGTACGAGCCTCTCAAGCACCCCAAAGGTTGCTACGAGATGACAATTCCAAGAAAATACCTTCGTGGATGCGTCAAAACCTATGACACTGCAAGTATATATATGTAGGTCCCCGAACAGTGTGTCCACACTGAGGGGTTCTTACGGTAGCTGTAAAGGCGGGTGCCTGATCAGGGTGCTCACTCTGGGCCCCGGCATTTTTCCTGTAAATTTCCTTATAAAGTGATTTTTGTGATATGTTGATGGGCATTTCGACTGCGCAGGCTCGCACAAAGTGTGGGCCGTGGTTTTGGGGAACGCCGTTTTTCCTGTAAGTTTCCGTATAATGTGGCGCAGGCTCGCAAAAAGTGTGGTCCTAGCTTCTGGGCCGTGGCTTCATCTTCATCATCATCATAATCATCATCATCATCATCATCATCATCATCATCATCATCATCCCTCTCCCCACCATCATCATCATCATCATCATCATCATAATCCTTTCTGAATTTTCATGCTCATGCGCATCCTCCTCAACATTATCATCCTTATCCTCATCCTTCTCATCATTAACCTCCACATCATCCTCCTGCACCTCATCATCCTCAATATCATCATCCTCAACATAATCGTCCACAACCTCATTATCATCATTATCCTCCTTCTCCTCTTCCTCCTCCTCATCATCATCATCACCACCACCATCATCATCATCCTCAACATTATCCTACATTATCCTTCCACTCCCCCCACACTGTTTGGGGTCTCTTGCCGGGATAATTGTTTTTTGGGGTTGAGATGAACATCTATAAGCAGATATAAAGCACCAGATATTTGGATTTAAAAAAAGGGTACCATGGTTTTTCAGTCATAGCCATTTGGGTTTCCAAAATCACGAGCAGTCTCACAGGTGCTGTTTCTGCTGCCTTGCCTCAGCAGTACCCAACAGGTGCTACCTGGGAGGACGGCGCTGAACATTTCGCATAGGTGGTGCCATCCCAGTTTTGTTGGTTAATTAATTTAGATCCAAGAAACTAAAAATGTATCATGATATATGATATATCTACATCTGGTTGCGAGTCAAAATGTACAGCCCGATGCATACCCTGAACCGACAAGCAGATCCATACCCCCGATCCATACCAAACGCAGGCGATCCAGACCGATCCATACGTCTGGATCACCGCGGGCCAGTCCATACCCAAATTTTGACGCAACCCCATATATCTACCATAAACCCAATACTTATTGGAATCATAAGCCAACTTAGCTAATTAACGACCTGGGGCACCACCTTGTAATTATGGAAAGTGGCCAATGTATGGTTGGCCCATCACCCGTTACGTAACATGGCGAACTGGAACATTACGATTTAAAAAATGGCACCTCATGTTTATCATCTATGAATGGGCAATTTTCCATAGATGTGCCAAATCACCAGAGGGCCTTTCTGTGAACATCTGTAAACATTGTGATTTTCAAAAAAAATATGTTGATTTGCCAGAAGGTATTTCATGAGAACATATTAATACTCAGTAACAATGTTTGGTCACATCATGTCACGAAATGTGTTCGGCTATGTCAATGTATAGGAATGCTATAGGAATGCTTCAAATCTATGTCAATGGTCATCTTGGGTTTTACCACCGCCCAAAATCTTGGTGTTAAGAATGAATGTTGTGGTCGTTGAATGTTTAGATTTTGTTTCCTATCCACTATACTGACTATAATGTAAGTGTTTTATTCTTATTTGAACAACAACATCCGTTCTTATAGACTAATGTTGTTGGTCTAAGCCTAAGTGTTTTGTTTTTTGCCTCATTCAATATTTTATTGACTCAATTCTTTATCGGGTTTAACCAGCCGAGTAATACAGCCTGATTGTCCGGAGTGCAAGACCACAACTACCAAACATGTAGTTAGCATATGCATCCAAAGATTTTAGCTTCATTTGTCCTTCTCCAGCATGTTTTGCCTTTCAGGTCATGTGGAGCATTTTATCATAGAACCTAACATGGAGCATGGAATGCAATAAAGTACGTTTGTAAGATCAGGTTCCTGTTCAGTTTACGACCTGTAAGACTTTCGTGTCCCATTTTGAGAGCAGATCTGAGTTTAAGCTAGCAATCCATGCGCAGAATCCCCCCTTCGTAGGTAAATGATATGTTGTTCAAACACATCAAAAAACAGTGAGTGAAACACATTTTTTCTTGACCATCACGTTTCCTTCCACTGGAAATTTCAAGAGCATATTGTTTGATCAACAGAAGGAAGCAAACGCTTGCCGCACTCAAATCATCTACCAGGTTGAACATCATTGCTGCCACTTCCGAATTCAACCGATTTTCCATGAAGCTCACTAGATACTGGATCATCATCATATGTCATGATGTCATGATGTAACAGCCATGTCACTTGTATATGTCTCGTCTCAATGATAGTAATTTCTCAATGTTCTCAATTTCTCTTAGTACTCTTGATCTGCAAAAATCACGTTCCCCAAACTGCTGTATATCATTTCCCCGCAAAAAAAAACAAAACCCAGATGACAGACAACTCTAAACAAGCATAGAAAACACCTCTAAAAATCACCAAACAAGTCCGATTCATGGTCATTCAAAAAACACTTCAGGTCCGTCTCCCTTTTTGGTCCAGGTGACCTTAGATCTCCCTGTTCTTTAGGCGGATGCGCTGCTGGCCGACGACGAATGTCGCGATGCCAACGGCCAGCCCTGTGCCTTGAGCACCCTGCAGCTGAACGGCCGAGGCGCTACCGAGACGGTGGTGCCGATTGGCAGAACTCCATCTCCCATTACCCATAGGATCCATGGTGCTGCTAACATTTACCATCAATATACCCCAAATGTAATGTTAGCATATATAGCATACATGGATCCTATGGGTCCTGGGTTATATGCCATGAAACGAAATGGCAAAATAGTAGCTATATGTAGCTATGAATAGCTTTCAAGATCCAAATGATAACACACATAGATACATAATTATAAAATATATAGTGGTATCATGCAAGATATGCAAGGTGGTGTCCCTCCAGTTATGTTTGTTGGTATAGAAACCATAGCAACTAGGCTGATATATCTTCCATAAACCCAGCACTTAGTGGAGCTATCTTTACCAACTAAGCAAACGACCTAGGGCTCCACCTGCTGTTGATTGGTTACCATAAGGGGTTATAGTGATTGGAATGTGATTGGAATATCCGAGACAATTATACAAGCCCAAGTAACACCTACGAACCAACCAGTATAATGTGATGAAATCGGGGTAATTACTCTTCATGGATCACATAGGGACTGAACCATCAACAATGGTGGTCATCAATAACAGTTGGACAATGGTGGTAAAACATACGTGTACATTTTTTTAGTCGAGATGGTTGAACAAATGATGTAACATGATGTAACATTGTAAGAGGTAGTTCTCAAGCCCAAGAAGATTTATGTGGAAATCTTCGGATTCGAGCTTCATATGTTTGGTGTTGTACATGTTGAAATTGGGAGATAAAATCATCAAATATTTGGTGAAGTAACGGACCGTCCAGCCCTTTTCCATGTGATTGGTTTGAATTTCATTCTTGATGGGCTGTTTGGGATGTTAACTATCATTTGGATCTTGATAGTTGAATAGCTACATGAGCTACTACTTTGCCTTTGTTCCTCAAGTTTTTGTGCCTGTACCGACTTGATAGGTATTGTGCGGGTCAACGGATTGCTTGCACATATTTACGGGACATTCCATTCTGTTCTATTTGTCTTCTGTTTTGTTGTGACACTGGTTACAGTACCAACATAAAGCATTCACACTACTTCTGACAGTACATACACATCCATGAAATACGGGTCCGAATGCCTGAAGAACACAACGCTTCTGATTCCCGTAATGCGGGTGAAAAGACAGACAGCCGTAGCCTATCCTTTTGCAAGACAAAATTCGAAAAAGGCGACTACGCAGGGCACTGTCAGCACTTGCCTGTTGGAAACCAGCTTCTTGATTTTACAAAAGGACCATGACCATGGCAAGAAATTTGATACATTCCCGCTTTTTCGACAAACCAATATATCCATATTTGAATTACTAAAAAAAATGTATATCCCATTGTATCCAAAAATAGTATGATTAGTTTCATACCACATGTTTTGTTGCTTAAAGATACCATTTGATTTTTGTTGGTCAATCCCACATTTGTTGTATGATTCATTGTATGATTAAACCCTTCTTGATGTTGGTCAAATCCTCCAGAATATCCATGATTGGTGAAATTTCATGGATCATCCAAATCTTTTTTGGGTTGAATCGTTGTGTTTGCTGGTTTTTGCTGCTTAAATCACCATTTTTGTAGACCATTTTGGTCGGTTAAATTATGTTAAATTATCATGTTTGTTTGTTAAATCAAGCCCCTTCTTTGACAAGCAGCGCGCATCAGCCGCGCAGACTCCTCCGCTTCCACGGCCAGGCCGTGCATTGGTGGGCTGTCACACCACGGTGCGAGGGGAACGATGCTTCCGAGAGGCAAAAGGGACGGGGGTGGCGGCCATCGTTCACACTGCAGATTGGCCATGATCTCTATTATTTGTCTGGTTGGTGGTTTCAAACATGACTTTTATTTTCCATTTCATATATGGGGTGTCATCCTTCCCATTGACGAATTCATATTTTTTCAGAGGGGTAGGTCAACCACCAACCCAGTTGTCATATTTGGATGAATTGTAACCTCACTGTGACGTCACTGAAATGATGGTTACGGTTTAGATGTGAGGAATCATTGCCAAATGGCTCCCCCAAGTGTTCTATTTTCAGCTCAGCTATATAATTCTTAGAATTTCAGATGTTATATTATATATTTTACTTTTATATATAATATATATTATAATATGCTGAATCCATGTGTAGTGCAATTTTCATGTAAATATCCTTTGCATATATACAATTATATACATTATATACATATACACATATACACATATTAAATATATGTATACATGTACATGTACAATAGTGTTTGCATGTGCAGATTGTTCTGAGTATATTCCCCAGGATGGTTTAATATACCTTGCTTAAGGCTTGGTGACCCCACATGTTGGTGGTTTCTTGGTAGTTGGGTGAATGTACCATGGACTCCATGGACCATGGATGATCATGTTTTGAAATATGTACACTCCTCTACAAGATGACCAGAGCGTTTGCATCAATTTTCGTCTCAATACCATACATTCCAACATCACGCCCATCAAGCCCTTGAGATGTTGAAACAGACTTTGTTTATGTCGTGTGACTCAACCCCTCACCAGTACTGTCCTCTATATCTTCATCTTGAAGATGTCACCCTGCGTAGCAACCCTTACGCCTTCGCGCGCGCAGATTCAATGGGCTCGGACGGTTGGCATGCGCCCGGAGCCCTGGTTTGACCCATGTTTCCCGATGGGGATGTTGAAGCTGAAACCAGCCCTGGTGGATTAGTCAGGGCTGAACAGAACATTGCTGAAACTTCCAGATAATCCAAAGAATTACTTCAAGAATTGTCAAGAATTACATCATGATAGGTTTATTGTCTATACGTAGTACAGTAATACGTAGTTTTGTTTCCTGTTCCCCGGCAGGAAGATCTAAACTCACCATTGATCAGTGTCACGCACCAGGTAGAATTTATGGTATGCCGGATATGGTCACCGGACCTCCGTGGTTTCTCCGAGCGGTTGGAACCTTCCGAGGTTCACATCCCGAGTGGTATCCTAACTTGACGCTGGAGTCGTCCTTGTTGGACTTTCAGAAGTTCCTCTACGAACGCTATCCAGGCGGACGCGAGAAAAATCGCTAGGTAAACAGATCTCCAATAAGTGTTGGGTTGCTGGGGATATCTTTGGGGCCGCGGTTTGGCAACCAATTTCTAACCGCGGGGGGGCACTACACCTTGTAGAAACCATCCCAAGATGGTGCTCAGATGGGACGCGACGGAGTTGTTCGACAAACACGTTCAAGACCCTGGGAACGCAATCGTATTGGTGGATATGAAACATCCAAGGAATTCAAGGTCTTGAGTATGGAGGGTGCCAGGTTCTTCTCTCGGGATCCCAGAAAATGTTGGCCATCTTTCCCGTTTTTGCTGGTTGTTTCCTCGCGGTTTCTTGAAGTTGAAGATGATCTACTCAGTGACGAATCCAGGCCAGAAAATGCCCAATGACCTGACACTAAACCCCTGAATTGTGGATTATCACGACTGGTAAAATCTGGAAGTTTCCTAAGTCATGGGGGTACCCCAAATCATCCCATTTCAATAGTATTTTCCACTATAAGCCATCCAGCTATTGGGGATCCCAAATTTTAGGAAACCCCCATGGGCTGCTGTCGGTGACAGGCAAATGTCCCATCCCTTGTGGGGTGCCGTGTGGGAACCCAGGGGATGGCGTGAGGCTTTAGTTGTGATGGAACTTAAGCACAAACTTACCCTCTGGTAATTTAACATAGCTATTGAAAATGGCTAGTTATAGTGGATTTTCCCATTAAAAATTGTGATTTTCCATAGTTATGTTAGTTTACCAGAGGGTAACCAATAATGGGATAGAAAACTAAACTTAAGTGACTTAAACATTACTTAAAGCAAGTTTTGATGGGACTACTTAAACATAAACAACACTTATCAAGACTTGGTGGGGTACAAAGTGAAACTGAACCCCTTTGGCTTTCTAAGTGAATATGTAGACTATTATGTTGCAATTTCTAGGCGCGCATCTCGTTTTTCAGTTTGGCAGTTAGCCTAGGCACCGTTTCAACCACAACCCAAATTTGGTGAAATGAACCAGAGGAGGGATAAAGACATGCTAGTTTAGCTGGATTTCCTTGTTATTTTTTTGGTGGGTTGCTATAAATGAAACAGACTCATCGGAGAGTTCCCCCCCACTCAAAGCTGATTTGTGAATACCTGGAATTCGGCGTCCGTGTTTTGATTTTCAGGACTATTATTCTATAGACTATAGAATATAACTGTAGGCATTATTGGCCACCTTGTTCTTGAATATGTTCTGTCTCTCAGAGTTTCAGTTTCAAGAATCTCTTAGTCATAGAACTGGATGATGGGACAATTTTAACCGGAAACCCCTATATTTGATGGTAAAAACCATGGTTTCCTATAGATTTTCCCTTACCCCAATCCATTGACATATGGTTCTCCTATGGTTTTCCTATGGTTTTCCCATGGTTTTCCTATGGTGACCGGTTTCCCATCGCGCAGTTTGCCTCGGAAGTGGTGCCTCTGGCCCAACGCCACCAACCTGTCAGCGCCTTCTGCGGGGCCGGCGCTTAGCATTAAGGCGGCTGGGAAGTTGTGTGGCTTGACATTGATGATAATTGAAATTCATACCACTACAAATACCACTATGTCATCAATAAGGGACATACAAATGGCAAATTTCCTCATAGTGGTATATATTTTACATAGTTGACATTGGTTGACATTGTTGATAATTCATAGGATTTCCCATTACATACCACTATTTTTGGATGGGATTGAACCAACCACATATTTAATGGGATGTAATGGGATGTAATGGGATATGTTGCCAGATCCCTTTCAACAAATACATTATATATATATGGGGGCAAGTCAAAATAGGAGGTCCGGAACAAGCTCCGGGACCACACCCGTTCCATACCCCCGTTCCATACCTCCTTGAAGGATCCGTTCCATACCTCTGTTCCATACCTCTGATCCATACGTTATTATATTATTATATATAATAATTATATATATATATACAATTATATATATATATATTTGATTATGTGCAATCTGATTTTACATTTGTATGCACATATATGAGCGCACGTACATACATGAGTGCATACATGCAAGAATACGTTTACTATGCCCAAGCCCTGTGATTGTGTTGGCAAGTCTGTGCCTGCAGCACTTACAGCTGCTACCTACTTTGTTGTGTGATGGTAGGGATGTGCTTGGCTGCTGCCAGCTGGCAGTCTAAGAATGGATTGCTTGTAACCCTCCCTCCCTCTCAACCTGTGGCAGGTTTGTGCCTGCACCACTTAAAGTTGCTGCAGGCTGTGGCACAGCTGTGGTGTTTGATTGTAGAGATGCGCTTGGCTGCTGCCAGCTGGCAGTCTAAGAATTGCTTGCTGCGCTATTCTCGCTCCAAACTGCGAATTTTGATAAAGATGTGCTGCGTGGTGGCAGTGCTGTGCTGGAGTGGGCCGTTTCGTTCCAGACCCCGTTCCATACTGTTCCATACCCGTTCCAGACCTGGACCACCCATGTACCACCCCTGACCCACTGGTGAACACATCGCATGTTCTCACATAGACTGCTCGTAAGCCATCCTTTGCGCGTGGGTTATGGGAGGGTAGAGTCTTGCTATGCAGGGACACAATCTACCCCATAGGGACCTCTGAGTTTTAAGAGTAGGGGGTGGGACCTGCGTGACAGGTCTGAAGCTGAGTCGACAGCTTCACATGGTAGCCAGTGGGTGACACTGGCTACCGGTCGTGTCGTATCTAGTGCACGAGCACTAGCCATGCAAGGCAAACCTGCGTTGAACAGGTGTACAACAAGGATGTCGTGCAGATGAGGAGTAGTTTCAACGTGCATATCCTTGAGATGTATATTATATATGTTACATATAATGTATATATATATTTATATATTTATATTTATTTATTTATATTTATTTATTTATATTTATTTATTTATATTTATTTATTTATATTTATTTATTTTATTTATTTTTTTATGTATAGCCTATATTTCATCACACTCCAAAGGTCCGGAACAAGACCAGTTGCGAAGCCCCTTCGTTCCATACGTCCGGAACACCGCGGAACGTTCCATACACAATTTTGACTCGGGACCATATATATATATGTAATCTATCCCACAGCGATGAATCGCTCCTGGGGGTACCACCTCGAAAGAAAGAACGGAAACCACCTGAAACCACCGCCTTTTATCATGGGTTGATCTGATATATATTCGTCAAGGTATAGTTCTGTCCCAAACTACTGGCAACATCCACATATCTTCAACAAAATGCATCTTCAAGATTTTTCAAGTATGGTTGTCAATGGAAACCAACAGTGCTGTTTCTTTTGATCGCATGAATTTGCGTGGAAGCCACTATTTGAAAGGATTTGTACACAAACAAAGCAAACAACCTTTATGGTAGTGTCCATTGTGGTCAACGTTTTTTTTTTAATGTGATGGATTACTTTTTTCAGTGTTTTCCAAAGTTTATCCATTTTTAATGGTTGCAATCCATGCTGATCACAATCTTGACACCCAGGTTTTGTGCAAACTAAGTGAGATATGTCCAGTGTTCAGTAAGGTTGGAATTGTGGGACGGAAAAATCATTGTACGATAGGAAGAAGATCCCTTGAAAGGTTTGATATTTCCAGTGCCGGGCATTTCGAAACAAAATGACCAGGGAAAAAGTGCATGAAACCAACATGAGAATTTGGGATCATGTCGGCAATTGGACACTCAGCGGGGCCGCTAGCCCATGTTCAACTATAATTGAGAAAGCCGATTTTGATCATATATCACAAACTTACCAGATGATGGTCACTGAATTTTGCAAATGCTTCGTATTGCTTTGTGCATCTTACTATTGAGTTGGATGTACCCAAGACATCCCAGTTGCAGTCAAACGCTACAGGTCCTTTCCTACAACCTCTTCTGGTGGAACCTCTACCGCGTCAGACAAGGCGTCAGCATGTCTTATCCCCTGGCCAAAGTTCATGTGCTCCAAGCAGCCAAAAAAAGGCAACAGATAAAAGGCAAACATGGAGGTGGGCCCGCAAACCCAGCAGAGTATGGTAATGTAGCAAGCAAGATATTAAGTTTCAGCTGCTAGTATGGGTTGAGAATGAAGGTTCAAAAAACGAACATGGGTTGACGCTATGAGTATTCAACTAAAACATTGGAAAACAATGGTAAAAGGAGGATGCTAGGACAGTTCATGTTAGTATTTGATGATATTTGATGTATGTTGGCTGTTATGGTTTTTATTGTTATTGTTCAATGTATGTTCCTTGGTGTTGATGTTCTTTTCCTGTGGGGATTGAAGGACATTCACCAGCAGGGATTCCTTTCAACATCAAGGGTGGCATTAATATTCTACATTCAAACAAACATTGTTGATTCTTGGCTTTTCAGAAAGGATGCCTGCACTTGCTTTGGGAAAATCTTTAAGATCTTTTGGTGGCCGAATTCCAGAGTTTCCATCTCCCATGTTTCTCTACAGGCTTGGCCCAGGATGTCCCAGGATGTTTTTGGTGATTTTCAGCAGCAAAAAAACGTCCAGATGGCGCTAGGTGAAGGCGACAGTGCGGGCAACTTGATCAAATCAGAGATCTCCGAGGCGATGGGCGGAAGAGGTGATCTGGCGGGAAATGAGGAACAAAAAAGAGGCTTTCGCGGGCGTAAAATAGGCGACTTTACATCAAAGGCACAGTCCGACTCATTGATGACCATCCTAGATCCAGTGATTTTATGATTTTACTGCTTTTGGAGTAGTAGTTTGAGATCGGTGAGGGTCAAGGTTCAAGCAATCATAGAATTGCAGCAAGAAAGCTGATGAACAAGTAATGGTACGCACACTTGACCAGCAAAACCGGGCAGGAGTTTTGTTAGCATATTTTTTGTGTTTCCGTATGTTTTTTCCATGTTTTTTTTGGTTCCCTACATATATCTTGATTTTCCCTATATAAGGTTGTTCATTTGCTCTCCCTCAGCATATGTTTTCTCCTCCAGAAGCACTGCGAGATGCTGCGATCACAGGATCAACCTTTTGACGTCATGGGTTTTCAAGAGTGCGAAAGCGGGATCCGCGTTTTAGAGCCCGTTCCTGGGTTGGAAGTTGGTACGGGAAGGCATAAGAAGTAAGGTGTCAAAGTTTCCCTGGTGACACATAAAGAACTTGCAACACGACTGCCAGTGTCAAAATTTTGGCCAGGCACTTGATAATGAGTTGTTTTCTTTTTCTGTTTGGGCGGATCATACCAATCGGACAATTTGATTTATACAAGAGATTCCACCCGGCTTTTGGCATATATTGATGTCCTGGGTCTCTTCGCCAAAAAATATCATATACGGTATTGGCTGAATACGCATTTCCTGTTGGTTGGGATGTGTACGTATTTTATCTATTATATAGTGTCTGTCAATGTCATTCAATGTCTATTTATGCAATAAATTAGATATACCGTGATGTCATGTTCCAGCTGTTAGTGTGCCCCAGAGATATTGGTTGATATTGATTGCGTTTTGTCTCCACGTGTTCAATCTATGGAACATGATAACATGCTAAAGCCAAAAACAAACCTACCATAAGTGTTTATTCATGAGTGTTAACCACCCATTTCCGGTAAGTCGATAATATGTTTTTTTGTTTTAAATAAAATTGCTTGTGTTTAACATCATACTAGTTCAGACATATCATGTTTGTTTAATGCCGCTTAACTTCACCATTTGTAAAATATACATAACATGAAACAAATGATTGTTGATGATGAATATGTTTATTGTATTGGTATTTTACCAAATTATTCTAAACATATACCCAATTACATATTCATTAATCACCCTAATTGTCTTACTCTCAAGGGTATTCCCAGTTCATGATTTTATTATTCCTATTTCTTAAATTGCTATATAAACTTTGTTGCTGAATATTAAGTTACTATTTGTTTTATCTTATATTACATATTATGCATTGCCCATGTTGTTGTTATTCCCTACATGACTCTCCATATGTGTGCCTTGGTGAAAACATTGGTTACTTTCCCACTAAAGGGAATGGTTATCAATCCATTGGAGGAATTATTTACCTATCATAAGGAATCCCACTCATGATTGTGGAATGACCATAACCATCCATAACCTATGAATCTCATCTTTGCTCCAAGTGTTGATGTTGTTGATGTTGTTGTAATCCCCACTATCCCTGCAACCCTTCTTGATGATGATACAATCTGTTGTTTATCCGATCAACATATTATCTTGAGACACAAGTCTGACAGATCAATAAGCCTAAATTCCCCATTACAAACCCAGTTTCATTTGACCATTGCATTCCACTGATAATCGGATAATCCCACTAAATATATCCCCATCATCCTCATTATAACCCCATTATATAATGATTCTAGTATAGATAGATATATTACATCCCATTGTAAATATAATCCCATTAATTAAAATCCTCATCATAATCCCATTATAATCCTTATTATAGATCCACAATAATGGGATCCTCCTTATCATAGGATATTATAATCCCATTATTCTACTATAATCCCATTATAGATATGAATAGAGATATTACAACCCAAATGATAATCCCATGATTTCTATCCCATGATTTCCATCCCGTTCTACAGTATCTCCCAAGACATACCGCGTGTTGAGGTGGGCCTCCTCGAAATCTTTGAAGTTCTACAAGGACCGGCGTCGACGTCGCTTCCGTGGCGAAGTGGTGCTTCTAGGTTCCGGAAGTGATGGTTTACTGGGTTTTGGTGGGAACATAATTGGGATAAATCCTGGGATATCATGGGAATATGTTTGACACACATGCTTTGAATGCAGGTACAGTAGTTATACCCCCGAGAAATTACACGTTTAAGGATGAAAATTGCGATACTTGGATACTATATTGTCAGAAAAAACACGTATTAAACTATGGAAGTGGTGAATAAACATGAATAAGCCATAATTAAGGCAGTAATACGCAATATATATATATATATATATATTATAGAGAGAGAGAGAGATAGAGTGAAGGGAGGAGAGAGAGAGAGAGAGATCCTCCACCGTCAATGGTACCGTTTCTTCAACTACAACAGCGGAAAAAGTGAGGTCATGCGCAGCAAAGTAGTCAAAAGTACCCAAAAAATTGGGTAACGTTAGAAACAACTCCAACTAAACTAGGGTTTTAGGGTTACTATGTTTAGAGAAACCAGCTTATAACTGGGGGGCACCACCTTGTAGAATAATAGATGTTTTCGGGTCTGGGGAGATCATCTGCACACGAATCCCATCCCCAATATTGAATACCGCCCAGACGCCCTAGCCCTGGGAATGCATTGCATCTATTCATCGATAAAATTCGAAGAGGAAGTGAAGATATCCAAGGAGAAATGACTTATCCCGTTCAAAAAATCACGATGTATACAATCTACTTAACAAGATGGCCTGCCAAAGTGGGTAAATCATGTTCCAACCATTCCGCTTCAGGGTTATTGACAAACCATCAACCCTTAGGGGTTTGTTAAACCACACTATCGGAGATACCTGCAATGCCTGGCATCCTGGATAAAATCGCCATGATTGCCACCATCAAAGAACCAATGAAAAATCCATGGTTTTGCTAATGTTATTGATAACATGTTACTGGATAACCATCACAAGAACCATTTTACCACCACAACATACGTTAAATAAACATATATATATATATACATATATACATATATATATATATATATATATGCATCATTATCACCGCGATACGCATGATATCCACCATCAAACAACCATCACCAAACATAAACTAACCATCAAACAATGGCCATATTGAACAACAACAACAACATCAACAACATCAACATCAACATCAACAACATATACCCTAATACATCCATCAAACAACGTTGCACACCAATGCCCCAAGCACCAGGACCGCACGCCACCTGTTTGGCATACCGCAAGGGTTGGTGGCGAAGCCTGGCCAATGGTAGCATCGATGTGGGCGAGGCAAGCGACGCGTTGGGCGGTGCCTTTTTGCGGTGGGGAAATGGCTGATGAATGATAGTTAATACATGTTAGTACCCAATCAATGGGGAATTTAAGCATCAAACAATTGATGATCCAGATGAAATAGTATGAAATGACAATTTAAACATGGAGCGTATGGTAGATGTTGATGTATACACTTTGGCTTGTCCGGAAATAGGATCTACCCCCAATGTACTGCATCGGACAGACCCTGGTCACGGTCATTTTCAAGCTTAGTTGCCTTGTTCGGAAATGGATGTGTTTCCTCTTATGATTGTGTAAGTGGCCGGTTCAGATTGTTCGCATCAAAAGAATGATGTGGAACTGGCTTCCAACACGGAACAATTAACATGGTTTATTGGAACTCTATACTATATTTCACTTGAGCTTGATTCACTTCAATCCCAGTCAGTGTTAGTTCTGAATCCCATATGCACGTGATGAGGACGACAATAGGTCACCAGGCAAATTACTGTAAGGTTTACCTAGATGAGTAGCACTTGGCCTTCTTAGACACCCCGTTTGTATTCGCCAAAAGTCTCTCGAAATCATGGATAATGTTGGTAAAGCAATAGTAAACCATCCCCAATTTTACCATAAATGGGTGGCATAAAATGGGTTGTATAAACCATCAAAACATGGATGTTTGGATGGTTTGTTATTGCCTTACCAACTTACTAACAGATTAGTTTCATATTAGGTGTATTCCCAATATTCGCTCATTTTTCCAGGTACATTGGAGGGTTCTGGCCAAGATTTGGACAGGACATGCGGTCTCACTACTACGGAAGGCGAGGTGTGCAATGGATTCGCTTGGAGCACAACACCACGGGACGACGCATGGCACATCTTGGCTCGGTATAGCCTGTCTTATCGGTAACTGTATGGAATACCCTCCAGTACCTTAACATAGCTATTGAACATGACCATTTATAGTTGATTTACGTATCAAAAATGCTGATGTTCCACAGCTATTCTAATTCTAGTTTACCAGAGGGTATCTAATTGAACACTGTTCAAAACCAATGTTGGTTGATGATTATATTTTTATTACCCAATATATTGGGGATTTTCATAATCCATTATATATTGTGGGAATTCTTATTAAACAGGCAGTATGCTTGGAAACGGCAAAAGGGTTTTGAACACTGCTGAATTGGTATATATGTGTTTATGGGGCAGTGTTTCTAGTAATATCAATTACCATCCATTGCCCAGTTTGATTGGGATGTGCAAATGTACTAGGAGCAAACATTTTGGACAATGGATGGTACATTCACTATATGTTCAAGTGATGAGAACCATGCACTTTGGAACCATGCAAATTGAACATCGAACTCTCCAAAAATCCATCACCAGGGGCACTTGGATGCCTTATTGCCATGCTGAGGTGCTTCCTACCAACATGTTAGCTTTTTCAGGGGTATCTAAGTTGTCCATGAATTGCACATTTCTATGGATGAACCGCGAACATGCTCTTTTCATTTACAATCGTAGTGCTAGCGATATCACAAAGTTATATCCTGCATTTCTGTTTGCCGCCATTGGCTGGCTGAATCCGAATCCAATTCATGTTGGTTTCCACATTCCCATCCTGTGCGTAGAGTACAAGGTGGTGCTTCCCAAGGTAACTATGAATATATCTACCATAAACCCAACAGGTATTGCAGTTATAAACCAACTTAGCCAGGTATGGGCTTAGCTCATTGCAGTTTCCTTCCGAGCCAAGGAAAATTGCTCTTCATGAACCACCACGGTCCCCTGGAGATCAATTCTGGCGGTTCCTGTGGCGGCCCCTCTATGGCCAACAATATCCTGCGGGTGATGCAGAACCAGTCACAACCAGGTGTGCCCGGGGAGCTGGAAAATATTGGAAAATATCCATTTGGCTTCGTTTTGTAATAGAGTACTCCCATTTTGTTTTTTGTTTGTTTTTTTTCCGATATGTAGTGTGTTCCTTGATGTTATGTTCCTTCTTTTCATGAAACAATGCAGTTTTATGCAATTTTGGGATATACGATATACGCAACTCATTCCTATTGAAGCACGTGTCAGGTTCAAAGATACCCAGCAGTTAGTCTTGACTACCCAAGCTGCACGCGTTTTTTATTTATTAAAAACATTGGGTTGAGGAAGAAATGTGTGGCCTGAGTAGTTCAAGCAAGTTTCTTTTTCAGTGATCAAGCCGAAAAGCCAGGTGACGCGGTGATTCTGGTGGGTGACTTCAATGCCAATTCAGCATCCCTGACCATCCAGGCGCCCGAGATTTGTCGCAGTCAACTGGCTATACAGAGTGGCGTATCCCCTATGTTTGGACCCTCAAAGATCAAAGAGTGAACTGAGTGAACTGAGTGAACTGTGATGATCACCTGGATGCTTGGAAAGTGTCATCACTTTCCGCAGGACACTTGAAAAAGTCGATCCCATTCTGAGCTGAACCATGCCAGGCCTTATGGTCTCGAATGGTCTTGCTGCAAAGTGGAACATCTTTTGGAGGAGTTGCACCTTGGTACTTGTATAGTTGACGTTAACTCGGAGAGTTCTTCACCCCTGTCATATCCTGTCATGGTGTAAAGATCCCTGCATGTTCTGGGCAAAATCATTTGACTGTAGGGTGGTAAGAACTACTCGGGGCCATTGAAATGGCCAGGTCGACCTTGAAATAGAGTTGTCATTTCAAACAATATAAAACAATGTTTGGCCCAAACCCGGCGTGAGGTTTGAAGTCACGTCGGTTTTTTGGAATTCGACTTGCGGCGTTTTGCTGAGGACAATATCTTTGGTAACATGGATTCCAACTCTGTGATTAGTCGCAAGAACTTGGGGAGTGGAGGCGCACAGCATTGAACAGCCTGGATTGGACTGGATTTATGGTCGTCACTGCAAGACAACATGTGCGCAAATGTTTTCTTGATACTTGGTGGATGGGCAGATATGTTTAAAAGAATCATCAACTTTCAGATTGTGCTCAAACTCTACTGCGACATTCCCTTTAGTTATAGTCATAGTCGTTTGTTTCTAACCCATAAATTATTCCGATATGTAATCATTTAGTACCCCAGTTAACTAATTTTCAATCTATATTTTAAATAATCACATAATCACGTTCTTTCCTGGACAATCTTCCATTTTATAGATGATTTTCCCATGTTTTCCTACATTTTCCCATGAACATCTCCCATTTACAGTGGATTTCCCCATCTTTGACACCCCTTTTTGGCCAGGTAGCGACCACGACGCCATCGCCTGTACGGTGGCTCTGGGGAATCCCTTGGCGAACGGCAGCGCCCCGGCCCCGGTGGCCCCGGTGGCGCCGGTGGCGCCGGTGGGCGCCATAGGCGATGATCCCATCACGGTCAGGGCCAACATCACGGGGATCTCCACGGCCGTGCAGGCGAAACCTGTCATGGCTGAGGAGTTGATGACATTTTATGACCAAGACTAGGGCGACTAGGGCTAGGGATTGATAAGCAGAAGAAAGCTGAAGTTTGCGGTGTGATGTTCCCATGAAACTGTAGGGGTCGCTGAGGTGCTTTCCGGGAGCCACTCTTGTCGGAGCTGTCAGCAAAATCAGTGTGTATCTTCCGTAGATGTGTGAACATCAATCAACTTAGATATCATCTTAAATGTTCTTAGATATATCATGACATATCGTAAATGTCTAGTCACATATCTAGTCCAATGTATTTCTCCATATTAACCAAAACGCTTCCCAACATCCCCTCCCAAAAACGTCCAGGCGGCTGAAACGTTGCTCAGCAACCCGCCTGGCACTCGCTGGCAGAGCTTTTGGTGCGGCCTATTGGAGTCGGACATCGGCTATGTGTCTTGGGTATGGCTGGGGCGGCGTTAACCTTTGTTGGAGAGGGAGGGGAGGACAAATTCTGTGGTGAGTTTATGAATGATTATGAGCAGGTTAAAGCCATGATTTAAGAGTTTAGTGGTAGATATAGCAAATGGAGGTGCAGAAAGTAGCTCAGAAACTGGGGGGCACCACCTTGTACCTTGTTCGGATGCAGGCTGGTGATGTTTTGACAGCCCAACTGGACTGCATTTTAGCCATGCATCAGAACCTGAGACTCAAGTCCGTGCGTAATATGTTTCAAAACACCTAAAACCTAATGTCATCTACCCTAGGCTAAACCAACATACTAGTAGATGTGCAAAACCCATGGTTTCCGCAGGTAAAAACATCGACTTTCCTGGTTTTTGTGTTCCACGAATCTATGTTAGTTTACAGGAGGACAAGAACCGTTCTTCGGGGTGATCATTACTCGGATCCATGGTGCTGGTATATTAATGCTAACATTGGGGGGTATATTCATGGTAAATGTTATACCATATATGGCAGCACCATGGATCCTATGGGAAAAAACAGGTGATGTTATCGTTGACTCATTGACTGACTCGTCATATTCGAGTTGGACTCATCATCACGGAATTATCACAACACCCCACCAGATTCACCTGCAGCATCCTGCAGCAACCCTTTTATTATTCAAAATAGCAGCGGCTCCAAAAATTCTGGCATTTGGCATCCCTCAACTAAGAAGGACCCTGAGAATCACCACTTTTTTAGAGGAATGTCGTCTTCCAACCTCCTAACAGGGTCTAGGATGTCTATGTTTAGCTGGGGGATGGTCAAACTGCCGAAATTTCCTAAAATGAGGGTACCCCTTTATCGCTGGATGGTTTATTTTCATGGAAACTCCATCTCTAAATGGAGGACTGGGGGTACCTCCATGACTTAGGAAACCACCATATGTCGAGGATACAGAGGGCTATCCAGTCGCAGCACTGTCCCGTGCCGGGTGCAGGTGCCCGTGAACGACTCCTGGTTCCGTACCGTGCGTCACCGCCCGAACTTTGGTGACAGCAACGATGTGGCGTCGCCGCAGCGGTGTTGCCGCCTCTGTCAACAGGAACCCAGGCGGGGAAGCCACAGTCATTCTATTGGAGGTTTCCTCCAATGGAAGAACCCCAAAATCCATGGTTCATAATGGAACATCTTATTAAATTTGATGATTAGGGGGTAACCCCATTTTAGGAAACCTCCAGGTTGATTGGAATAATTATGGATGCATATGGTATATCAAGGGAAACATGGCTATAGTTTTTGTTTGATCAGCAACTTTAGGAAACAATGATGGGGCCGCGATTGGGATTAAAGCCAAGTCAATGCATAGCAATTCAAGTACTGGTTAGAGGATTCAAAATTGGGGATATGATGATTTGATTAAAGGCCTTTAACATTTTGCTCAAATTCTTTGTTGGGCCCACAAGAAAGAAAAATCACAAGCGCCATTTTACAGTGAATCATAATCCTTTCGTCTACTAGTAAATAACACCCAGCAATCCTTGGTTCAGCATTATTGGATCTATTCATTTTGGGTGCCCATAATATATGAAACAAATATGATGTGCTTCATTATATTATATTTTTTAAATGAATGCTATTTATATAATGCTATTTATGATTTTTAGTATAGGGATGTTTTTTTTTTTTAAAAAAAACATATGCTATTCATATGACTTTTAGTAATTCTAGGGATGGAATTGCCCAAAAATACGTTTTTTTGTGTTTTTTTAATATAGAGGATGTGATCCTGAACCACATACTATTCATTTCAGCATTGAGGGATGATGCGGAGGAGTTTCTTTGGGATGAACATCAGCCATGGTAAATATATGTCTGGTGCCGGCGATGAAGAAATGTCATTTTAATGATCTACTCCATATGTACTATATGTATATATATATATTATATGTATCATGTATTGTACATGATATCCCCTTACATCATATAATGTCACATGCAATATCACATATATCACATTACCAATTACACCCCCTTTTCCATCATGGTTGCTTCTCCGCACCCTCAAAACTTGGTGGTTAACAATTGAATTCCTCATATTCATATTATCCTTAAGAATCCCCATATGTTTCGCTAACTTCCAATTTTGGGTTATTCAAATCCCAATGAACTCTAATGTTTGTTACCCTCTGATAAGACTAACAGTTTGCTATGGAAATTACCATGTTTAAAAGTCGTATAAATCATCTCAGAATAATTGGGCCATCTAAACCATAGCTGCCATAGCTATATCAGTTTACTGGAGGCTACTTAATAATTCAAACAAATCAGACCCACAGCTTAAAATTCCAGAGAGCTCTCCATTGTTGTTACTTAAAGTCCCACAAAAAGCCGCATTGATTGTATTCACCATGTTCCTAATCTGGGTGAATTGCCTATCCTAATTCTGGTCACCCACCATTTGTTGGAAAATTCCCAGAGTTCACCCGGTCACCCGGCCACCCCCAAAACCCCGAGTCGCGTGTCATCGTTTCGCGTCGAGGTGTAAGTCGTGGACCTGGAAAGACGGCGGGCCCAAGCGCTGCGAAATGTTTGGTAGCGCGCCTTGGCGTGGATGGCGGCATCCAATCATCCCATGAAGATCTAATGGATATATATATATATATTTATTTATGTAGATATATATATATGTAGATATATAAATATATATTTATATATATGTAGATATATATATATATATATAATGGTTAAAAAGGGAAATCATCCCAAAATGGCCGAACTATTCAGGTTAGTGAATTATTATCATTTGCCCAGATATATACTGTATATATATATATATGTTCATAGGACATGAACGGTTTTATAATGGGATATGATATTGGTGTAGTATTGAATGGGATATTAGTGGTTTGATTGGAACTGTAACTAACCATCAGAAATGTTTTTTTTCACGGGATTGTCATGGGGATATAATGTTTTATGACCAACCCACTGTAATTAGTCTGAATCCCATCCCCCGTTTTTGTCAAACAGCCCTCAGAAACACATGGTTTAATAGGGAATTAAAACATGATTATTGTTGGTTCATTTCCCATTCTCCCCAGTTACCTGTTCTCCCCAGTTAGTGTCCACAGTTGGCCATTTGCACATGTGGGTACCCATTTAGGACGTTAGTATGTTGGCTAATTCACTTCCCAGAATTGCATGCAGGAAAGAACAAGAACCATTTTTAATGAAAAGCGTCTAATATAATGCAAAGATGATCCATGGGTATCCTGCAATTTACAAGAACAAGAATCAGATGCAAAACTGCATCGTTTCCCCTTTAACATTTGCATCCCATGATCTGTTGAGAAATCCAGCGCCCTTGGGCGGCTGCCAGGCCCCAGCAAGCAAAGAGGTCGTGCCTGGCTATGTCAGCGGCCTGTCCGCAGCTGAAGCTTCGCTTGAGGTGCCATGGGGAACCCGGAAACGAGGTGAAGGGTACAGCTATGGCCCCCAAAAAACACTTCTAAATGAGGGTGTAACTCCTGCAGCTAAGATTATATATATATATCATGAAATATGTCAGTTACCACTGTTAAGGGCTGCAGCTACAACAGATTTGATCCTGACTTTTCTATACATTGATGTTTTTATGGGAAGATCATGGAAGAGGATCTATAATAATTACAATAAAACGCTTGGTTTTCCATTGCCATGTTTGATTGCTGGAGGGTATGGGTTTATCTCCATCATACAAACTTATTTGTAGTCATTACGGGGACTTTAAACACCAACGGATGATGGGTGAGTCTTGATTGTTTTTTGTTGCTATCAATCAATGGGGATATTACTGTATGTATGTATGTATGTAATGTAATGTAATGCAATGCAATGCAATGCAATGTAGTGCAATGTATGTATGTATGTACGTACGTACGTACGTATGTATGTATGTATGTGTATATATATACATATATATATATATTTATTTATGTCAAGCAGCAAAAAACAACATGATAATGAAGTTTGGCCATGTTTACCTAATAGTTTGGTGACAGTGAGTGTTTGATGAGTTCCTGATTGTTATTTGATATGTGCTTGATGATGCTGTCTGACATGTGAATTGATGAGCTTAAGCTGATGCTACCAACGAAGTAGGGGAACGCGTCCAATCTCAGTTGCTCACAAAAGCTGCTGTTGGCCAAGCAACTTCCTGGGGAAGTATGGCCAATAGAGGGAACTTTTTTTGGGAAAAACCACAGCAGATTGAGAATGATTCACTAAAGATGGGCTTTTTGTGTGGCTACACAAAATGGGACAACCATTTGCATATGACTTAGTGGTGGCTTAAGGGGACGGTCCGTTTTGTTTTCTCTACAAAGATTGTTGTTTCACGTGTTGGCTCCTTTTCAATATACCCTATAATTTGTATCAATACATTTATATATCCGTATATATATATACACACATTATTTACAGATGTGTATATATATATAATCCCAAGAGCAAAGGAGCCAGCATTTGCACATAGGCTGGTATCAAAAGTTGAGACCGCAAAATTCCATGGTTTGAGTCCGCAACAAGAAACACAATATCGTACGTACTGTATATTCCCCATTTTGGGGCATACCTCAATGATCTATTGCTGGTTCGTTATATCCCAGTATACAGCACTCACGTCATCCTATGTTTGTTGGCTAATGTTGGTTATACCCAGCATGTGTTGGTGAAATTTCCGGTTGCATCCGAGCAGGCCGCCCGTTCTGCTCTGAGAGCCCTCAGTGGCCTCTCCTAAAATCCGGGGAGGGACCAGGGCGACGGGCCGATTTTCCAAGGGGGCTGGCGATGGAGACCCAGAAATTCACATGGGTTTCCTCCCACAGCAAGCGAGTTTTGCTTTGTTCTTAGTTGCATGTTGGGGAGATTCACTAAGGATCAGAAATGACAAAAGTATACACGTTATGGTTCCACGTATGATATTGTTTACGAATATGTCATGGTTGATCTTTAAAACATGATTTTGCTTTAATTTAGTAGAGGATCATTTAACTAATCTGTGAGCACGACATGTTTGGAAGTATGTGTTTCTTTGCTTTGCCTGGTATACTTGCAGTCGTTGAACATTCACAGGTCAGTCAAGATATAAGGCCCAAAGTCGCATTGACTTTTCCTAATTTGGAGTTGTCCCATTTCAATCCATTCCTTGTTTTGCTTTGCAAGTCAAAGTGAACAAGCCACATACGGGTTATATTTGAGAAGTATAGTTAATGTTAGTTGATTATTCAATGATTAATGAACATGTCTAATCAAGTCTAACATCTCCTGATGTGATAGATGCAACTGTTGGTTTTTTTTTGTGTGTCCATCACCAACCCAACGAGGCGAGTTGTGATGGTAGGTAGTGTTAAGGTAGCTCCAGTTTTAGCCATACTATCTGGACAAAAAACATACCACAGTGGTGATATTTTATACGATAAATAATGACTTACGATATCTTATGATCCATAAACAGTGGATGATAGCCTGAAAGTAAGAACCACATTGTGAACTCATCTTCTTCCCTTGACTTTTGATCGCCACTCCCCAGTGCTCCCTGGACCCGCAGAAAAGTTGTGCCAAAACCGCGTGGACCCCGCAAACACGCCAAAGTAGCGGGACCGGCGGGACCCACGTGGAAATTTGGATCCCTAGCTGCGGTCATGGTCGAAATCCGGAGATCGTTTGATATATACCAGCTGGTTATGATTAACAGTTTGCCATGGAAAATCACCATGGAAATAGTGGATTTACCCATTGAAAATGGTGATTTTCCATAGTTATGTTAGTTTACCAGAGGGTATATACCGGAAAATCACCATGCTATTAATAGGTAAACCATCTATTTCTTTGGGCCATTTCCCATGGCGAACTGTTAAATAACCAGAGGGTACTGGAAATGTCAACGGTGGAAAACTTCAAAAATGGCATCAAATTTGAAAATTCAATGAATTTTGCTTCAAAAATCAATCAGTCTGGGTTTGTAATGTCTATTTTTAATAGATAATTCATAGGGACCTTCTCCCGGCCGACCTCAACACAAGTCAGAGTGGATTCTTCGGGGCGTGAAGCATGGCCTGAAATTTCTGCTTGGGAAGTACTTTGAAAATGAAGCAAGACCATGACCAAGCATGTTTGAGGGATCACTCCAGCATAGATCGCTGTCATTGGATATGCCTCAGCGGATTCCTTGAACATCTTGGGACTGCCTCAACCCTGGTAGCCCACTCCATGTGTTTGTTTTTGGGGCCTACTCTCCTCGCATAACTGAAGCTCCTAAATCTAAGCAGGTGGAATTGGCTTTTGTCAAAGGGTGAAGCTGGATCATTTTCGTGTTTCAGTTCACCAACAGGTGACATTGTTTTGGGATGTTTTTGGTATGTTTCCACCAACAAAGCAATGCAATTTGTGGGTACGCGATGGGACGGCATATTTTTTATAGCCAAACATGACAGGGATAGTGATAGCCATGTATAGATATCTCCAAGAAGTGATGGTTGGTGTCATTCATGTAGTCTTCGTCTTCAATCTTCATCTTCGGTGATCCCAAGAAAGACTTGCCTGTGTTTCTTGGATTTCTGATGATTTTCTGATGATTTTCTGATGATTTTCTGATGATTTTCTTGGATGGGTTGAGGTATGAGGCATCCCATTAGGAATGCAACGAATTCACCTTGGCTTTGCATGCTGTGGAGCTATCGGGCTCCACGCCTAGATGCCCCGCCCCGCAACGAGCTGTGGCGAGTCGCGGGCACCGCGCTTTCCCAACGTGGGAAGAACAAAGAGTGGCCTGCGGGGTGTCCCCTATTATTGTTGTATATTGTTGAGTTTAGGCGGATGTAACAACAACATGTTTATAACATGTTTATATAGTTTTGTTTAAAAGATGAATTGACTGAGATTTACTTTGATCTTAATGGCGAACATGATGTTTAGCCGACAGCCAAGGTGGCCCTGTCGGATTTTGGCACAGCCATCAGGTGGGCCGTTTTTGGGTCATGATGGGCTGGGGGGCTGGGAGGCTGGGAAATCCGCTGGTGTACGAGCGCACGTATTACAAGGATATTTCTGTATATATGGTATAACAATGGATATAGTAGTTCAACAAAATTCAATGGTTCATTATTTCAATAGATTAACGATTGAATTTTATTATGTGATCATGATGCTCAAACATTATATAGATAATATATGTATACAGTATATACATTATAATTGTTATAACTCTTATTGATAGTTTAGCTACAGTAGTTCAATGGTGGATATATCATGATGTATCTATTCTTTGAACGGGATAACTTAAGCCTCAAAACGGAACTGGCACAGGGGGCTCTTCTTGTAGATCAACACATTTGCAAAAAAAAATGTCCGCGCTTCGCCTAAAAACCGCAGTGTGTTCATCAGCTCCTTGTTTGTTTTTGGCTTAAACAGAGTTAGATACCCTCCAGTAAATTGAAAGTTTGATCCTGAAAATGGTCAGTTTTTAGTGGAATCTCATCGTCCAAGAGCAATGGCAGGGTCTATGTTCATTTACCAGAGCTTACACGTTATTGTTTGTTTGAAATGCACAGTGGTCGTGTTAGTGTTGCCTTTCTTCAATCCAGATGTTCCTGACGGATTTTTGGTTGAATTCCACGAGTTCATTGTCGGTGAAACCAACCCTTCTGCAGTTTCAATCCCTATTTTCTGTTGCTGACATCTACCTCAGAGTATACTCATAACAAATTCTCAGCAACGAGGATGACATACACTTTGTACCGAACTGCTTGGGTAAGATCCACCCAATTTTACCAGAATCTTGATTTGGTGCATTAAATCGAATTTTCATGATCATAATCTTATGTCACCCAACTTACAACTATCACAAGACAGTGTGGCAAATTTGGAAATATGATAAGATCTACAGTGTGATATTCAGCTGGTCATATTCCCACTTCCATGAATATAAGATATTGCTAAACGGTAGTTGCAATCAACTTGACATGGTCATGATCTTATTATATTTCCCTCCAGTAAACGAACATAGCTACAGAACATGGCGCAAAAATAGTCCGACGATTTACCTATCAAAAATGATTTATTTCCAGTTCGCAAATTGTCAATTTACCTGAGGGCATCCCATTATATGCAAAAAAAAATCCAGCATATATCCCTATATATCCCTATATATCCAGCATATATCCCTATATATCCCTATATATCCAGCATATATCCCTATATATCCCTATATATCCAGCATATATCCCTATATATCCCTATATATCCCTATATATCCAGCATATATCCCTATATATTCCTATATATCCCTATATATCCCTATATATCCCTATATATTCCTATATATCCCTATATATCTGAATATTTTGTATGTATATGGGATTTCAAAACGTATTCCCATTATATCCCTATATATCTGCCCAATAAATCCACATGCGATCGACGAACGTCGCTCGTCGCAGGGTGGATGTAGGGGAGAAGGTCTGGACGCGCGTGGGCACGCCCGCCTTCTGGGCGCCTGAGGTGAGGTTTCTGGTTGAGTTACCTATGGTGGTTTCTAGGGATACCAGTCTAGTATTCCAGAAACGTCACGACGTGAGGTCATTTTAATTCATTCTAATTCATCCAGATATATCCAGATTATATCCCAGTGAATATGATATTTTATCAGTATACCAGTAGTACCGCACAAGGCGGTGGCGGAAGTTTCAAACATAGGAAACCTTTTTGGGAGAGGTTGGTTGTTGTGAATCAGGGATGGCAGAGCGAAGCCACTGATGGAGCGAAAGGTGATTGATCTCTCTCACTATTTCTCTCTCTTGCCCTGACTATCTACCTATCCACCTATCTATCTATCTATCTGTCTGTCTATCTATCTATCTATCTATCTATCTATCTCTCTCTCTTTTTTCTATTTCGCTACCTATCTATCTACCTATCTATCTCTCTCTCTCTCTCTTTCATCTAATTACCTACCCATCTATCTACCTATGTATCTATGTATCTATGTATCTATCTATCTATCTATCTATCTGTGGTACAGTGTCATTCAGTTTAATGTAGTGTAGTGCAATGTAGTGTGGTGTAGTGGAGTGTAGTGGAATGTAGCGTAGTGTAGTGTAATGTAGTGTAGTGTAGTGTAATTTAGTGTAGTGGAGTGTAGTGGAGTGTAGTGGAGTGTAGTTGTAGCTGTAGTGTAGTGGAGTGTAGTGTAGTCTAATGTAGTGTAGTGTAGTGTAGTGGCATGTAGTGTAGTGTAGTGTAGTCTAGTGATACACGAGAATTTACTGGGAATTAGTGGGGCAAGGAATTATCAGCAGTAGGGATTAACATGAATTAATGGATTTAATTTGAGGAATGATACAGAATTAATGATCAATCTAGTATGAAAAAATATTCCCCCCCATGGTATATATTTGCAGTAAATATTGCTCTTTCACCAAGTTACCCCTGCTGAAATGTCAGTTGTAGTCCCTGCTATTCTTTGATATGAATAGATACAAGTGGTACAGTCTGGTGCCCCCAGTTATCAGTTGGTTTACAGTATGGCCGCATCCAACTGTGGATATATCTATTATAAATCATAGATTAGCTACTTGCAAACCAACGTAGCTAAATATGAGGCCGGTCATCTGGATTTACTGTGGATGAGAGATTGGGATGTCATACGTTATCAAGTAACAGAGGGATTTGCACCACCGAACGTGGGTATATGATCTAGAGAAATGATGCTGAACCCAATTTTTAAATGCAGCCCGAAATATAACATAGTATATCACAAGATCTGTGCTTGGGCACCCAAAACATCACCAAACTTTGCCAAACATCTGATAACGGGGGTACTGAGGCCCCAAAAATATTGATCCCCAATTGGCATGTATTCTTTGTATATATGGTAACTTGGTATACCGTGTCACGGTGTACCGCTATTTGGATGATGTAAACATGGGCCCCGAATGGTTGGTTGCTGGGATGCTGAATTTTGTTTGGTTTTGTCACATCATGTGAAATGATTCTATTTCTGGTGTTAAACCTAGAAATCCACAATTTACATGATGTTCAAGGTTTAACTCCAAAAAGAACTGGAAATGGTAGTTAAACCTAGTTATTCAGTTCCATGATGTTCATAGATTGTATCTTCCAAAAAAAGAAGTCGCGGATTTTTCAAGGCTTCAAGCCGCCAGGCTCCCGTGGAATTACTCTCCAGTACATTACAGCTGTTCCCATTCCTATTATCATTTCTATATATATATATATGTATACTATCCATTTTATAAATACATGTATATATTATATACATATAAATGTATATTCTTTTAAAATTCAATTTGTATATATCATAAATGGTATCATTTTTGGGAAACTTTGGTTCTTTTCCATCTTTTGTCCATGTCCTGACTGGCATAAAAAACCTTGGGTCGAAGGGTCGAATCTCCGGCAGATCTTCAACGGGGCCTACGAGTTCAAAGTGGATGTCTGGGCGCGGTACCTGGAAGTTTCCGCTCCATGGGATCCATAGGATCCCATGGGACCTTGGATGGATCTGAAACCATTCCCCAAATCACCATAAATGGGTGGTAGCAACCATCAAACATGGGATCATGGGGTGGTTTATGATTGTTTTAACATGTTTTAACCACATCGACTAAATTTGTTTGGAGTTCCAGGTGGAGTTCAAGCCTCTGGGGGCATGGCTTCCATAGCCGGGTTTTCAGATCTGCCCCTGAGAGTACATGGAGCATTGGGATAATATGACAGCACACAGGGATTTCCCAATGGATGTGCAAAACCCGTGGCCACTGCATCTGTTGCCTCTTCTTGACTGCCTAGCCAGTTTCGTTATTTCTGTTCAAACGATTGGGTCAGTGAGTGCTTCGACAATCCCCAACACAGGCTCTGCACCATGTACGAGAACGACACTATGTTGAAGATATGCAACATGCATTTCCATGACATTGATGATACGAACATTATTTATTAACCATTTCATACGTTGATGATCATTGATGATCATACGATACATGAATACCTATTTATATATATATATATATCACATATTATATATATATTATATTACACTGATGGTATGGGGCAATATAACCCCAACATTTAATAATTTCAACGTCAGGCTTTGGGAGTCACGACGTATATCCTCCTCACCGGGGCCAGAAGCTTAGCACATCTTCGGCTTCGGCGCTTGTTGGTGGTTTAAAACAAGGGGCATTTTGACAGGGATTTCGATTAGGCATAGGGATTTCTATAGTAATGACAACTGACAACTAACTTAACTGGATATGTTTGCTGGGATATTTTGGGGGACTTAACCCTCTGGTTACTCTGGTTATTTTTTAACAAAGTGAACTGGAACATCACATTTCTTTAGTAGGTAAATCACCATCTAAGATCTAAATATAAATGGGCCATTTTCCATAGCTATATTAAAGAACCAGAAGGTATAGCTATTGGGACATGATCTACTTTGTGGTAGTTTCTTTTATAGCTATGGTCACGTTGGCAATTTGATGATTTACCGAGAACCGGCTGGTGTTGTTGCATGTAGGAAAGTGCTAGGCTAGTCCCGTCGTTTTCCTTGGAAAATGATCGACATTCATCTACATAAACTAAGGGGGTTCCATATACGACTTTACTGGATAGAAAGCTGTGCAAACCATGACAGCCTCACCATAGATTACCAGTGGGGGACAGAATCCCAAGACTTTTTGGTGTAGGAACTGGTATCATTTTACCTGGTCAGATCCAAATCTGGACCAGGGGAAAAAAATAGCAACAGCCCAACTTGCGCAAGAAACTGTTGCAAAAGGGGAGAGCTGGTGCATCTATGTATGATCAGTCCTGCATTTCTAGCTGATTCTAGCTTCCCCATGTTTATCAACAGCCCTTTTCCCACTGGTGACTGAGAAACTGGCACTTGTCATGAGGGAAGATGGCTTACTCATGATCGACCCCCATGAATCGCCACTTTGGCGGGCCCATTGGTACCGTATTTTCATCAGGTTTTTCCATGGTTTTTCCACCTTTTAGCTGACCATCTGGCATTTGAAACCTGCTTGGGACGGCAAACACCAGCTGCTTCTTCTGGCAGAAGCAACAACTGATGCCACCAGACCCATCCCCAATACATCAATGTTTCGTCGTTTCCATCAGGACCATGATCATCAAGCTAACTACACCTTGTTGACAATAGCTAATAATACTGGTTGGTGGTTTGGAACATTTTTCCATATATTGGGAATAACCCTTCCCATTGACTAATATTTTTCAAGATGGTCAAAACCACCAACCAGTAATATATTACCATATCACCCTGTTCAATTCTCGTCACATTCCCTGACTTTATGGGAAGGCCTTACATAGGCCCATGTTTGGGGTCTGCGTAAGGGGTGACATTCCCCCAATTTATTCGGCCGTAAGAAAATGGAACAGTACCTGCATTTTAGATACCTGACCCCTGGAAGTATATGTTTGAGACAAAATAAAATTGACTAGACAAATAAGTGGATAATCTCGACATCAATGTGGTAGACGCAACAAAAACCCTCTGATGTTTGGTACACCACCCATTTCTGGTAAGCTCTTTCCAATGGTTTCTTATTGTGTATTGCGTAGTTATTAACAAGTTGTTTTTCACTAATTTGCCAGTATTTAGAAGTTGATAGGACTGTTAGTTCAAACCATTTCAACACTTATTACTTTATCCCCATAAATCAATATGAATGTCAAATTTCATTTTCCCACAATACACTATCTACTGTCAATGCGTAAATTTTAGTGAACCTTGACCACATAGAAACGTGTTTCCAGGATATGGTAATTCGATGATGTTTCCCTTTGTTCCAGGTTTCCAACTACTTGTTCTACTGTATGTTTTTCCACTGGAAAGATTCAATTTGTTCCACTGGATGGTCTCCAGCAGTTTTTTCATGTCACCTTTGTAGAAGAACATATGGTTTCCAACTGCTCGTTCTACGAATCGTGACCATGTTCGTTCGCTGCAATCTGCCGAGCTCGCTCGCTAGGCCTTACCATTCGATGGACAGGAGCAGATCTGCAAAGATGATCCGGGTCGCGCGGCGGGGTGAAACAACGTGTTTCAACCCTGGAGGGAACATAGAAATGATGATATAACATGCCTGGAGCCTCCATTGATGAAGTATGCTACTCACAAGTTTAGATCATTTTAGTCCGTTGACTACTTTTTAATGGGTCAACTCAGGGTCAAGGTATACACATATGTATGTATATATATATAATTATATATATATATGTATAGGTATGTACTCTTAGAGAGAGAGAGAGAATGTACGTACCTGCCAACGGTAGAATGTACATAATTTTAGAATCAAGGTTTCTGATGAAAAGACTTCAATCAATCCATTGGGACCCATTGGGATCTGGGTAAAGTTGGCAAGCCCGCAAGCAGGCCGTAAAAGAACATACGATCTGAAAGATGTAGCAAGTCTGACTTGTACGAAACCTACTTGGCTGTCTTTTTTTGAATGTGGTAAGCCCATGAAAATAAACCATCCTCTAGAGGCTTGTTATTGGGTATACCGGTATACCGTATTCCCCATTCGATGGAGATGATTTCCCCCAGGTCGTTCTGGCCACGTGGCGGTTGTCCTGAAAAGGTTCCCTGAATTAAACATGGGATGGAACCTTCCAAACTCGTTTTTTTTCCCTGGGGTTTCCCATAACTTTCAATTTCATCAATAAGTGTTGATTACTTTCCCATAATTTACAAGTTGTTTTCCCATAATTTTGAATTTAGATGTTGTTGTTAAAGACCTTTTTTTGTTTCCGATCAGTTGAATTGCGCCAACTTCGCTGCGGCGTCGAGGTTCAGAGGAGGAAGCACCATGGAAGCTGCCATACTACACATCCTGGGGTTGTCTCTTGGCATGCAGGCAGCCTAGGGCGCAGTTGTGGCCAGGTCTTTGTTTCACTCCAAGCACCAAAGAGATGCAGAACATGGATGAAAAGCTGAGTTATTTATCATTGATTTCATAGGACATTTTGCTGTTTTATCGTTTTTGGGCTTATGTATATATTATATATATATACATATAGTTGTACCCCCCGGCATCATTCAACACGGCACTGGGAATCCCCCAGCGAAACGTAGAGGTTTCTGGACAAATCATGGAAGTATACAGGGGGTTTTCCAGTAAGCCACATGTGATTACCAGAGGGTCATGATTCGTTAGAGTACCCCGCCAAACGATCGCGAAGCCGCGAAGCTAGGCTCCAACTCCAGTAACCTGCTTTTATGTGGCAATGATACCCTTTGCTTATTTAACATAGCCTTGGAAATACCCCATTTCTAGATGTTTTTGGATGATTCATGGTTCTTAAAAATGGTGATTCTCCAGTTTGCTACGTTAGATAACCAGAGGTAACTATATTGTAAATGTGGGGTGAAGCCTAACTGATAAGTGGGAGGCTCCACCTTGTGCGAACATGGAGGATTTACACAAAATCTATTGTAATTCATGGCAAAATTCTGGTAATCAATTCTATGTTTGGGGTATCCTATTCAGAACATGGGAAAACATGAATGTTAGGTTTGCCATGTTTCGGCCAGATTGTGGTGCGAAAGTGTGTGCCAAAGGCTAAGGCGTTGATACATGTTGATATATTTTGGTATCTTGTGATAATTATTGCAGAAATGTCAAAATCGAAAAGGGAATCATATGGGGTGTCTTAAAATAAAGGATGTCTCAAATCGTAAATTGATCTAATTACTTGAATGATTTGGGGTACCCCGATTCTAGGAAACCTCAAACAAAAAACCAATCCACCAGCCACCCATTGCATCATGCCCCCTTTCAGGCCATTCTTCTGAGGTCACAACCAAAAATGTTATGTATGCCTCTGATTCCTCTAAAATGAATACGGCACCAAAAAAAAACAAAAGTCATAGGCATTGTGCAGATCCCTTTTTTGGACTTCCCTTTTTTGGACTTTCTGGAGGCTAAAAAATTGATTTTTTGTCGAGCAGAAGCACTGTCCTGCATCCACTTTTGACAAGGACTCCTTATGACTTCCGGCTCGACCAGCCGCACCATGAAGTTTGACTGGTCGATGGTTTCAGAGGAGTTTTATATGTGTTAACATGTTTTAAATGTGCAATGCCATTATAAACCAGTATAAACCATTATAAGCCACCTACAACCCATTTTATATAACCATGCCACTTTGGAATCATTTTCATTGACCAATGACGGGACTAACTAGCCAAGCAGGGGATCCCATCGGCAACTTGAGCCGCAGCCGTTGGCAAGTCTTGTCTCAGCGCTGCCTCCGAAAAAATGGCATTGAAGCCAACAATTCTATTCATACCTCAAAGAATGGGTGAATAATGGTTAAGCCATCTATTCAACACACTATACCATCAATTGTACTTATTAACGGTATAATATAACCATCAATTGGGATTTTTGATATTATTAACAATGATAATCTGGTTGGTGCTTTGGAACATGAATTTTATGACTTTCCATATATTGGGAATGTCATCATCCCAAGTGACTTTCATATTTTTCAGAGGGGTGGCTCAACCACCAACCAGTTATCAGTTGCTGTTGGTGTATGATTCACGACTTGTTGTTTCTCCGACGACCCAACTTGAGCTATGGTGGATATCTGGTTCCAATTGGGAAAAGAAACTCTTAAAAACAACAACAAAACAACTCGTAAAAAAAGGTATGCTCAAAGATGCTCAATTGATCTAGGTAAATTATCATATGTCACTTGCCTGAAACTTGAGCAACCATTTGGGGATGATTCACCGCAATCTAAGTATGATTCCAGGGTTTGGTCACGACGTGAGGTCACAAAAAAAATGCCCAGAATTGATTGCAAGGTTTATTGCCAGAGGGTAAATCCCATCTAGTCCCATTATTAACCATTATTAACCCATCTTAACCATTCTTAACAATTTCTTAACCAATATTAACCATTATTAACCCTTATTAACCATTCTGAACCATTATTATATAATCATTGTTAACAATTCTCAACCTCTCTGACAGTCTATTTGACATGTTAGCCTGCTTTCTTTTTGTCATTCTATCTGGAACATGTTCTGACATGATATCTGGCATTCTATCTGGCATTCCTATCTGACATATATTGTGACATTCTTTCTGACATTGCATTTGACATTAAATTTAACATGTTATCTGACACATGTTATGGCATTCTATCTGAAATATATTCTGACATTCTAGGTGGCATTCTATGTGGCATATAGTCTAACATTTTTATCTGGCATTTTATTTGGCATTCCTATCTGACATATATTCTGAAATTCTATGTGGTCTGACATTCTATCTACTTCTATTTGACATATATTTGACTTTTACCTGACATGTATCCTGACATTCTGTCTGACAGTTTATTTGTTATTCTATCTTAGTTTTCTTCCTGGCATTCTATGTGGCGCCAAAGAAGACGTAGAGGTGGCTGGCAAGTGAATGTGGTGTGGGCGTGTGGGTGTGTCGGAGAAGTTCGGTTAAAATCTAGAGACCCTCACCTGGCAGGTGGGGAAATCCATGGAACTAGCGGAAAATCATCGAAGTAAATCGGCCACTGTCCAGCCACGCGCTGGAGAAGAACCATGTTGGCGATCCAATAGTTTTGCGCCATTCGAACAAAGTCAGTTATGTATATTCCTATTGTTTTTACATGTTGTTTGTTCTTACAGAAATAGTTCCATATCGATATCCTCATGCATAAAATATATCAAAGATAATGGTTATCTAACATTCCCATTGATATTACCCTAGGGTAGACTAATATCGACGTGGAAAATCTCGAATTTGTATACCATTTTCCTATGAGAGCTATTGGTTTTCCACACCTTTCTCTATGTTGATCCTAGGGTATATGTGTTTTTTCATAAAACATAAAAGGTTCCTAACATTCTCATAGATATTATATGGAATTATAGTATGTGATACTCATAACACCATATTATTTTAGTATAGATATCACCCTGAATATTACACCATATGATGTTCATGTGATGTTAATCATGTACCACCCATACCATAACATACTGTGGATGGTTGCGAAATCCTGCACCAGTTGGCAACCGTTAACTATGAAACACTGTAAATAATGAGATTATACGGGGATAGACCATATACCAACTGGTGCAGGATTTCGCAACCATCCACAGTATTATGTAAAAAAAACATGTTATGTTTCAATCTATATGCTCACCTTGCCATATGATATTATTATGTGATATTAGCCATACTATATTATGTTCATGAAATATACATATATACATATATGTATATAGATATACATATATGCATATAGATATACATGTATATATATATATATATTTATTTATATGATATATACATATATAGCAGCCACATTAAAATCTACACAGCCATTTGTTTTTCCGCCATGGATCGACACAGCGTGGAGTTTTGGGACCTCCACCGACGCCTGGGGAAATGCTTTGAAGCAACCAGGACGTTTTTGTCACCGTCGGCGAGGTCCAGGGCTGTAAATATGGCGTTAATATAACGCTAATGTCAATTTTTTTACAAGCTGATTAGTTGTTTATAGCTGTTTATATTGACATTTTTGTGATATATACTAATATGTTAATAATATATAGCTAACATATATATATATATTAGTGTATATATAGATATGCTATTAATTATTAGTGTTGATACATCAATATCATTTTATTGTATTTTCTTTTTGAAATGTACTATATATGAATTGATATATTTGGATTATGAGTGCGTATATATTTTATATATAGTACCTGCAGATGACATGGGAGTTGTCGGACATACCCAAAAAATGCAAACTCCCATGTCATTTGCAAACTCCCATAAATATAAATATATATATATATATGTATATATGTGTGTGTTTCGGTATAGTCCGTTCAAGAGTTCGCCTTTGATAGGCAGTCCATTATGCACAGCTGGAGCACGAACGTTATCAAGGGGGCTGCGCAACGATGACAACTTCTGTGAAACCGATGACAATGCTGTGAAACACTGTTTTCAGAACTCTTGAACATATTATATACAATTTTACTATATCCATACATAATATGTATATATGTATATTTATTTATATATGATGTACATATGTATATCTATTTATGTATGATGTACATATGGTGCAACTTATTGGTATTCATAAATGTGAGTAATCTGTATACTGGGCCCAAATAATTCTTGCAGTGAACCCTGGGATGATGAAAAAAAGGCGTGCTTAGCGGAATATCTCGATCTCAAATTATGGGCTATGGGTTCCCATTCTATTGAATATATAGCTACTTCAAAATAGATGGAAAACTTGGAAACCTGGATATCTGAGGTGAATAGATGTAAATACCATCGAAGTACCATCCCGGAAACACTCTTCGATCTTTTTTTGGGGGATTACTCGAACTAATCCTGGGAATTCATGGTGCATTGGGGATTCATATTTGGGAATTCGGGAGGGCCGGAAACTGAGACAAGCGCAGATCTACGAATGGTGGTCCCAACAACTGGGGGTCCGAATGGAATGGCAACGACTTTTTGGCACACCAGAGTTGATCATCATATTTACAGTGCGTTGATTGATCAGTGATTTTTAATTTGTCAGTTGCTCTCTTCATTTTTTTTTGTCTATTGACAGTTCGTTCTTAAATCCCAAATGTGCATGCAACATTTGCCATGTTTTCTTTGTTTCTTTAAGACGTATTTTCTGGGTTCCCCTCATGTCAAAACAAGTTGGCACTGTTAGGTATAGATTTCACACATATTGCAACAAACAAAAACAAAGAACTGGCTGGATGGGACCCAAGAACTGGCTGATGGCCATTGGGCCACTGGGCCCACAGAGTTTATATCTCCATGTGGGGTTGGCGTGTCCAGTTGTTGGAGAACAGGGAACATTCCTATTCCTTTGGTCTGTTTGTCAGTCATAATCACCATTTTGGTCTGTTTAACACATACTATTCAGTTACTAATCCCCATATTGTGGCTATCATTCTCAAATCCAAATATGCCTACCATGTTCGATCAGAAAACATGAAGAAAATTAGCAGCGGGTAACCCCCAAGTTGGCCCCGAAACCCAGCAGGAGAGATGCTGGTGGCCATGGCACACGCTCTCCTGGCATCAAGCCCAAACTGGCCTTGACCAGAGGTCCATGCTTGGCGAAATCACCATGGGAATGGCGGATGGATTTCACCACTTTGAAACCAAGACGGGGATGTTGGGATACGGTGGATTTGATGCCAAAAGCTACATAAACCCCAATAAATCAGGGATTGATCTTCCTCCAATAGAAAGGATTTGTCCTATTAGCCTATAGGTCCTATAAGTTTTGAGACACGACTGTGTGATTTGAGCCAATCATCATATGGAGCATTGCTCTAACCTATTGTAGGTAAATGCTAGCCAGAAATTATGGTGACTTTGTTTTTTGATTCGCACCATTTCCCCTGAGTCATATAAGCCTGGTGGATACTGTACCCAAGAAAGGTCGTCTCTTGGGAAAGTGAGGATAAACCATGATGTTCCGTTGTTTTTGTTTCCCTAGAAACGTGTTTCATAATCTTCATTATTCACTACAAGGTGTGCCCCATACTTTGCAAAGTTGGTTTATAACTTGATTAACTGGGGTCTGTGGTCATGAAAAAACAATACTTAGATGGGGTTTATAAACCAACCACCATAAATGCTTGGGGGCCGGTTGAAATCATACCAAGTATGATATTAGAGGCTACTAGTTAAGTAGAAGGTTTTAGAGATCATCATGATGGTTACGTTTATAGCAACCCCATTAATAGACTATGAAACATACGTACGTATGTTTATGGCAATGTTCTCTGTTTTCATTTCGAAACAGATTGATGTGCGGCGGAAAATCTCACCAAACTTTCTGTGCTCTGGGGGCCGTGCTGGGGCCGGAAACAGAAAACGGCGCGGTTGAGGCGAACTGAGCAATGAGTCGGCCGAGGGCGGCTTCTGTCATCTTCTGCCCAGCGAGCTGCAGCAAGCAGTAGGCCCGTGGAAAAAAGCGGCGGAACAGTCGCAGGATGTCATGGCAAAAGGATCGACAATCTACATCAATCTACAGGCTATGGCACTGAACAGTTGTAAATATGGGATTATAATGAGATACCTACAACTGTTAATAGGATTTATATGGGTATCCTATTTTGTGGATCCTATCCCTCTGTTAATATGGCACTTAACATCCTATATCAACCTTGGTTGTAGGATGTTATAGGAGTTGTATTGGGATCTCGGGAATTTCCTAGTGAATCCGACAGGTTTTTGCTTTGGAATTTTGTTTTATGGGCTTCACCATCAACTCAAGCGAGATCATACCTAGATGGCCTTGTATGGATCTAGTGAATTGGGTTTATAACCATCAAGTACAATGGACATGTAATGCAATATATCCAGTAGTAATGGTGGTTTTATGGGATATTATTGGATATCACTTACCAGCCATATTCAATTTGGGATGTGTTCAAACCAACAGGCATGAGAAGCATTGGCTGATTTGCTGTTAGACCCTTTAACTAGCCAGTATTCTTAGGGACGACAGTGCGTTTTGAGCATGGCTCGGATTTTTTGGGGTAGCTTGACCGTAGGGTCTATTCTAGAAATATCGAGCTGGCTGGATGCGGTTGAAGAGCCAACCCGTTGGGGTGCAGCAGTTTGCAACTGGCTGGCAAGTGGATGATCTCTAACAAAACTGGGCATTTCACTACAGCGTGTGTATAAATCATGTTTTAAGACACTTTACGCACAGGGTAGTTCCTACCACTAACTCCATGGCCCAAGATTGTGACATATTGTGACGGAAGGACCTACTAAGGATTAGTGCCAGATCATGGCCATCCGGAGGATTGATAAAATATGGCTTGTTTAAATATATTCTCACTGCGGTGAGGAGGATTTTTTTGACAATTCCATATTCTATCTATTCCAGGACGACTGTTTAAATGTGATTTGCATGGATGTCACGGCGTGCCTTTGGTTTGCCACTCTGGCCACATCTATAAGTTCTATACCGTATTTACATCCAATCGCATATCATAGATGTCAATGTATGTGCCTTCCGACAATCAAACGTTGCAATGGAACATCCCTTTTAATTTGAATGAGAAAAACTACCATTCATAAATGGAAGATGTTCCGTTGCCACGTCTGCCGGACGGTACTTGTAAAAATATATGCATCATATATGCATCACATATGCAGCACATATGCATCAACATTTACAAGTTGGTAGGTTTTGTCCACCAGGAATACAACCATCCTACGAGCAGTGTCTTAACTAGCGAGATCGGAAGGACACATGTTATCGGACACGTATAATATGTTCTTTATATATGATATTGTTTATTTACACATCATTTTGCACTTGTATGATAATATCAGTTGTCCCTACAGCTCCAATCACCTTCTCAGAAGGATTTTGGAGCACTAGGGTAATATCATTTATATTATTGGATATTATAGAGAATATATATATATATAACATATATAATACAGACCTATAATATCATCACGAATATATACATATATAACATATATGTATACATATATAACATATATGTATACATATATAACATATATATATAACAAAAATATACAATATATAAATATATAACATATATATACATACACACATTATGCATATTTTTAGTATATATATATTATATATTTATATATATATATATTCAGCATTTATATATATATATAGAGTATGTATATACAATATATATATATATAACATATATATATATATATCTAGTATGTATATACAATATATCTTTAGATTAGGTGTTTTTGAAGATTTCTTTGGATTTCTCCCGAGCCCATGGGCAGGTTCGCAGCTCCCCTGGGTGGATTCCGATCATCAAGATCGCCAGGCGGGTTGGATCCAGTTTTTTTTCCGGGAAAGTGGTGCCCCCCCCCAGTTATAAATAGGTTGTAGGTGATATATCTATAGGAAACCATGGGAAAATGTGGATTTAATGGGATTTATAACTGATTTATGATAGCTAAGTTGGTTTATAACTCCAAAAACAATGGTTTATAGGTGATGTATCTATAGCTAATGGGTTATAGCAGGGTTTGGTAAATGTCCCATTTTGATCCACTTTGGGGATTTGTTTCAGACTTGAAAACATATCTGTTGGAGATTATATCAAGTACAGTATATCCCCAATAATTGAGTGATGTTCAATTAGGACATTTACCAACCCCTGCATAATCCCATTAGCTATAGATATATCATATCACCTATAAACCATTGTTATTGGACTTATTTGCACCAACTTAGCTAACGAACTGGGGCACCACCCTGTAGTTGTGTGGAATAGTCGCGATAGAAAATGATGCTTTAGAAATAGATAGATAGCGTCATTTAGCTTGTGCTTATACTGGTGAAGTTGTTGTTTTGTCATGGCTGGCTCATTCATGTGACCGTCGAGCAAATCCATGTTTAAATGTCGCCCTGCCTGGGGGGAAGCCATTCTAGAGTAGTTGCATTGATTCATCTAATTACAGTAGGTACAGTGTATGGGATAATCATGGGATGATATAAATGATGGGATGATAATGGGAAAACTAATAACATCTGAGAAAATTAAAACATAATCATATCATATTGAGAGGTTGCTAAGTCATGTGGTTGTAAATCATCTTAAACCTTCAAAATTACATCAGAATGAGAATCATCAAGATCCTCATGCTTTTCGGTTATTAGGAACAAATAGACAAAACATCTGAATCATGATCTCAACTCATACAAGATCAATATTGTTTCATTGATCCATCAATCTTAGACAAAACATCATATCATGTATTAGGATCAACCCACGTGTTTTTTTTTCGTTTCCTCACCGCTCTTTGCCAGGTCTCGGCGGAAGAGCGCCAAGAGCGCCAGGCTTTGGCGGGGTCGGAAAATGATGGGAGAATGACGGGATTTGTTGAAGATCATATAAAATTTGTTAATTTCTATATAACCATTTTATATGATCCATTCTATATACATGATCCATTCTTATCATATTTGATAAACACAAAACAACAGAACATTCTATAAACCATCCCCAATTTGTGTTGATTCCCCAACGACCTGAGGATTCGCCCTTGGGGGTTGGGTTTTGAGGGTCTACAGACCTTCTCAAAGATTCTAAGGGTATTTGGCACTAGGGTTTGCTGTGATGATTGTGTACACCCCCTATTTGGGGTGATGTTAAGTAATTTCACCCAAATGCTATGTTTGTTGTCTTGTGTTGGTCTAAAAACCCCATCTACTGTAATATCTAGAATTGTGGTTATTTATCTACCATAAACCCAACAGGTATAGTAGTTGCAATCCAACTTGGCTAAGTGGCACCAGTTTGCAATGGTATATATTGGTATCGAATTCCACCTGTGTGTACCTTTTAGCTTGGTATTATTATTGGATGTGTGCATTTTTGCGGCGCCTCGTATTTGATATGATCTTTGATCGGGGGGTGGAATTACGAAGGGACCCAGGAAATTGGTCCAAAGTACCTCTGCAAATCCCAGCTGAAACCCCTAGAACGGTCATTGTGCCGTAAATGGTTCTCTGATATGATCTGTTTTTTGAGACAGCGTGATTACGGACGTTCAATGTTCGTTGCTATCCTTATCAACAGGAAACGACAGGTGTCTTCCATATAGTACCCTTGGACCGTCGTTTTACTCCGAAACCATGTGGTTGTTGGGCCTGGGTGTATTATAATGTAATTGTTATTCGTTTCAGTAAATTATAGGGGTTGGAAGATTAGTTTCAACAAATAAATGACTATTTTCACGGTCTATGGTGTTTGATCGGAGAGTAATCAATGTTTCAATCTATATACGAACATTTGCCAAAATATATGGTGATGGATGTGCCATCATGAAACATTAGGGCTGTTTATCCGGTCACCAATTGTGCTGTGAGGTCTTTGCAAGAGTCAGTTTCCTTGTTGTGGTTACATCCGGATTCTGCGCGCCAGCAAAACGAGCCAAGTTACCCTCCTTTCACAAAGTTTAAATACATTGATATCATATCATATTGAGAGGTTGCTAAGTCATGTGGTTTGTTTACATCATGTAAAAAAACCATCAAAAGAATCATCAGAAACATCAAGATCCTCAGGATTTTGGATTCCTCCATTTTTAGAAACCACATTTTGTATCAGAACAAAACATATGATAAATCCAAGTTGTTATAGTTCTTCTCTAACTTCTGAACTTGAATGATGTTTTTTTTTTGAAATCCCTCATGGCCAAACCCCAGGCGGTTTCCTGATGTTACCAAATTTTCCCAGCCAACTCCAGAGATTGTTCGACCACAGTTATGGCCCAAAATAGCAGTTAGAAGTCAGTAAGTCATCCCATGGAATTCCACCCCATTTCGAAGCTAGAAATACCTCAGGGGCTGGAAAAACTGCTAAAATCACCCAATTTTTCTCGCCATTTTGCACCTCCCTGTCACCAGGTCTCAACCGATTCCCCGCCCACGTCACCGATGATGCTGCCACTGGAGCCCCCGCCGCGGCCAAGAAAACACTCGGTGGCCTCGCCCACGTCACGCGCGGGCTTGGGATCGGCCTCGGTGCAGCAGATCTACGGTGCCGAGACGAAGATGGCTTTGATTGGGGGAAGATGTGGCGATATAATGGGAGTGCATGGGAATGTGTATTTATATATATATATGTTTCTGGATAGTATAGCATAGCAAAACATAGCATAGTAATTAATTATTTGTATATATATATGTATAATTTAGTTTGATGTATATCTATATATATATAATATACATATTATATGTGTATAGTATAGTATCAATGGAATGTGTATATATATATATATATTATAATATATGTAAGATGGGATGTAGCTAAAAAAACTTGGTATGATATTTGATGATGAAACGGGGATGGGCAAATGGGGATTTAACCAAGCAAATCTGTGGCACAAGACAAGCCATTTTGGCTGAATATTGAATGGATTTACCAAATATTTTGTGAGGATATCATAGACCAAACATCATGAGTATGTAATGCAATATAACTATAGTATTATCTATAGTTCAACCAGTCAACATGGGAATACCAGGGTACAGACCATCATGCTTGGATATAACTGATATAGATATGGCCAACCTTTTTTCCTGGCCAACGGTTGGCTCGCCAGGTGATCATGCGGGATGAACGGGTAATGGCAGTATCTGATTTTGATTTTTAATAGGATATCATTGGGAATACGCAATTTTTAATTGATTTTAATAGGATATAGCAAACCATTTATAGTATCCTATATAGGATATCATTGATAACCAATTTTTAATAGGATATAGCAAACAACAAACTATTATGGTTTTATGAAGGTTAATGCACGTGAAAAAAAAAGTTTTTATGGGGAAAACGGTGGTAAATCCAGACCCGTTGGATTTTTTGGGGCACTCGACTTTCAGAGTGGTTTATATAGTGTTGGGTCCTCAAACATGATATAATTGAGCCGGTATGTTTTGGTGGGCGTACATGGGAGAACATCGACCAATTCAAATTGTATGCATAAACTGGACATTGAATCTGGAACTGACAGTGGGGCCCCCAGTTCTGTTTCTTACCTGAGAACCATCAATGTGGGCATATAGATCAAAAATAGCAGTGTAGTCAAAATACTGCTGCACTCCGTGAACGCTTGACTTTGGTGACATTTGTCGGAATCTGCCGTAAATCCATAGGATTTTGTCCGAAATTAAGGAAACACGCGGGCATCCTTTGTTTGGAAGATGGGCATGCAAGTTGATCATGGCCCTATGTGGTTCAAAATCATTACAAATTGTGATGAATAATATTTTTGCCACTTATGTTTTTGACATTTGTCAGAAATACCGTGACAAAACGTGATGAGGCGTGATCTCTTGAGGATTAACCGCTCGTCTTATGTCAGCCCAATTTTGATGATGGACGTCAAATGATGCCTATGGACTTCAAAAAACAAGGTTTACCGCGAATGTCAGCCAATAGACCCAACAATTGAGTCACAGGGGTTGGTTGATGTTCCCCCAGAAGTGCACCATGAAATTCCGTCATGGAACGTTCGCTTGTCAAAGCCTTCCCATGTTCACGAAGTCAATTTCCATCATACTGGTACCCATATCATCGTTAATACTGTTTGTTTGTTTCGTGTGAACACCCCAGATTTCTTTCAACGAAAATAAATTTGCTGTTGCAGTTCGTGATTGTAGGGTACAAGACTTCCGACATCCACATGTTTTCAGGGCAACATATCAGTTGTTTCTTGTCTCAATCTCCATAAATCTCCGTGTTGGTGGCTGGTTCCTACTCCGATGCGCCATGGTTTGTTTGTAAACTGATTTGTTATTGGGTCCTATTATATGTATGTATACAAAAACACCTTCCAACTTTTTTACAGGGCAATGGTTCGCCTGCAAAAAACACTCCTCCAGAACAATGGTAGTCATTAGGTTCAAAATGTTGCAAATTCCAAGAAGAAAACTCACCTTGAAAAAGAAAGAAGCATATATATATATATGTATATATCGACTTTGAAGCATTATGTAAATTATATATATATAGTAGAATTTGTATGACATAAAATGCAAAATTGCAGTGGATACGTTCAGGTCATGTGGTTCTCAGAAACAATAATAATCATGAAAATAGGAAATATATTCTTTTGAAACCTGGGAATACAGTACTGTAGTGTTTCTTTTTGATTGCGGTATAGTACCACATTTTTTTGAAAGGAATTAGTAATCTTGGAAAGCAGAATCTAAATTCATCGATAAAGCCTGTTTCAGCTAGAAAAGTTTTCGGAACTTCTTTGGTGATTTCAACAGGTTTATAAATACAGGTTCTCCCGAAAACTAACATTTTACCAAAAAAAAATGGGTTCCATGTCGGCTCCCCCATGTTAAAATCCACTCGAGACCGCACCATGATGTCATGTTAGGTGCCCTCAGGAAGAGCCTGCAGTTCCACGTTTGAATTCAGGGTGTAGAAGCTAGATGAATCAGATTTGGTTTGGATTAATCTGGATTAATCTGGATTAATCCTAGGGATCAACATGTCGAAAAAAAAAATGTTCAGACTAGTCTGGAAAACCTTGTTTGTGTTGCGTTTTGTTTTCTTGTTTCTACCTTTATTGTTTTTTTGGGGGTGTGGTCTCAACAAATTTAAGCTGCATTTCCAATAGAAAAGGCTTGTGCATGGACAACAAATAAACAATTTTAATTACTTCAGATCATGTAATCTATATTTACAACATAAAGAACAGAATATATGCAAACGATTGCTTGGGCGCTGGCAACAAGCCTTTCTGTTTTTTTTCATGGATTACAACATGTTACACCCCCCAAAAAAGTCACCAGTTGACGACTACCATGGCCGCCATTGGCCCGTAGGCATGGCCCCCTTGGAGTGCTGGCAACGCAAAAGCAAGACCTCGCATTCGCGCAATGGGCCAAAGGGGACGACCTCCATGACACACAGCCAGGCGGTGCGATCTGTGCCTAGGTCGATTGAAAAACTTTGACACTGGGAGAAGCTGGGTTACATAATTTGGGACGATATCAGAATAGTACCTCGACCTTGAGTTTATACCTTTGAACATGAAGAAACACACTAAATTGTTGAAGTACACTTCCAGTTTTACGGCGTTCTTGAAGGTCTAGGGATTATAATGGGGCTATTCGCAATGATAAGTGAATTACTATTGGATTTATATATATATATAGAATTAATCAGTTGGGGATGACCGGATGATTCAAGGATATATATTTATACAGTAGATTTTATATATATAGCCATGTTTGATCTGGGACAATGATGAGTAAACAATGGATTAAGTGGGATACTCGATTCTCAGACAAACCATGTGGTGGTTTATTTCGTAGGATGGGAATTCGGCAACACCAATGGGAAAAGGGATAACATCGAGGGTACAAGTAGTTGGTGGGAACACTATTTGGGTAATAAAAGAAATGACTATATGAGTCTACAATGGGAACACTAGTGGGAGACAAAGTGCTTGGCAGTGTTGCCATTGCCCATCATATTTTCCATCCCGATTTCGATCATGACAATCCCCGTTGATTTTAAAGTTCTTCGGTGACTGTTCGATCTACTGTAGATCCGCAAAGTGACTATCGGTAAAAACATGTGGTATGTAAGAACATAGGTGAAGGATATGTTTACCATCTATTGAAAAAATAAACATCCTCCAATGTACAAAAGTGAAAGATGCTTCGGATTTGGAGGAAACCATCCATCCATCCAGATATGTACACATCGACCTATCTATCCATGTATACATCTATCCATCCATCTATCCGTTTGTCCATCTCTCCATCCATCCGTCTGTCTATCTCTCCATCTATCAATCTATCTATTGATTATCTATTGATCTATCGATCTATGTTTCGATTTATGTTTCTATCTATCTAACTTTCTTTCTTTCTTTATTTATTTCTTTCTTTCTTTTTTTCTTTCTATCTATCTATCTATCTAACCTATCTATTTATCTATCTATCTATCTATCTATCTATCTATCTATCTACCTATATATCTATCTATCTATCTAACTAACAAATTAACTAACTAACTAAGTAACTAACTATCTATCTCTCCATCTATCCATCTATCTATTTATCTATGGATCTATTTTTTTTCTATCTATCTATCTTTCTTTCTATCTATCTATCTATCTATCGCTCTATCTATCTATCTATCTATCTATCTATCGATCTATCGATCTATCTATCTATCTATCTATCTATGTATATATGTATATATATATTTCTATCTATCTATCTATCTATCTATCCATCCATCCATCTATCTATAAATATCTATAAATATCTATCTATCCATCCATCGATCTATATCTATCTATCTATCTATCTGTCTATCTATCTATCTATCTATCTATCGATCTATCTATCTATCTATGTATATATGTATCTATATATATATATATATTTCTATCTATCTATCTATCTATCTATCCATCCATCCATCCATCCATCCATCTATCTATAAATATCTATAAATATCTATCTATCCATCCATCGATCTATATCTATCTATCTGTCTATCTATCTATCTATCTAGCTATCTAGCTATCTATCTATCTATCTATCTATCTATCATATCTATCTAACTAACAAACTAACTAACTAACTAAGTAACTAACTATCTATCTCTCCATCTATCCATCTATCTATTTATCTATGGTTCCATTTTTCTTTCTATCTATCTATCTATCTATCTAGCTATCTATCTATCTATCTATCTATCTATATCTATCTATCTTTCTATCTATCTTTCTATCTATCTATCTATCTAATTATCTATCGATCTATCTATCTATCTATCTATCGTTCTATCTATCTATCTATCTATCTATCTATCTATCTATCTATCTATCTAATCTATCTAATCTATCTATCTATCTATCTATCTATCTAATCTATCTAATCTATCTATCTATCTATCTATTTATCTATCTATCTATCTATCTAACTATGTATCTACGTATTTATATTTCTATCTATCCTTCCATCTATCTATATCTATCTATCTATCCATCTATCTTTCTTTCTTTCTCTATCTATCTATCTACCTATCTATATCTAGCTATCTATCTATCTATCTATCTATCTATCTATGTATCTATCTCTCTACCTAATCTATCTATCTATCTATCTATCTATCTATCTATCTATCTATCTATCTATCTATCCACCTATATATATATATTTATCTATCTATCTATCTATCTTTCTTTCTTTCTTTCTCTATCTATCTATCTATCTATCTTTCTATCTACCTGTATATTTATTTATTTATCTATCTATCTATCTATCTATCTATATTTCTTTCGATCTAGCTATCTATCTATCTATATATATATATTATATTTATATTTATCTATATCTATATCTATATCTATAATATCTATATCTATATCTATGTCTATATCTATTTGTTGTTTATTTACTTCTTTCTTTTCTATCTATGTATATCTATAATATCTATATCTTTTGTTTTGTTTTCTTTATATCTATGTCTATATCGGTATGCATATTAATATCAATATCTATATCTATATCTATTGATTTTTTCTACCTATACCTATCTGTGTCTATCTTTCTTTCTATCTATCTATCTTTCTATCTATTTGTGCCTCTGGGTTTTTCCCAAAAAGCTGTTGGATTTGCGCTGATTTTTTATGGCCATGGTATGCTCGTTTTTTTTTACATATAACCCAGATGTGTGCCGGTGAGTGGGCATGTTATTTTGATTCTGCTTGGCTATGTTAGGTTTGTCATAGACTTTGTTCTTTGGCATCAAACCAGTCCAATCCCAAAGCTCGTTGGTTGTTTTGCTCTATGATGTTGGCATCCCTATGCAGGGACCCCACAGTTGGTGTCATTGTTGCCAGGGGTCCCGGGGTCGGTAGCTCGCAACTGATGGATGCATCCCTAGGATGGGTTTATCCCAAATGGCAGATATTTCAGCACTGTGATGAAGTCCAGTAGTGGCTTTGTTTTCCAACTCCAAGTGGTTTAGCAGCCCCATGGCAAAGCACCAGCCCAATGGTGGTCGGCAGTTGGTCTGAAATCCTTCAGTTTTTGAGCTTTCCTGGCCTCGGAGCCTCGTCCCTAGGTCCAGGATTTGAAGGGATTGAACATTAAACCGTCCTTTCGTGCTTTGAGTCCCAACGGACATTTCCGAAATTTCTGGGACTTCTTGGGAGTGGTCTTCCTAGTGTCTTGGACTGTAATGATGAGGGGATAGACGGATAGATATAGATATGATGAAATGTAATGGTTATATAATGGATATGCATATACTATGTATATATTATGTATATGGTTATATAATGATAATGGTGATGATGATGTTGATGATGATGATGATGATGACGAACCTCAAATGGTGTGCAAGCATGACCATCGGACATCCATGGACATTTCTTTTTGTTTCTTGCTGCAGCTAAAACGAGTTTGATCGGGTTTTTGGGTGCTTTGCTGGGATGTTCCCTGTTTGTGCTTCAACATTGGACACTCTAAAATCATTCGAGATCCTCTATGATTCGTGATGTATGGTGATACTATGCCCATGTCGTGGTTGTGTTGTTTTTTGTTCCAAGTTTATTCCTGAATATTTTTGGATCCATTCACTTCTATTGGGAGTACCGACATGTTTGTTAGTAATATCGCCAGATTGTGTGTGTGTGTATGTAAACTTTAGTTGGCAAAAGCAAGACAAGTCAGGATTTTGCTCAGTCGTGTAGTTATTTTCTGCTGGTTGGTTTAGCATGTTGGTGAGTATATATATATATGTATATTATATGCATATAGATCCACTTGGTTTAAATTGTTGAAAGTTGTTCAGCCCATGCCCGCCATTGTTCATCTTTGCATCCACTCCCGGTGGTGAGTATATTCATGATGTGTTCTTTTGTTCAACCATGTATCTTAAGCTCACTTGACATCAAGCAACATCCATCTTTTCAGACAAATATTCGGCCCATGTTGGTTCCTTTGACTGAAAAAAAACATGTTCAAGCCTCAATTTATTAGGTCCTTCCTTCTAAGTCTTCTAAGTCGAGGCCGGCGAGGAGATGAACGAGCTTTCCATGGGGTTGCTCCCAATAGCTGGATGGTTTATTTCATGGAAAATTCTGCTAAAGTGCACAATTTAGGGGTACCCCCATCTTAGGAAACCTCCATGTGAGTTCATATGCACCATTAAATTTGGTTCTGGTTTCATAATGGGGCGTTTATCTTTTATCCTTAACAGGGATGGTGGTTCCGGACACATGAGAATTTGAGATTTCAAGTGGGTCCCAGATTGCTGGGTACCCCCGAAAAAAAAAAACGCTGGTGATAAGTCAGCCTTTGTTCATTGACATTGCAATTCCGTTGATAAAATATTAAATCCCATTGTTTTTGGACAGACTATAAAATACCAAATTGCTGTTCATCTCCCACGATAATCATTTTTTGTTTATCCCATGACATATCCCCATACCATAGTTGGTCCACATTCGCACGTGTCTTGTTTCTTGCCAAAGTGCCTCATGTTTCCTAAGTCGCTTAGCCCCAGGGTAGCCCCAAATCCACTCGAATCAGAATTTTTCAGAGCAGAATCGAGGTCCTGGATGCTGTTATCCTACCTTTGCAGTTTGTGATCAACGACTTCTACCAGCAGATGTCGGTCTTCTTTGTCATCTCCCAGGTCCAGGTTGGAATCGGTTCGAAGCGACGAAATCCAGGATTTCATGGGGATGGGGGAGAAACAATGAATCAAAAGGATTTACCTTCTTGTAAACTAAGATAGATGTGGAAAAGCCAAGAATTTCAATGATTGTTCATAATTGTCTAGGCGAAGCATGGGTATATTCCACGTGTTTTTTTTTATGTTTACACCAGGAGAATGGAACTTAATGGGATTTGATTGATGGTTGAACGATGATTTAACCAACAAAAATGATGATAGTAGTTGAAATTACCTCTTATGGAAGCCATGGCCCATTTATACATGATTTACCTATTGAAAAGGATGATTTTCCATAGCTATCTTAAGGTACCATACATTAATATTGAGCCACTGCGTTATGGGCTTTGTAAGCACTGGAATGATAAAGGTACTACTTTTTGTTTTCCATCCATCATAGTCACAGACGGGATACGTTCCAATCTACATGGTTTGAACAGTTTGGAAACTGTTCAAGTGGTGTATGTAACCAGCCTTTTTCTTTGCTGCTGATCCACCCTACATGTGAAAAGGCCCCAGATATGTTTTGGCCATGTTGAGTAGTAACTGTTCCATGTTAGTGTACCGAATGGATTGACATAATTGACATATACCATAAATTTCTATAAATCCTGCACTTCAGAAACCTGAGACTGTGGTTTCTATAGCTAATGGTTGCCTTTGTTCCACCTTTTTATTTCGCCGTTTCGCCATATATGGTCTGAAATTTGGTCTTCCACCAGCCTTTTTTTTGCTTGGAAAAGTTTGACAGGTGTTCTACTGGTGCTTTGACTTGATCTTGTCCTTCTTCACAGGGTATTTGCACAAAGGAGACCTGGTCTCCAATCCAAGAGCCATTGCGTGTCGCTACTTGTCGCTTGGCAGTCATGGATTTTTATGGCCAACGAAATCCCACGGCTTTTTCAGGATGTCCAAATAGTTTTAGAAGATAAATTCTGTCAGGTGTGCATCATGATACCATAGAGATATTCTTCGAAACCAATTTCTACTAAAAGAGCCTTTTCAGTACCTTTATCATCATTTCGGGAACCACTGACTTTGTGTCACTTGTTCCCAAAAAGAAAGGGATGAGGGTGAAATATGTTGCAAGGTGTAGTAGCAAAAGTGCGGCTGGAACCCTTACAGTAGTAAATACTGGTTGTAGTGTTACTAGATGTTACTAGTATATATTGTATGCATGTAATATGTTTTTCTGCATGGTATACACGTGCACATATACATATAAATTACATACATATGATTTTGATTAATTATTGTATATATATATATATATGCTACCCCCCCTCCTGTACCTACCTTTAGCCTTTGTTGACAATGTGGATTCCACCAGATGAGTGCATTGTTTTGGTAATTGATATTGAAAATGAATATGCCACTGATGATATCATAGAAGTTAACAAGGAAAATAACCCAATTATGATAAGGGTGGTTTATGCTGGAACTGGCAACAGTTATATATGTCAGAAAATGGTAGGTAAAGGGTATAAGGTAATGTTTGTATGTCCTACTAATAGATTGCTTCAAGAATTTGAAGGAGACACACTAACATTAAATAAGTTTTTTGGTAGAAGTTTTGGTGATGTAATATTAGAACCATTTGATTATTCAGGGTATGGTGTAATAGTTTTCATGAAATTTACTTCAGTAGTTTAAGCACCTACTGGAGAATAAAACAATTTGTAGAAGAGAATAAAAGCAACAAAATAATAGTAGCAACAGGAGACACAAAGCAACTAAAACCTATTCAACCACTAACTAACATTCAAGAGTATGAAATATATGCTGACTATATCATAAACAATATTTTCACAAATAGTATGTTATTAAAAGAATGTAAGCGACTGAAAACAAAAGAGGATAAAGAAAAATATAAGCAATGTAAAAACTGATATTCTTGTAAATAAACTACCAAGATTCCCCCAAGACTTTCTGTGCAATCTTGGTTCTTGGTTCTTGGTTCCAGTGAGGTCCTAGGACCTCCTAAAAAACGTTTAAAAAAATATACCCCAAAATATGCAACAAACACCGTAAATACCGGCAAAGGTACAGAAAGGGTACGTACAGGGGGGGGGGGCCACCATATATATATATATATATATATATATATGGGAGCGGTTCTGTGCATGGACATAACAAATCTTGCATGGCGACTGACGAGCCGATGGCGTGTGCGATTGGGAATGTGGTGTTAAGCAAAAATCATTGAACATCATGATAGCTGGGTACATAATCATGGATGGATACATAATGTATGATCATCCCTGGATTGTGCTGGATATCGGTGGGTCCTATCATCCAGAGATAGTTGGGTACATAATGCTCTGGATTTCTGTGTGGGACTACAATTTCCCATAGATCGATTGTAGTGCAATTCCACAAGGAAAATGCAGCCTTCCCACAAGCAGTTTTGGGCAACCCTCCATATACAATCATATACAGTACACACATACACCTAATACAAGTATAGGAACACGACTTTCACCGTTGGTACATCCATGTTTGTTGGCTAAGCAAAGTCCGCTAGGCAGTTTTTAATAGATGCCTTGAGTTGTGTGTTGTTGCCATGATGATTGTCTCATTTCTAGGATACTCCATATCTGGTATATTTACCAGCAATTGCCGCAAAAAAGGCGGGTTTTGGCTTTTGCTATTGTACTGTGTATAGTTTAGGTGAGTCTCTATCATGTGACAGCTGAGAATGCCCTTGAGATATATAGATATGATATATATATATATATTATATATTATATATATATTATATTATATATATAATTATAATTATATTTATTTGCAACACATGGGTCTTGAACTATGTGGGCCGAAACCACAAGGAGGACATGGTTCCTGCCGGCATCTGGTCCGCAAGAGAGGTTGCGTCACTCCACGGCAACAAAAAGATGTTTCTATGAGGCTTCTGGGATACCTTGACAATATTAGTCTGATTGGTGGTTTGGACCATTTTTTATTTTTCCATATATTGGGGATAATCATCCCAACTGACTAATATTTTTCAGAGGGGTTCAAGCCACCGACCAATAGTGCTGTGTTTGACCAGCTTTGCGCTGGATCAGAATGGAGATACTGTGGATCATGCACCTGTAAATGGAATAGCCTCAGTTCAGGGTTTTACACACAAGTACTTGCCAAACTCTGTAACCCTGATGAATAGCATATTCTGTGATTCATCACATCCATCTCCATCATTTCGAATATCTATCTACAGTCTGTACAAGTACTGTCCATGTATCCCTAACATATTTTTTGGGGGACACAGGGTTGCCTGATCTCAGAATTCACTCATCCCTCCGCTCGTCCCAGGACGTGGTGGTGACCACAATCGACATCACTTTGGAAGCCACGCAGGGGGGCGGCAGTGCCAACAAAAGCACGAAGGTCTTGCGGCTTCTAAGGCGGGACGCAACGAACGGGAGTGCGGAACGGAACGGGAGTGCGGAACGGAACGGGCGCGGACCGGTGGTAGAACAGTGGTAGAACAACCCCTGACATGAGGAGATATGAGGTGGGAGATAAGGCGAAAATTCGCATGAATGAGCCACAAACGGCCATATGCCCAGTTCCTAAGTGGAACTGCAGCCTGGATGCTTCGCCTGAAGTGTTTGGAGCATGTTTTTTTCCTCCCAAATTATTGTGGATTGGAAGTCAACAGCAACGCTGGACGAATTTTGGCTGGCACTTCCATGCGGATCTACTGAGGGATTTACCGGGTGGTTCCCAAGTTTAAGAAGCATTGACGCAGCATCTTGCAGAAACTGGCGTCAATCATATCTGCGGCCTTGGGTTTGAAAAGATCTTGGGTTTTCCGTGATATTCCATTGCCAGGGTTAATTGCAAGACTACGAGGGTACCCAGCTGTGTTGTCCCAAGCCTAACATGTTTCCTTTTTGGTCACGAAAGACACAATTAGGATTAGGATATGTAAAATTATATAATATATTATAATATGATATTGGCTACCAGTTAAGGATCATTGAACCAATTAAATAAAATAAACCAACGCAAGCCATGTAAAGTCTAATTGTCTATCGTTCGGCCAGATTAATATTTGCAAAATGGTTTACCAGAGCATCGCAGGTAGATTTATTTGTCATGTCACCCATTAATATCATCAATCATGGGTTGTATAATCCATTGAAGGGGGTACCCATGAAAATCATCAATCACTAACAGATCCTAAAACATATTGAAAGGGATTATTATGTGTTGTTTTACTGTAATCATATCGCCGCAACAATCCCTCCCCGCTGCTATCTAATATCCACCTAGAAACCTGGATTAGTATTGAATCGATTCAATGTGAACGCCCGGCCATGGGTAGCATTGAGTACTATAATATATATATATATTGTAATAGTACCTAGACCATCAAGAACAACACCTTCGAAATGGATGTTTGCCCCACGTGTTTTGTTCTTACATGTTTGTACACATATTTGGATTGATCACCGAAAAAATATTCCGAATGTTATATGCATATTTACAGCCATATTGATCATATTGTAGGCGTTGTATGGCCATATCATCACATTTCAAGATGTTAAACCCTATTCAATCCCTGATGGCAAAATGATGTTAATCCCATAGATCCCAATTGGCAAAACCTAAAAATCTTCATGTTTTAACTGTTTTAACTCCAATTTTTCATGATCAATCCCCTATGTTTCATGGGGATGTCTGGTAACACATGGTAACACCGAGCTCCAGGCTTTTCCGGGTGGTTCGCCTGGGCAAACTCTCGCGCTTCGCGAGCTTCCTCCGCGATCGCTTCGAGTCGGAGGTCGACTTAAGTGAAGTCCGCTGGGATGCGCGCCATGGAATTGCATAGGGGTTTTCATGGTAAAATCAGCTATAAATCAATATTAATCAATAGATACAATGGGGATATAATGCTTAATACATGTTGATCATGGGGCTATATTTGGGATTTACCCTCCAGTATTCAACCGTGGCATGGGGGAAATCCCCGAAGAGCGATTAAGTTTTTAACGGGAATCTCATCTAAAAAATGGGTGATTTTCCGGCAAGCCACGTTTGATTCCCGGAAGGTAACCAAACATGATGATTTCAGATGATTGATCATGATTACTCTCTGGTAAACAAACATAGCTATTGAAAATGACCATAGAAATAGTTGATTTACCCATATTATATAATAGCATGGTGATTTCCCATAGTTTATGGAATAGTTTGCCAGAGGGTAATCTATATTCATCCATCATTTTTTGTCTGAAGCAACACTTAAGTTGGACCTGCTGCTTTTGGCCAGTCTCCAACACTTGTACCCTCTGGTAAACTAACATAGCTATGGAAAATCACCATTTTCAATGGGAAAATCCACTATAAATGGCCATTTTCAATAGTTTTTTGTATGTTTACCAGAGGGTATCTGGGGTGTACCCTGTCAGGTGGCCTATACCCAGTTCACTCTTTTTTTGGTGATCTTGGGCATGCTTCTCATGGAGCATGTGATCGCCTGTGGTTGGTCCTTGTGCGAAGATGATGGGGATGGGGCCCTTTTTTTGGGATGACACCAGGATGATGCCAGTGCCGAAAAATGATGAAGTTGGATGAAATTGGTAAAAGATATGGTATATATGGTATTAAAAAAAAAACATAAACCTACCAAAATAGCCGTAAATGTCTTTCCATTTTTGAGGGAAGGGGTCGTGTAGTGAGAAACTAAGAAGCAACGCATCAAAGATATTCAACGATGGCCATGGGTATGTAGAATGGGGGACCCGAAACTCATCAAAGTTCTCGGTGAAACTGGTGGTGAAAGAAATGCTGACTGAGAGGTAACCCCATGTTTTAGCATATTTGGGTATGGGATGCTCAAGGATTTTTTCAAACTTCAGGAGTGCGATTGAAAGTGATAACTTTACCCGCAACTGGGTGCTGTGGTTGATCTGGGGGGTTAGACTGACGGTGAACCCCCGGCAAGTGATCAGCGGCTAAATGGTGCCCTCTTGATCGAAAAGCTATTAATCCCAGGGTTGACACTATGCGTAAATGATAGGTAATGTCAATCCCGTATTAATAAACCATGGTTTATTAATTAGGGGGGTACTCCTCCAATAGTCATAATCTAGTACTTACATGGTACTTTCCCAATTAAACAGCCGTTTGGAGTTTATTAATCCAGGGTTGACATTCACTAAATCGCTCGTTGCGAACGGTGAAATCCCAAGTTTCCCACGGTGAAATCCTCATTTTTGGCTGGTTTTGGTCACCTTTTCGGTGTCCAACCGTCCTTGCCCACCCTGGGCCCCAGGTTCGGGGTTGGATCCCTTGAGTCCGACACCGAGAGCTGGTTGAGTCAGTCAGGAGCCGCCGAGTCCACCTTTGGGATCCAATACACCGATGCCCGGCGCAGGGGAAAACCATGGAGTCGTCGTCACCATGGGAAGAAAAGAATGGTTTAAAACAAAAGAATGGTCGTTTAGATGACTTGGATTTGGGGGGTATCCCTATTTTAGATTCCTTTTTAGGACACCACCGGAGATTTTGTTTGCCACTGCAATGGACTGGGACTTGATGAATGGTGATATTTAATGGTGATGGAATTGCCCAAGTTGATATGATGTGATGAAGACGATGATTTCATGTGGCAAAATTATATCAAATTCATCGTTTTGGATGTGGCAAAATCCATTTTGATATGATACCACATAATGTGGTGTTCAATAGCGTTTCAAATGGGGTATTGTCATTGTGGACCAAATCACTTGTAAATGGAAATACAACGGCGATATCATGGGGATATATGCTGTTGTTGTTTTTTTTAATATGATATATAAGTATATATATATTATATATTATATTATTATATATATATGATATATATATATCATATTGTGTACATATATATATATATATATATATGGGTGTGTCTGAAAATGTGGTATACCCCCAAGATAGCTATTTTAGTCATGATAATGATAATGAACCTAATGAACCATTGAATTTGGGGGTCTCCTATGTTCAGACAAGCCATTTCTGTTGGGTTTATTTTTCCGGAGTTGGTTGGGGAAGCTAAGTTCATCGCACAGCCCTGGATTTCTACAAGAAACAAATCGACCCTCCAAGAATGGCTAGGGAGTTTTGCCGTCAGTAAGGTAAAGGTTTTAGGTGAGAAGTGCAAATCCATCCATTTAAGATACATTTGTTCAACAAGAGTCAAGCCCAAAAATCATCCGTTCACAAGTACTGGGGACAATGACTACATTCCAACATTTTGGGGCAATCATTGAACATGGCGCAAAGTGTTAGTGATACATTCCCGCCAAAAGAACAGGATCTAAGCTATGATTGTTGGTGAGCATATTATGGATTATCCACTCATTTTCCCATGACCAGATATGGTCATCATTCTCATCACTTGAATGATTGGTATTCATATTGCGATCGCGGCAGCATGTTGCGATTGCGGCAGTATTCACAACTATGCTAGTTACCCATTCAATAACCATCCGCTGAGTGCAGTTGTGACCCTATGGACGTTGGGACGTTGGGCGCCCGGAAGAACTATGGCGCCATGGTTTCCCCACTGAAATGGAACCGAAAAAGCCCCCAGTTACAAGCTGCTTCAAAACTTCATCTAGGAGATATATCATATCTATTCAAATCTACCAATCAGCTCCTACTTCGCTTAGTTCTTTCCGCTATGAGGCACGGTCTAAGGTACAAGGTATGGACGGTATGGAGAAATGAACGTTCCAATCCTTGGTTCCCTGAGGCCAGCTTCAGGTGGGCGCTATCCAACCTTGGCATCGGCGGCACCAACATTGAAGCGGTCAGCGAGTGCCCTGCAGTTTGGAAGTTTGATTGGAGAAAAATCACAGGCTTTTAGCAGTTTTTGTTCAGTTTCAATTTTTGGGCAAGCCAGCGGGATTCAAGTTTGATCAGGAAAAAGGAAATTATGGAACTTGAGCAATTGAAACAGCAAACATGAAGATTGAATAGACGCTAGATATAGCTCCTGCGGTAATGACATACCATAAAATACCCCTGAGATGTTTGCAGAAATCTAACCAGCTACCAAAAATCAGATCATCCTTGGTCATCCTTTTCCCCTTGATCATCCTTCGACATGTAATTAGGTATATATTTTAGCCCGGCATCAGTGGCAGGGTTTGGTGTTTATCTAATTATGCCGCTGTCCTGATGATGTGTCCTTTAAAAATGTGTATGCCTGATGCTTCGTTTGACCCAGCGTTTCCATCTAATCCCGTTCCGATCATTCCAAAGTTTGTTGCTCAACTACCCATCTATCGGTTGCTTGAAGTCTATTTGTTGCTTGAATTCCATCGGTTGTTTGATACATATACATATATATATATACAATAAGTATACAAAATACGTACAAAGACATGATATGCATTACTAGTACTATTTTGTTACTATTTGTTGCGTAAGTCCATCATTATATATAGCTATATGAAACTACACGGGGTTTCCAAATCCATGGAGGTGCCCCTAGTTATCATCCATAGATGGATTTTCCATTTAATAAACCATCCATTTTTTGGGGGTACCTGCATATGTGGAAACCCAAAAAATATGTCTCAAAGGTAGCTAGAAAACGTGTTGGCCATATCCCCAGCTGCGCCTTTGGAACAATCCTCATTTCTGGGTAACTCTATAAAACATATATATATATATACATATATATATATATCATTATATAGAAAAACTTTATCATTATCAAATTATATATACTGTATATATATATATATTTATCAAAGGAAGTTTAGAAGTGAAACTTCCGACAATATGGACAGTTGAAAAGCAGAGGTGAAAAGAGTCAGAAGAGAAAAGATCAGAAGAAAGAAGATGCAGATGCGCGAAAAGGTAGGAAAGTCGCGAAACACTGTGTTTTTCCAATGATTTGTGGCTCCGGAGGGTCGAAAAGTAGGCTCGCTAAAGCGGCGGGTGCGGAGCCAGCTGGCCAGATGAGAGATGAAAATTTGCACGCCGTTGTGGCGCGAAGCACATTTTGAAGTCAAAATGTACAAAACACCTCAGTGTCGGACGACTTTTGGAAGTTGAGATGTCGAAAAAGTGCACGCCGTTGTGGCGCGAAGCACATTTCGAAGTCAAAATGTTAAAAGCACTAGGGGTTCGGACCACTTTTGGAAGTTGAGATGTCGAAAAAGTGCACGCCGTTGTGGCGCGAAGTACATTTCCAAGTCAAAATGTACAAAACACACCAGGTCCGGACCACTTTTGGAAGTTGCGATGTCGAAAAAGTGCACGCCGTTGTGGCGCGAAGCACATTTCCAAGTCAAAAGTGTTAAAAACTGACGGTCTCGGACCACTTTTGGAAGTTCAGATGCCGAAAAAGTGTCAAAAAAGTGCACGCCGTTGTGGCGCGAAGCACATTTCGAAGTCAAAAGTGTAAAAAACTGGGGGTTTTGAGCCTTTTTTGACGTGAAGATGTCGAAAAAGTAGACACTGATTAACTTAACTAACTTGACGAACTTAACTAACTTCACTAACTTAACTACCCTAACTTCGACGACAACAGCAACAGCAACAGCAACAACAACAACAACAACAACAACAACAACAACTACTACAACAACTACAACAACTACAACAATAGCAACAACAACAACAACAACAACTACAGCTACAACTATATGACTGCAACTACACTACACTAATTGCATTACACCACAACTACAACTCCACTACGCTACAACTACAACTACAGTTGCAGTACATCACACTACATCCAGCAGTTGTGGGTGAGGTGACCACTGCAACCATTGCAACCATTCGAGCAAACACAACTCCAACCACCTTTCGGTCAATCAGTGGCTTCGCTCTGCCATCCCTGATTCACAACAACCAACTTCTCCTATAGGTTTCCTATTTTTGAAACTTCCGCCACCGCCTTGTGCGGTACTACTGGTATACATATGCACAGTATATATATATATGTGTGTGTGTGTTTAGAGAGAGAGAGAGAGAACAAACTATCCATGGTCCATATACATACGCAGACACATCCATGTATTAGATACGTATACATTGTTCCACAACGACAAGGTTGGAAGGCCTTTACTCCATCATCGTGGGTCTAGTGTCGCTAATGAGCTTCTCCACGGTGATCTCGTCGATGACTTCCTTGGTCAGCACGTTGCAGAGCAAGCGGATGGAAGAGACGCAGCAGCTGCTTGGTCAATGATTTCATCAAGCAAAATGATAGTAAAATGGGCACTAGTAGTGGCATATAGTGTGTACACACGCATATATATATATAATTAGAGAGAGAGAGAGAGACCATAGTTAGAATCGATGAAGCCATGAATGAACTGGAGGATGATTCCCTGGGATCAAAAGTGGTGAAGAACCAGAATTAGTTTGCCAGGTTCCCACCAAGAGGTGCTTGCCTGTTATTTTGGGGATGGTCAAACGGTTTGAAGTGGCCAAACATGTGGATTTGATTTGATTTCACCAAATGCAATAGGATTTAGATACGGATTTGCATGAGGATTTGCCAAGCGTGAGCCACCAAAACGGGGTTTTCTGAATGGGGACAAATCAGATATGAACGATCATAAACCAAGCGGTTGAATCCAGCAGTTTCCCTGAAACGCGGCAGATTTCCATCAAGAGAAATGGAACCAGTGAGAGCTTACAGCAGAATGATTTAACTTACTTTATCATGATTGAATTCTAATACACCAGTCATCAATCAATATTGCCCAACATCAACCAACATTAACATACATTAACATGAAACAAAAATTACTCATGACTGTTCTCCCCAGTTAGAGTATATTATTCATTATTATTCCCTAACTTAACGACCGTTTTTTTGGTCATATGGATCCCCTTCAGTTGTAGCCCCCAGCCCCTGGCAGGTTCGGCCTCCTGCGTCGCTTCCTCCGGGTGAACAGGATCCCCGACGGCCTGGGACAACGTGTGACGCGCTTCCTGCACTTCACCTACCATGAGCGCAGCGCCAACTCTGAGGAGCTCAGCAGATTCTTGGGGATGAAGTCTTAAAGGGAATCTTAAGGGAGTATAACATAGTATAACTTTAGTGTGATCACATGATTTATATGATGCTATATACGTATCTATACATTGATTTCATGATTTATTTAAGGGATATAATGGAATATTACTTATTGGTAGATGTCGGATACGTGATATAACAATGAGATACAACCCAAAAGTAACTAAGATTCAACCAGGACTATAACTCTATCAAATTAGGATAGAATGAGGGAAGAATGGGATTTCACCAGGAATCACAGGGTTATTGGATAGAACTAATCACTCACCAACAATAACCAATTCGGTTACTTGGTCATGCATGATTAATTTTGGTATAATGGTAACTTAAAAGGGTTTTTTATATGGATTATATTTCATATGGTATATAACTTAGTTGTCCTACTAGATATGGGATAAATCTGGGATAAATATGCTATATTCCTGTGATTCAGCATCAACTTCTTGGATTCGGGGCTGACGTTTACGACGGGCTGACCTGGGTTCTGTAGCGACGTAAAAACCACCAATATGGGATGGTTAAACCCGCTTAAACCCCCTATAAATGATGGGATGTTTACCACCAACTGGTGCAAGATTTCGCAACCACCGTATTTAAAAAAAAAACGATTCGAAGCTTTGTCTTTGCACGGTCGCTAGGGTAAGCAGGTGAGATGGCGTTATAGGTCATGACTCCAATGGGGTGAAGATGAGCAAAGTGAGCGACAAAGAAGACAGGAAGCAAGAAATGTTGGCGATGTGTTTGTCCAATTTTCGGATACCTGACCCACCGAAAGTGAGACTTTGGAGCTTCAAGCACGAGGAAAAGTAAACTAAGTAAACCTACGCACCGTTGGGACATTTTTACCTGCAACAATGCAGATCTGTTCATATTAACCAACCAGAATAAGAAGGTCTAATCAACCAGTGGGAGTGTTAACCCACAAGCAGCATCTTCCTGGGCTCGAGCATTACCTGGGCAGTCGGAATCTCATGGGCTGGTTAGCCTCAAAGAAAATCAGATTGAAGCATTCAAGATATATACCATGCGTCATCGATCCAAACACATGATGATAAAACTGTGGATAAAAAAACAACACCATTAACCGGCCCTTTGCGAGTTAGGAGTGTTTTTTTGAACCCCATTTACGGCATGATAATACAATGTATGGCTCCATTTATAATTGGCAAAGGGCTTTAACTCCATGAAATCCAACGATGGCATAAAAAAAACCTGCACATCCCATCTACAAGGGAAACACACTGCGCTTGTTACCCACTGTGGTCAGAGGCTCCAGGGCCTATATATCATGTTCTATATATTGCTTCTTTTACAATATGTATATAATTAGATAGATAAACAAATCTCTCTATATACAATAGATGGAGATAGGATGAATAAATTGATTGATTGATAGATGGATCGATAGACAAATATAGATCGATAGATAGATAGATACATAGATAGATAGATAGATAGAAATATAGAAAAGATAGATAGATATATATTTTTTTAAATATATACATAGATCGATAGATAGATAGATGGATAGATAGATAGAGAGATAGATAGAGAGATAGACAGATAGACAGATAGACACATAGATAGATAGAGAGATCGATAGATAGATAGGTAGATAGATAGATAGATAGATATAGATAGTTTGATAGATAGATAGATAGATAAAAAAGATAGATAGATAGATCAAAAGAGATAGATAGAAAGATCAATAGATAGATAGATAGAGAGATAGACAGATAGACAGATAGACAGATAGACAGATAGACAGACAGACAGACAGATAGACATATAGATAGATAGATAGATAGATAGATTGAAGGATAGAAGGATAGACGGATAGATGATAGATAGATGATAGATAGATGATAGATAGATAGATAGATAGATAGATAGATAGATAGATAGATAGATAGATAGCTAGGTAGATAGTAGGTAGGTAGGTAGATAGATAGATAGATATAGATAGATAGATAGATAGATAGATAGATAGATAGATAGATAGATAGATAGCTAGGTAGGTAGGTAGGTAGGTAGATAGATAGATAGATATAGCCATTGCTATATGTATATTTTATATATATATAGATATATATATATATATAGAGATAGGTAGATAGATAAATAAATAGATAGACAGATAGATACATAGATATGAACATAGGCATGAACATAGATATAGATATAGATGCTGAGTGCGACTTGACTTCTTACTGCCCACGTTACTATTCCAACATTCCGCAGGACCCCTATATCCTGGACTTCCTCTCGAAATCGCTGCAAGCTGAGCTTCGCTTGGCGCGCTATCACGAGCATTTGGCGAAGCTTCCCTTCCTGGCCAAGTTGTTGACCAACGACATGCAGAGTGGTTCGGGCTATAATGGTATATACCTACAGTATTATAGTATAACAGTTATTATCTAGTATAATGGTAATATTATAGTATCAGTTGACTATACCTATAGTATATTAAGTATAATGGTAATACAAGTTTCACCATGGCTTTGTTTGAAAATAGGCTACCCATCAGTTTCCATCATTTTTTCCATTTTTTCGCTTTGAAAGTGGCCTCCTTCCTATCTGATCCCAGGTCTCCAGGAGGGTCACGTGGTGCAGACCTTGGCGCGGCAGAGCGTCTCGGTGCTGGACTTCGCTGAGGACGACGTGATTTTCTGCACGGGCAACATGGCGGTGGCCTCCTATAGCATCATGCAAGGTGCGGCAGGGTGACAGGGTGACCTATAGGTGGGGCAAGGGCTGAGTTCATCTTCGGATGTTTTTTTTTGGAGATTGGGGATATGGAATATGTTTTGTTTGAGGAATCTTTGTTGGATGGTTTGACATACACTTGTTGGCTTTCGGGTGGGGGAAAATAGGAGCTACAGGCCAATGTAGTATGCTGATGAGTGTGATGGTACCCTATTGTGAGTTTTTTAAATACATCAGTATCCTGAAATTGAGGGTCGGGCCTCTATTGTGAGTTTTGTTTTCAGAACCATTTTTTTCGGGAGGAAACACATATGTAGATCCAAGAAAAGAAAACATTCTTTATTTGCACACCTGCGCCTCCCAGTCCGGGCAGCAAGCACACTGACGACGACGACGACAACAACAACAGCAACAACAATGACAACAACAACGTTATCACAATCAACATTCTCACTTTAGAAAGACACATACATGTTTAAAAATAAAACCTAAAAATGCAAGGTTCCCCAAATAATTAGGTGCATTATTAGACCCTTATCAAAAACACAGCACCCGATTTTTTTCAAGGGGGCGCATGAGTGACCCAGCCAGATCCTCAATAGTATAATTGTTTGGATGTATCCATATGTACCCTACATTCTGCACAAAAATGTTTGGCTTGAAAAAACAAACCCTTTATCCACCTTTCTTTGGGTAAAGCTGGTCCATTTACTTTTGAAAACCATTTTGGCTCAAGGACCCGCAACGATGGCGGGCCCAGGTGCCCGCTTCAATCCGTTATTCTCAACCAAAAGGCAGCGTGGTCCCTTGGTGCCACGCGTGGGGCTAATGATGACGATGATGATGACGACGATGATGATGATGTTGTTGATGATGGTGTTTGTGATGATGATGATGATGATGATGATTGTGATGATGATGATGATGATGGCGATGGTGATGATGATGAAGATGATGGTGATGATGATTTTGATGACGACGATGATGATGATGTTGTTGATGATGATGTTCGTTGTGATGATGATGATGATGATAATGATGATGATGATAATGATGATGATGATGATGATGTTTGTGACTTTGAAGAAGATGATGATGACGTTTGCGATGATGATGATGATGATGAAGACGACGATGATGTTGATGATGATGTTGATGATGATGATGATGCTGATGATGTTTGTGACGATGATGATGATGGTGATGATGATGATGGTGATGATGATGATGACGACGATGATGATGATGTTGATGATGGTGTTTGTGATGATGATGATGGTGATGGTGATGGTGATGGTGATGATAATGATGATGGTGATGATGATTATGATGACGACGATGATGATGATGATGTTGTTGATGATGATGTTGATGATGATGATGATGCTGATGATGTTTGTGACGATGATGATGATGATGGTGATGATGATGATGGTGATGATGATGATGACGACGATGATGATGATGTTGATGATGGTGTTTGTGATGATGATGATGGTGATGGTGATGGTGATGATAATGATGATTGTGATGATGATTATGATGACGACGATGATGATGATGTTGTTGATGATGATGTTCGTGATGATGATGATGATGATGCTGATGATGATGATGATGAAGACGACGATGATGTTGATGTTGATGATGATGTTGATGATGCTGATGATGCTGATGATGTTTGTGATGATGATGATGATGGTGATGATGATGATAGTGGTGATGATGATGACGGCAATGATGATGATGTTGTTGATGATGGTGTTTGTGATGATGGTGATGATAATGCTGCTGATGTTGATGATGACGACGATGATGATGATGATGATTGTGATGATGATGTTGTTTATGATGCTGATGATGTTATGATGCTGATGATGTTTGTGATGATGATCATGATGTGGGTGATGATGATGCTTGTGATGATGATGATGATGTTGATGATGGTGATGTTTTTTCGTGTTGATGAAGAAGAATATGGTGATGATGAAGAAGATGATGATGTTGATGTTGGTGATGATGATTTTATTTATGATGATGTTTGTGATGATGAAGATGATGATGATGCTGATGATGTTGATGATGATGTTTGTGATGATGAAAAAGAAGAAGATGATGATGATGATGGTGATGATGATGATGAATTGGATGATGGTATGGTGATGGTGATGATGATTTTGATGACGACGATGATGATGATGTTGTTGATGATGATGATGTTCGTTGTGATGATGATGATGATAATGATGATGATGATGATGTTTGTGACTTTGAAGAAGATGATGATGACGTTTGCGATGATGATGATGATGATGATGATGATGATGATGATGATGTCGATGATGATGTTTGTGATCATGATGATGATGGTAATGATGATGATGATGATGATGATGATGGCAACGATGATGATGTTGATGATGATGATGATGTTGTTTTTGATGATGAAGAAGAAGATAATGAGAATCATAATCTTGATGTTTGTGATGATGGAGAAGATGATGATGATGATGAGAATGTGGTGATGATGATGATTATGATGAAGATGATGATGGTATGGTGATGGTCATGATGATGGTGATGATGTTCCTTTTTGGTGACGTTGATTGTTTTTGTATTTTGGTGATGGTTATTATTGATGATGTTGATGATGATTTGTGATGATTCAAGATGATGATGACGATTATGGTGATGATGATGATGATTGTGATGATGATGATGATTGTGATGGTGATGGTGATGATGGTGATGGTGATGGTGATGATGATGGTGATGATGATGATAATGTTTGTGATGATGAAGATGACGATGGTGATGATGACGACTATGATGCTGCGGTTGATGATGATGATGATGATGATCATGATGATCATGATGATGATGTATATGATGATGATGGTGGTGATGATGATGATCATCATGATCATGATGATGATGGTGATGGTGATGATGATGATGATCATCATGATCATGATGATGATGATTATGGAGATGTTGGTGGTGATGGTGATTGTGGTGATCATGATGGTGATGGTGTTGGCGATGGTGTTGATTGTGATGCTGATGATGTTCATCATTGTTGATGGTGTTTGTTTTTGTAAATTCATGAAGTAATTGTTCATGATGTTGATGATTGTGATTGATGGTGATGGACTGATGTTGATGATGGTGATGATGATGATGATGTTGATGATGATGATGATGGTGATGATGATGATGGTGAAATCAAATAAACCCACTGAAAAGCATGGAGCTCTGGCCTTTGCAGATGTTGGCACCAGGCCAGCATCTGCCCAACGAAGTGGGCCTACTCAACTGAACACATACATTGTGTCTATGCATTTGCAAAATCCCACAAGTGAGCAGCACGAAAAGGTACATCTGACCAGACTAGCCAAGAGGAATGGACGTGCTGTACTGTACTTGTATGTGCTTGTTATTGCTTATCAAACTAGGAAGACTTGGGAAACCCGACTGCCAAACACAATGATCCTAGATTTCTTTCAACCTATCCTAGTTTTTTGGACATTTGCGCAGCAGATCTTCACCCCCGTCCGCCAGTCTGAAGCCCTTGCGGATATTTTGGTTCATTTAACTAAATTTGCGGGTCGTTGCTTTTTATTGGACGCAATTGGCTTCCAGGAACGGGGCCCTTGCAATTTGTTGATGACACAACTATTCCATACTCATACCCTGGACAAGTCCGTGATTTTGTCAACAAGCACTCAGGTTCGGCTTGTTCGCAACATGCTCTTCGAATGAAAACTCAGTTTCACTATGGACGCAGCAAAGCGTCTGTTTCGGCATGTTTTGATAGCCCTTGTCTTGGTGAGAGCTCTTTGGATTGCAAAGTGGTTGAGTCCAAAACAATCCTTGGTGTTTTGTTTGATAAGAATCTCGCTTTTGAGCCATTGCTCTCTCAGATGATAGCGAAGGGGTGGTCCCTTTTTGAAGAAATGCTCCACGCGGCTGAATGTGGAGGGTTTTCTGTTCCTGTTCTCACTTCTCAGATCCTTGTCCGAATTCATCCGGTGCTTTTGTACTCAAGCATCACTCATTGGTGGCACAGTGTGGCTGGGACTTACGCCTGGGCACTTGTCTTGTTCTAGAATCCTTGATGTATGTAGCTCGCTAGGAACGCCTTCGAGGCTTCCACTCAGCCAGTGCGTTATTTAAACTCCTCTTGAAATCTTCGAGCTTTTTGGCCCCAGCACGTGGGCAGCAAGGCTGCTGAGTTTGGCTTGAGCGAATCTTTCCGACTGCAAGATTATGCCCAGTTTCCTCCCGAAATGCTATTGGCCCCAAACAGAATCCATCCATCAGGAAGTATGTGCTTTCCACTTTCTGCAAGAAGATAATTTTGTCCAAACGACAGAAATTTGACAGGGACCAACTTCAGCTCACTTGCTCTGACATGTTGATTGGTTTAGGTTTCTCGCCGTCTCAGTTTCGTGTTTCTTTCTTCAAACTTGAATGGGAACTTTCAGATTTGTCTTGCAGCTCAGTCACTTGGCTATATTTTCGGATTTGGAGCTTGGTTCGCATCACTGGCCGTTGGCCACTACCCATCTTTGGATAGAATTACTGAGCTACCATTACAGTTCATTTGTTGTGCTTGTAGCCTTTCAGTGGGGGTTTCGCGCACCTTACTGGTTTGCCCACGTTCTCGTAGAGCGTGGGACAATTTGCGCAATGCATGTCCTTGATCCCTTCTCGGGATTCCATCCTGGCCTTTTTGCAGTTTATCCTCGGTGAAGCGGCTCCGTGGCCACACGCTCAAAATTTTGTGGGAACGTGCATCCAAGCCAATTTGGCGGAAGGGTAAATTTAGAAAAAGGTGCAAGGTGCCTGATAGAGTGGTTCAACAAGTCGCACATATGTTTTAAGAATGGTGTTTTTATAACATTTTTTAAAGCAAAGGGACGATACATTGGTGCGCAACTACTACGAACAATTTCCCTTCTATTGTTATATGCTGTCTAACCGGAGGCCAGTGAAAGACCTGCGCCCTGCCGCTAGTAGCATGACCCGTTTGCCCTCAAGTCCTGGATAGTTCAGGTTTGAGGTCAGGCGTGTCAACGTCTGATGCCCCGATCTGATTTCCCAATACACCATATTTACTCTGAGCCTTCACAAGCAGAGAAATGTATCCTTTCTGAGGTGAACAAAACGAACATCAACTGAAAGTAGATTTCAATGAAAGTAGAGTGACATGAATTGGTATCCTTACTTGTCCTGAGATTTCTTTTGGGTTAAACAACATTTCTTTTTGAAAACAAGATGACATGAATTGGAACCCTGATGTTCTTAGAATTCTTTTTGGTTCAAAAGGAAAATGATTTGAAAACAGATAGATATGAATTTAAATCCTTACTTATCTTTAGGTTTGTTTTAAAGGGCAAAAAGAGACAAAAATTGAAAGTAAATTGGAATAAATTGAAATCCTTACTTATCCTTTAAGGTGTAAAGGAAACATCATTTGAAAGTAGGTTGATTTTAATTGAAACCTTTACTTATCAATAGATTTCTTTCAGGTTCCAAAGGAAAATGAACTGAATGTACATGGATATGAACTGAAATCCTCACAAATCCTTAGATTGTTCTTTTGGTTTCAAAGGATAATGAACTGAAAGTAGATTCAAATGAATTGAATTCCTTTCTTGTCCTTGAATCATCAATGAATTCAAATCATTCAATTGAAATCCTTAACTACTTAAGTTTACTCATCGTCCAACATTATGGGCATCCTCTTTTAAATCGGGAGCGAAGGAGATACTGAGAGTTTCCCAATCGCATAATGGTTGGTATATTAAACATCCACGCAGTATATGTATTTCGGTTATTTTCCCAATCTACTAAGGGAATTTAAACATAGCTATGCACATGGCAGAAACTGGCCCATTTGTAGATGATTTACTTATTGTATTAAAACTGTTTGTCTTTGTTCCAAACAGCAAGGTACTAAATCTTTAGAGGGTAGTTTCAAGGAAATGGGTGTAGGGTAGGAGTGTGGCAGGTTTGAGAAGATCCACTAATTGATGTTTTTCAGCATCAAAGGCTAGCTTGTGAAAACCTGGATAAACTTTGGAGGGGTGCCTTAGTCCTCTGATCTTCTGTTGTTTTTCACGGGATATCCAAGATTTGCCATGAACCCTCCAAATTTCTATGCTCGCCAAAAAAACGTGGGAGTGGTTTTCCAGGTTCTGTGCTCTACCTACAGAGTGGCGCAGCGGGTCGCAACCCGAACAACTGTTGGATCTCAGAAATGTGTCTGTGGACCCCTTGGGCACACGTGGGGGACTTGGTCAGTGCCAACTTCAGCCGAGTGCTGGCCATCCACGTGAAGGACCAAACCTGGGCATCAGACTGGGGTTATCTGGGCTTGGAGGGATGTTTATGATCCACATGGAAACCCACCACTTTGAGTGATTTTTTGTCCTTCTCCAATGGGGCTACAAGGGAGTAGAAATGGACCCACCAAACTGGATTTGTTTAGAACATCCCTGTGCCAAAACGGAGCTGTATAACAATGTACGTCCCACTCTTGGATTGATTCTCCGAGGTGATTCAGATCCCTGAGGAATTCATTCCTATATACGTTGTAATTTTTGTGATTCCCAAATTTTCAATAGACTGGAAACCGAAGACTGCCATTTTCATTTGTTCGACCAACACATTTGAACTTATACATCCCACGTTTTTGGATAGGTTCAACATAATGCTTTGGATACTTTGATAGCGGTTAGACACATTGCAAAAAAATATGAACAGGCGAGGTTTGTAGATGCTGGCCATGTGGGATCCCAAAATGTGTCGATATCCACTGGACTGCGGTGGCCCCCTTGTGCCTCTGGGGCTCGGGAGTGATTTTCTGACAATTGCGCGCTCAAACATCACATTTTCAAATGCTTTGAGGTTTGAATTGACTTACATTTGGTCAACCTTGGATTGGTACTTTAATGCGTTAATCTTTTGCTTTGGGGCGATCATAGAACCAGCTAGAAATATCAGCAGCGTACATGTCCCCCTGCTTCCCACCCAAATCATCCAGATCCTGCGCCATTGGAGGCTTCATCCAATTGGACTTCTCTGAAGATCGAGTAGCCCAAAATCCAGTGGTTGATCCATTCCATATTGGGGTGCTATATGGGATAAGATGGGATTGTCATAGGGAAAATATGGCCATGTAAGATTTTCCCATATTTTCCATATGACAATCCCATCTTACATGGGCACCACAAGCAAAGCTGCTAACCTGCAGGAGTTTTGCAGTATCATTTGCCAAGCACCAGCTGTGCAAGTGCAAGCCCATGCATACGCTGTAGACTATGTGGAGAATTTGTGCCCTGTTGCAGCTGAGTTTTAGTTTTTTGTTTTTAATGATATCATAGCAAAGCATTGGAGACCCCAAGAAGCCCTGTTCCTAACTTCTATGGGTTTGTCTGGAAATCAGGTACCTCTAAACTTGGTTAACCATATGTTTCAGTATTAAATGATACTGTATGTTGTCAGTGTATACCGCATTTTCAGACAGACCAATATTACCAAGAAGCAATGTTCCATAAGTGGTCGGCTGGGACTGTGGAATTGGAGACAGGGTACTCCAAAATTTCATTGTTTATCATCATGTTCCCTAAAAATTGTGATTCGGAGGGTATACCAGTCCCAGACAAATCCATATCATATGGAGTTTCTATTTTACCGAGTATTTTAATCTCCATAACAGTGCCAGCACTCGCGGCTAATGAAATTGATGCTGGTGTGTGGATCGAAACATGTTTTCCTCGAAAAGGGGAAGTTGATTCGACATCTACGTTGGGAAGTTCACCCAGCATCACAACCCACGAGACATCATGATTTGCTCGTTGACAAAGCAATGAATTTATGGCAAATTGGCAGGAATTGGCCAGGAAGTAGAAAATCCATCATATGAAGACGAGTTTCTCACTGATGATATACATGATGAATTTGAATGAAACATAGTAGAAGTCTTCCGCAAAATCATCAACCTGGAATAATTTAGCAGGGGATTATACTATATTATACTATTCTAAAGTTCCATGGTCTTTGAAATGAGGGCAAATGTGGATGCGCAATGATGTTGGAAACTCACCAGCTTGTAAATTCCTGCAGTGCTGAGATGAACTTGGAACTTGACGAAGACGCAGGAATTGGAAGTTCTTGGCTTAATACCTGGGTCAATCTTGGAAACTCATGGAAACTGTAGCTCAATCCTTGCTAGAAATTGGGTCAAGATGGGGAAGCCCAAATAATTTGATCAAATCGCTGGTCCCTGGGGTTGAAATTTTGATCCATCCCCAGTAATTACAAACCAACCACAACCAGTTTGGGGATCAGCTGCAGTTCCACGGGTGACATAAAAACTACCCTTTGAGCCGAATATAAAAAACATGTCAAAAATGGATGGTTGTCCCAAGAGTTGCTTGCTTTTTCCTTTTTTTTACATGTTTGTTTTAACATTTTTTGTGAAGTACTTCGAGGCTCAAGGCAGCTGGTGCGTTTATTTATACATGTCCATATGTTCATTTTCAATCCAAAAACTACTAGGATCATGATACCCCAACTGTTTTGCACATATGGTTGACAAGGTGGCGGGACATGGTCAAATCTGGTCCAAGCTTTCTGTGTGGAACTTTGAAACGAACAAGTGGCTCCAAATCGTTGAAGCTTATGGAAACCCCCAAAAGATATATGCGGAAAACATCACTACACCGTCCTGGAAAATGTATTTTTTTGATATATAATGCTATGTATATATATATATATGTGTGTGATTGGTGACTTTTTTGTGGTTTGCTAAGTTGCTCTAATCGGATTAATTACATACACCCCCATTGATGATAGTTGTTATTCTGGAGTTGTTACAGATGATTTGGACATATATCCGGGTTGAATATAAGCTTATATATCGCCACTATGCAACCACCTTTTCTGTGGCATCACTTTGCGCCTCCGGATCCGGCTTTCGCTGGTTAGGAAATCGGAGTTGCAGCTGAACGACCTGCCGTCTCAGCCGGTGTTTCGAAGGCAGCAAAGCATGCTGTCATTGACTCTCACAGGCAGATTCCAACGCCTTGTGAGTGTTTTCACGAATCCTGCTAGATCGGCACGAGTCTCACCCTGATGTTTGTTTTGGTGTAGATCACTTGATCTCCGAATGCTGCGAAACAAATCGATGAAAGGCTTTCGAGCCAGTAGTTTGAGAGCTATGTTTGATCATGTTTCCCAGGAATGATCAAGCCATTGGTATTTGCTTTTGTGAAGTCATCTGCATGATACAGCCAGCGCTCCTGAAGTCTTGTTTATCTGTGTTCGCAGGGAAAACGCCTCACTGGTTCAGTGTCGGCACAGGGCCAGGGCTAGTTTAGCCATGGGAAATCCATTTTATTAGATCCTTTGAGTGCATCCAGCTTCTTCGTGAAGCGTCAAATTGGTGAAGATGGTGAAGTGGTATTTTGAGTTCCAGCTGAGGAGAATTGAGCTAAATATTGTTTCATTTTGTTAAACCCGTGGCCGTTCAAGGTGTACCTTGACCCTCAACATATTCTGAAGATGTATCCCAAAAAATAATTTGAACGTAGGATGACCAATCGATTTTTAGGCGTGTTGAGGGTCTAGGTCTTCATTCGCAGATCCTGCATGATTTTGCGTGGTAGACGTGTTACGGAGCCCAAGGGGAAACGGGGTTTCTTACCTCACCGGAGATCCAAGGGGATCCCCTCAGAAAAACGGGTTTCAATATGTTTCAGCACCAAGTCATGGTTCTGGGTAAATTATAACGACCTCACTGTTCTCCCTCACTGGAATCATGGTTAGATTGCGGGGAATCATCCCCAAATGGCCGCAAGATTCAGGTGAGTGAAATATTATAATTTACCCAGATGGTTGGAGGATTCAAATAGGCGGCCCAATTTGTGTTTTGAAAACCTCGACATGGAGCACATGGGGCAATCGCCCAGGTTTTTCCATATGGGGATCCCCGAATCCAGCGATACCCTTATGGCCTCATGATTTTCTCAGGGCCACTGACGGGTCAAAGTTCCAAGTGTGCCCAACAAAAAGCTGCAGCCCCAAAAGGAGCTGCTTTGCTGATGTTTCTTCCATGGGTGCTGAAAGAAAAAGGCATTCTGAAGAATTTGGGTCAAGGTGGCAGAGTTTGAGCACTTCCATTGGGTGAAACTTTAATGATTCCCGCTACTTTGTGATAAAAACCATGGGTTCCCATTACGTTTCCAATATCTGAAATCAAACCTTCGGTTCCACCTTCCCAACGCATCCTGCCCTTGCTCCGTACGGGACGTCTGTCTGAAGTTCTGCGTGCTCCAACGCATCGGCGCGCAGCCTATCTCCGAAGGAGACGATGGGGCTGTGCCAACTAATACCAAAGCCGGAGTTCCATGCTTGTGAAATCTTACCTACACCTTCCGAGATGAAAAAGATATCTAATTTTATCGATACTTGGAGTCTGATATTCATGTTTTAATGAGGTAAACCAAATAATCTCCAAACTTGAGAAGAGGAACGCGTAAGGTAGGGGAGCCAAGATGGAGAGTGAAGAGGTTAGCTGGCATGTGAGATCAACGATGACAATGGAGCGGTACTCTTCAGGAACCAGGCGCAACTCCTGGGATGAGTAAACCACATCCCACAGCGAATTCGCCAACATTTTGGAATGTGTGTTTTTGTTTCATGTGCTTCTCCCCCAAATTTGTTGAATCTAACCTCAAAAAATCACGCTGAAGAAGGACGGTAGCCTTGAAACAAAGGCAACCGATATAAACAGAATTGTCAGGCTGCTTCAAAACTTATTCCTTAATCCTTAGCCAGATGACGGATTAAAGGTTTGCGGATTGTGTGATTTGGGGCATTCAAAATGACACTGTGGTCAACCCGCGGCAATTCATTGCAGTACTCAGTAGAGTAGACAAACGATTGAAACAGTGAAACCTGACTTCTGTGCAGCTTTGTCCTAGCACTTTAGCACTTTGTGACCATTTTATTTGGACATGGGCTTCACATGTAGTACACGTATTTGCCTTGGGCTTTGCCTTGGGCTTCCGGGGCCTTCGGAGTCATAGGGACCAAATAAAGTTCCCAAATGTTTTGTGACCTTTCTAAAAATCAAGAAGTGAACTCAATTCTACTTAACTGAAAAGTATAATATTTAATGTATTTAATATTCATGTCAATTTCGGAAGTCTGGAAAGCGCCAATTGTCATCTAAGTTTGATTCCAGTTGTCTGAAGGCAGCTTACGCTCATGTTCAAATTGAATTGAATTGAATTGAAATTCAAAACCAAATTTAATTCAAATCAAACACAAGCAAACCAAGTCGAAGGCAACTTTCACAAACAATAAACCCATCACCATTCCCAGTCATCTTTCCACAAGCAAATTTCTCAACCACGAAAACTTGAAACCTGACTCCATGCTCGGAGTCCCACCAAGTTTTCACGGCAGATTCAAATTTGGTTTCGTATTGGGTATTTTCATCCCCCAACAGAGGTGATGTAAAATGTCCCCAACAGATGTTGCTGGGGATGGATCACTGGGGCCAGATCTGATCCGACAGATGATTGAATGCGCATGTTTTGTTGTTTTTCAATGAAAACCCAGGATGAAGAAACCCGCAGATCTTGACAGACTGGGTTTATGAATTAAGGCCTCCAAATCTAAATAGAATGGTGGAAGCGATTTTTCAGCTATGTTCAAGAGATTGTAGCGGTTCTATGTTAAAGCTAAAAAAAGTTTCAACATGTTTCAATTAGTTTCAAACGATTTTATATAGCAACCCCCCAAAATGACAAACAATTTCATTCACTGTTGTATCTTTTGTTGGGGATCTACAATGGATGATTGTTTCCCATTGAAAAAGTACCCCAAAACTGGAGATAGCGGGACCGCCGCGTTGCTGACCAGATGTTTGGGGAGATTCCTGTGAAACTTTTGTCCAAAAAACAATGACCTGCAGATGTTATAGATCGATATATAGTAATTTTTGAATATGAAGGAAAGCGAAACATACGGAAGAAAAATCATCTTAAATCAGGGATTTGTTTATGGATGTTCATGAGTTGTCTATATTTTCGGAAAGACTTGCAAAGAGGTAAGCTCAAGTCCGTTAAAGATGGTCATGCCTTTGAGGAAAATCTTGCTTTTGTGGAGGTGAGCAATGGAACAATGGAACTTCGCGCAATTTTCAACTGCGAGAGTCGCGTTGCGGAAACCGAAGGCTTGGGGTTTCCATGTGAGTCTTCAGGCTTGGTTAGCTGGTAAAAGGTCCGAAATCCGAAGGGTCGGAGCAGAAGCAATGGTGTGAAGTCAGAAATCAGGGCAGTGCTATCTATCGACTTGTGAACTGGGTCAACCTTGTTTGGTGAATATGTTTTTTAGTTTGCCAGATTTGTGGAAACCTGAAACATAGTGTGTGACTTTGTAATGTAATGTATGGTGTATATAAATAAACATAAATAATATATATATATCAAATTTACTATGTATATTATAGGGGAGGTCTCGCAGAACGAGAAATGAACGAACAAACATATTTGAACTTGTCTTATACGTACAGCTACATCGAGGAGTTGGTTGTTATTCGGGTGTTCCACAGAATCAACGGAGACTGCAAAAAGTAGTTCTGATGTGTGGATAAGTAGGCAGGTGTAATATATGAGCAGTTTATTGTCACAACATTCTAAACTAGTTCTTTGCTGTTTCAATGATTTTTCAGGCAAGTTCTCATGCACTGTAGACAATCCGGGATACCGGACATGTATGACGAAAAAGGAAATGGTATTCCTGGCACAGGGAGAGTCTATTCGGGGGATTTGTAGCTATTGGGGACGTAGACATGCAGCAGCTGCTGCTGCTGCTGCTGCTAGACTATCATTAGCATCACAAAAATGGCCGACCAAAAAGCTATCAATCGTTCTACGTGTTTGTTTTCGCTTGGTTGCGTGGTAGCGGTTCTGGGTTGAGGTTTAGGATTCATGATTCATGGCTAGCCTTCCTTTTTGTTTGACACTATCGTGCAATTGTTCAACAAACTTCTGGGAAGCTGCAGCCTTGATCAATATGAATCTACACAGAGGATGAAAACAAGTTGAAACGTGGACACCACTCTTTAGACAAACCGAGAACGAAGAGGTTGTTTGCCGACGATTTCAACATGCTCAAATTCAACTGTTTGTTCAGTTGCAAACATGGTTTTTCAGCCAAAAAAGCTGATACCAATCAACCAATACTTGGTTGGCCAAAGCACCAACTGGAACAAGTATAGGCCAACTGACACTGGAGGGAATGCAGCCATTGGTGGCTCTTTCGAAACGCCATGGAAAGTTTCAACATCTCCATGGTGTCAAATTTGGCTATACCGAGTAACCGTACCACATGTGAGGAATCGGTAAGCGCGTGCTTACCATCCACCTAGAGTAACAGTTATTAATGAAGTTATATGAAGTTATATGTTGGATCCATGCCAAAAAGCAACAGAAAAAAAAAAAGAAAACAAAACGGGGCCCCGGGGCCCGGGGCCGCGTTGTCGCTGGATTGTCACCGAATGGATCGTCACAGCTTAGAGTTTTGGGAACTGCACCGACGTTTGGGGCAATGTTTCGAGGCAGCCAGGAGAGCCGGGCGGAGCTGGTGACAGCTGGTGGGGGCTGATTTTTCCGCAACCAATTGGGATTTCTTCACCCAAAATGCTGGGAGAATGGTGGAGAATGGTGATATATGATGTTTTCATTGAAATATGGATAGAACAGTTGGTTTACCCTTCATGAAGACGTGCCGGAAGCTGGAAAAATCCATTAGAGGTCCTTTGGCTGCACCCAACTGGTTGCGCCACCAAGCCGACGAAATCCCGGGTTCTTAGAGAATGGCCGTTATTGATGAAATAAATTACCAGAAATATTAAGAGACAATGAGACTTTATGAGGTTTCGTTTTGGTTCCAGATTGACAAGTCACGGGAGTGGGAAGCCTAGTCAAATGGTCCCATCATTGGTTTCAAAACTTCGATGGAGCATGGTGGAGAGCTGCTCAAATCGAACTAGATGGTGGATTTTCCAGCCAGCCACAATTGATGGCCGGAGGGTAAACCAACTTTCCCATTCATATTTTCCCAAAGTATCCCCATGAATGGTTAAATCATGGTCCACATCACCATATAATCCCATTAAATCACAGAATTTCCATCTTTTTCATGGTTAAATCATGTTAAATCCATTAGTCCCCCATCTGTCAACCCATGAAAATTCTCCCCAGGAGGGACTCAATGCGCACGGGGCGCCGCCCCTCCGTACCCGCCCCACTGCCGACGCTGCCGGTGGCACCCAGAACGTCTATGGCCAAGATGATGTGCGGGACCAACAGTTCCGAACGCGCCTCCGGCCGACTTTACTAAGGGTCTAAGATGGAAGTTGGCCATCATCAACCCGGCTCCAGCTCAGTATGGGTAAATGATAACCACAAGTGAGAAAAATCAGCTATTTTACCGCTATATTGAGGCAGTTTACACCCCTTTTGCCTGAGGTATTGGACCAACTTAGCCACCTAGTCATCATAGCCTCATGGCTAGCTGGGAAATACCAAAAATATGGGGGAAAATCATCTAGAAATGGGTTATATATATATATATATTTAATATATATATATATATATGGCTTATAGTGCCATTTCCATATTAGATTGCCAGAGGCTAGCCATTGAAGGATGGGTAAGCACCATCTCCATGGCTTGGTCAGCTGATGACAAGGGGGTAGGCTCCAAATGTCTCACTGGTGATATCCCCATCATATCCCCATGGTAGATGGTGAAATTTCATGAAATTTGCGGGAACCATGGGTGGCATCACTTCATGTATCTTGACATCTAAATCAAGAGGCCCAGTGCCTTGTCTCCCAGGTGCCCGCGTCCGCAGCCATGACAGTGGTTTTTCCAAGATTTTGCCTGGGGAACTTCCACGCGGAGGCATGCTGATGTCTTTTTGCCAAGTTTGGCCATTGCATTGCACATAGAATATGTAATATATATATATATATACTAGAATTGTGTATCTTAAAGACAATTTGGGGTTTGCAATTTCAAACGTGTCATATAACAATATGGGTCTTCAAGAATATCAATGATCATATTTTACATCAACGGGGCATATTACTATTATTTTATTATTCTAAATATAAATATAGTATTACTTTATTATTTTTTATTGTATTATTATTATAGAGAGAGAGATAGATATTTCAATTTCCTGTCCTTGACACATCCACAAGGTTGTGCCCCCCCCAGTTATAAATTTTCTATATAAGCTCATGCATACTATAGATATATCACCAACAAAAACCGTAGAGTTATTGAATTTATTTGCACCAACTTGGCTAACTGTTTTTACCTATAAACCATAAACAAGTGGAGTTATAGACCAACTTAGCTAACTTTTGGGCACCACCTTGCAATGACATCTTCGGGTTTCGAAGCTGTGGTCAGGTTCGAACTTCAATTTGATGGACTCCTCCGACGGGAATGATCGTCAGGAACGCCAGGTGCGGGCACGTGCTATTTTGAGCAGTTCATTAAGTGCCTTTGTTGGTTAGTCATTCGGTGATAATCACAGTAACCATACATGAGGTTTAAGCATGATGAATGACTAGCCAATCATTGGATTTTAATCATGAATGATCACAATAACATAGAGTAACCAATAACCATTAAGCATCATTAATAGGTGGGTTTTAACGATGAAACGATGGAGATATAGTTGGGATATCGTTTATACATGAAGTTTTGGTTGCTAATTGTAGGGGGTTGTTCTACTCAACACATCTAGGGTCATCATCATGACCATCATCATCACCACCATCACCACCATCACCACCATCATCATCATCACCATCACCATCACCATCACCATCATCACCATCATCACCATCATCATCATCCATCATCATCCATCATCATCCATCATCGTCGGACTCCTTATTGAAACAATTAAACAACCAGTGTAAAAACCAATGACAGGATTATGTACCCTGCTTAGAGGTGGGGGCCAAGTCTCAGCATGCCAATGGATCCACGAATTGCTGGTCGATTTTAGTACGGAAGCATTTCAAGGGCCAAACATTTTGACCCAGCCCATACCCACAGATGTTTTTCACCTGCGCCTCAGTGTTGGGGTGATGCCGCAGCACATAGGTCTTGTTTGTGAGCCGGTGGCTGGTGTGAAACATCAATCAAGCCTTTGCCAGGATGCGCCCCCACGGCAAATCCATGCCTTTTTGTCCAGGTCACCTAATATCACTGTTTATTTGCCCAGCAGGCAGACAAGGGACACATTTTTTGCTTGACATTGGCCCAAAAAGCTGCTTCCAAGGCACCAATTAGAGCTACAATCCTTGACCCTCAAAGAACATAACACAACTGTGGGAAAATGAACCCAATCTAAAGCAAAAATTGGGGGGTGGGATAGCTATGCTTTAAACAGATTGAGGGTCAAGGTAACTAAAAGAGAACATTCATTTCATAAGTATGAAACCTGGATCGAGAGCCTTTTTGGCTGTACCACCATTTGATTATATATAGGTATTAGCAGATTCTGACTTTTTGGGGCGACCTCCGTATCAGGGTGAATCTCTGAAGAATCTGGTGTGGACATGGATTGCTAGATCACCCCATTCCGTGCAATCAACCAATCCAACAATCATACTAAGCTTCGTTGATGTATATATGTATACAGAGTTATTTTTACATAAAATATAAAAATATATATTATATCATATCATATCATATCATATCATATCATATCATATTATATTATATCATATTATATCATATTATACTAAAATTTATTATAGTATATTATATTATATTATATTATTTTATATTATATATTGTTTATATATCAAATATTATACAACGATATAATGAATGTATATTATACTATATATATATATATACTATCTAAAAATATAGTGTATATATACATATAGTGTATATATATATATATATAGTGTATATATATATAGTGTATATATATATATATACTATATATATATACAACATGATGTCACCCCACCTTTGAAGGAACCCCTTCTCCAGGTCTCGGTGGATTCCTCGCCCGAGTCCCCACGGACGGCAAGTCCTGCACCCGGAAATCAGCAGAACTTGGCATCCATCTCGGTGCAGCAAACCTACGGTGCCTTGGGCCCCACCGGCCGGGGGGGCCTGGGCCCCGGGCCGTGGCAATGGCTTGTTTTTCCTGTAAGAAAAAGCACGATGAGTGGGAAAAACCGCCCAGAAATCATGAATTTGCTGGGCTGTTTAGGGAGAAAGTGAAGCTAAGCTGCCTCTAGAATTAAAATAGTTGGTTTGGCTGGTGAGGTTTATAGCAACATGGCCAAAAAGGATGTTGAATTAGCAGGGTGTTCCTTGCAATTGACGATGTTTGCTTAACCAATTTGTTAATCTTCTGACGGAAGGTGATGCGCCACTTGTGCAGAGGTTTGTCGCCGTAATATGGCTGAATCCGGTTGCATGCGAACCATTTGCTAAGTTAGATCATCCCAACAGGAGTGTGGAGGGATTCTAGGCAATGAAAGAGCACAGCAGTTGGTAATGTAGTAGTTCAGTTCAGATATGTTCAGATCCCATGATCTCATGTGGTCAGAATGTACATTGTTTGATGTTCACCACCAGGATTTCAATCCATTGATGCTGCACCCAGACGTTTTTCGCGTTCGGAGTGAGTTGTTGGTTTGGTGGACTAGGAGACGCGTCCCTTTGTTCAAGGACCCGTCTCTTCTCCCATGTGTCATTGCCAGGGGGCATGTCATCACGTTCCCTGGTGATCTAGTGGAATCTAGTGCCCTGAAAGTGGACCCAAGAGTCCCACGTTTTGGCATCCAATTTGAAGCCATATCCATAGGATATCCTTATTTTAACTGGTCAAAACACCCGAATTTGCTTAAAAGCCCAAAGATTGCTGTTGAACGCCATAGTTGTATAGTTCAACACCATTCAAAACCACCAGAAGTTGTTCCTCTCTGAATTGTCTGGCTTATGGTGGTTCAATCTCCATGTATTGCTTCACCGAGGCATGGTGCCTTTGGAGTGCTGGAAACGCAGAGCTAAGACGTCTGCGTCGCGCGTGGGGCAGCGGAACGGGACGTCCATGACGCAGATGCAAGCCGTGCAAAGTGTGGCTCGGAGTGGTCCAGAAACCCAGAGAAGGATTTCTAGGGGGTTTATGTCAATCAATGATTTAACGGTAAGAAAGTGGATGATGATGGAGTAGATAGAATTTGGGAATTAGATAAATCGACTCTGGAAATCTATAGAAAAATTGTAGAAATATACTATAGAAATCTATAGAATGAGAATATATCGGGAAATCCCATATTTTGTCTACTTCAGGATATGAGAAAATCCTGGGCACGGGTTATCTTTCAGCGATGATATCGCGAGGTCAAGGCCTTGAAGGCCATCAGTTGGCATCGGCCGTCCTTCTGCGCCTTGAGTCCCAATGGACATTTCCGAAATTTCTGGGACTTCCTGGGAGTGGTCTTCTTGGTGCCTTGGACTGTTTAGAATGATGAGGGGATAGATATAGATATGATGAAATGTATGGTTATATAATGGATATGTATATATGTATATGTATATTATATGGTTGGATATGTATATATTATGTTTATGGTTATATTATGGGAGTGGTCTTCTTAGTCCCTTGGAAGCCGGACGGACTCCGATTTCAGAATGCTGAAGAATGCTGATGACGGACTGATGGTGATGATGGTGGCGGTGGTGATGATGATGATGATTTTGATGGTGATGGTGAAATCAGAACAAACTGACTTTGAGCACAAAACAGACACAGACACATGAACGAATACACTGCACTTAGAGGCTTCACAGGGGCACAGCATTTCTGCGAACGTTAACTTCTGGCTTCTCATGGGCAAAACCACAATCAAAAGCGGCTTGCGGGTGTGGATGCCCGGTTTGTGGTATCTTTTAAAGTTGGTTTCTTGGCGCGTTTGGTTGGTAGGTTTGATCGCCCTGGACGGTGCATTCTTTGGCCATGGATCATTGACATCATGAACCGAAGAAGTAATCAGCATGCCCAACTGATTACTGGGATGTCTACACTTATATTTATGCACCATGGATCACGTGCATTCAGTTAGAATCATTCTGCCAAAAGTTTGGTCCATTTTGGTCCTTTTAGATTTTAAAAACATGTTGTGTAGCATTTTGTGGCACAACATCTGAACACCCACAACTTCCGGTCTTGATTTTTTTACGAGTCGTGAGGTGTCCATGACTTTTCTGGTGGTTCTATAAATTGTGCAATCCTTAATTATGATGATCCCATATTTTCGAAGATGCTTAAAGTTCAAAAGGGCACCTGCCAGAATGCTGGTTTGGCTTGGCCGGCTTGGCTTTTGGCTTGGCCGGGTTGGTTGAAAGCCACCCGAGCTTTGTCCAAGTTTGAATGTTGGTAGATTTCCGGTAGGGTTGTCCGAAAATAGGCTAGCCCATGGTACCCCTATATACCGCTAATAGGGTAGCCTTAAATCCACTAGTCAAATCTCAGATTTTTTGGAACTCCAGGTCTTGGATGCGATCATCCTGCCCTTGCAGTTCGTGATCCGCGGCTTCTACGAGGAGCTGCCGCTCTTCTTTATCATCTCAAGGATCGAGGTGGACGTGGGTGGATGGGGTGGAACCAGCTGGAAGCGACTTCGCTTGTCGTTTTGGTTGCAAAAGTTGCCAAGTTAAGGCCAAGAATAATGAAAGTCATGGGTCCAGCAACAACTCCTGGGTTTCAAATACGCCGATTTATGTGTTTGCACGCAATTTTTCCCGAGAGCGCCTGCGAAGGGTTCTTCGTAAAAAAAGCAGCCGTTATACTACATCTTCACACCTTCACATCTGCTGATCTACATCTTCACACCTTCACACCTGCAGATCTAGATCTTCACACCCTCACACCTGCAGATCTAGATCTTCACACCCTCACATCTGCAGATCTAGATCTTCACACCTTCACACCTGCAGATCTAGATCTTCACACCCTCACATCTGCAGATCTAGATCTTCACACCCTCACATCTGCAGATCTAGATCTTCACACCCTCCCACCTGCAGATCTAGATCTTCACATCCTCACACCTGCAGATGTAGATCTTCACACCCTCACATCTGCAGATCTACATCTTCACACCTTCACACCTGCAGATCTAGATCTTCACACCCTCACATCTGCAGATCTAGATCTTCACACCCTCACATCTGCAGATCTACATCTTCACACCCTCACATCTGCTGATCTACATCTTCACCCCTCACGCCTGCAGATCTAGATCTTCACACCCTCACACCTGCAGATCTAGATCTTCACACCCTCACACCTGCAGATCTAGATCTTCACACCCTCACATCTGCAGATCTACATCATCACACCCTCACACCTGCAGATCTACATCTTCTCACCTTCACACCTGCAGATCTAGATCTTCACACCTTCACATCTGCAGATCTCCTCTCGCTCTTCTCTATTCTCTCTTAAGGCGGGGGCGGTGCCGCCGGAGCGCCACGAAACGCAACCCTTTCGCACGAAATGGACGTTGGACGTCCAAAACCTAGGTAAAATTGCGATTTTGAAGCGTCCCCGGCAACCCTTTCGCACGAAATGGACGTTGGACGTCAAAAACTGAGGAAAAAAAACATTTTCGCACGAAATGGACGTTGGACGTCAAAAACTGAGGAAAAAAAAACCTTTTCGCACGAAATGGACGTTGGACGTCAAAAACTGAGGAAAAATTGCAACTTTTATTGGTCGCGCGCAACCTTTTCGTACGAAATGGACGTTGGACGTCCAGAACCTAGGTAAAATTGCGATTTTGAAGCGTCCCCGGCAACCCTTTCGCACGAAATGGACGTTGGACGTCAAAAACTGAGGAAAAATTGCAACTTTTATTGGTCGCGCGCAACCCTTTCGCACGAAATGGACGTTGGACGTCAAAAACTGAGGAAAAATGCGATTTTACTTGGTCAATCGTAACGCTTTCGTCTGTGTAAAAGTGTCTGTGTGTAAAAGCCTCTGTGTGTAAAAGCCTCTGTGTGTAAAAGCCTCTGTGTGTAAAAGTGTCTGTGTGTAAAAGCGTCTGTGTGTAAAAGCGTCTGTGTGTCAAAGTGTCTGTGTAAAAGCGTCTGTGTGTAAAAGCCTCTGTGTGTAAAAGCGTCTGTGTGTAAAAGCGTCTGTGTTTCAAAGTGTCTGTGTGTAAAAGCGTCTGTGTGTAAAACCGTCTGTGTGTAAAACCGTCTGTGTGTAAAAGCCTCTGTGTAAAAGCCTCTGTGTAAAAGCCTCTGTGTGTGAAAGTTTTGTTTTTGTGTAAAATCTTCTGTGTGTAAAAGCTGTGTGTAAAAGCGCCTGTGTGTAAAGGAGTCTGTGTGTAAACACTTCTGTGTGTGAAAGTGTTTGTGTGAAAAAGGGTCTGTGTGTAAAAGCGTCTGTGTGTAAAAGCGTCTGTGTGTAAAAGTGTCTGTGTGTAAAAGTGCCGTGTGTAAAAGCGTTTGTGTGTAAAAGCTTTTGTGTGTAAAAGTGTCTGTGTGTAAAAGCGTCTGTGTGTAAAATCGTCTGTGTGTAAAAGCGTCTGTGTGTAAAAGCGTCTGTGTAAAAGCGTGTGTGTAACAGTGTCTGTGTGTAAAAGCGTCTGTGTGTAAAAGCCTCTTTGTGTAAAAGTATCTGTGTGTAAAAGTGTCTGTGTGTAAAAGTTTCTGTGTGTAAAAGCCTCTGTGTGTAAAAGCGTCTGTGTGTAAAAGCCTCTGTGTGTGAAAGTGTTTGTGTGTAAAAGCGTCTGTGTGTAAAAGCGTCTGTGTGTAAAAGCGTCTGTGCAAAAGCGTGTGTGTGTGTGTAAAAGTGTCTGTGTGTAAAAGCGTCTGTGAGTAAAAGCATTTGTGTGTAAAAGTGTCTGTGTAAAAGCCTCTGTGTATACAGGAGCTTCTGTGTGTAAAAGCCTCTGTGTGTGAAAGCGTCTGTGTGTAAAAGCGTCTGTGTAAGATTGTCTGTGTGTAAAAGCGTCTGTGTGTAAAAGTGTTGTGTAAAAGCGTCTGTGTGTGAAAGTGTTTGCGTGTACAAGTCCCTGTGCAAGCGTCTGTGTGTAAAAGCCTCTGTGTGTGAAAGTGTGTGTGTGTGTGTCTGTGTGTACTAGAAATGCGCGTGTGTGTGTGTGTGTAAAAGCTTCTGTGTGTAAAACCGTCTGTGTGTAAAAGCGTCTGTGTGTAAAAGCGTCTGTGTGTAAAAGTGTTTGTGTGTAAAAGCTTCTGTGTGTAAAAGCTTCTGTGTAAAAGCGTCTGTGTGTAAAGGAGTCTGTGTGTAAAAGCGCCTGTGTGTAAAAGCGTCTGTGTGTGAAAGTGTTTGTGTGTAACGGAGTTTCTGTGTGTGAAAGTCTCTATGTGCAAACGTCTCTGTAAGGAGTCTGTGTGTAAAAGCTTCTGTGTCTGAAAGCGTCTGTGTGTAAAAGCGTCTGTGTGTCAAAGTGTCTGTGTGTAAAAGCGTCTGTGTGTAAAAGCCTCTGTGTGTAAAAGCGTCCGTGTGTAAAAGCAACAGTGTTTCAAAGTGTTTGTGTGTAAAAGCCTCTGTGTAACAGCTTCTGTGTGTGTAAAAGCGCCTGTGTGTAAAGGAGTCTTTGTGTAAAGGCTTCTGTGTGTAAAAGCCTCTGTGTGTGAAAGTGTTTGTGTGTAAAGCGTCTGTTTGTAAGAGCGTCTCTGTGTAAAAGCGTCTGTGTGTAAAAGGGTCTGTGTGTAAAAGTGTCTGTGTGTAAAAGGGTCTGTGTGTAACAGCGTCTGTGTGTAAAAGCGTCTGCGTGTAAAATTGTCTGTGCGTAAAAGCCTCTGTGTGTAAAAGCGTCTGTGTGTAAAAGCGCCTGTGTTTAAAAGCTTCTGTGTGTAAAAGCTTCTGTGTGTAAAGGCTTCTGTGTGTAAAAGCCTCTGTGTGTGAAAGTGTCTGTGTAAAAGTGTCTGTGTGTAAAAGTGTCTGTGTAAAAGTGTCTGTGTGCAAAAGTGTGTGTGTGCAAAAGCGTCTGTGTGTAAAAGCGTCTGTGTGTAAAAGCCTCTGTGAAATAGCCTCTGTGTGTGAAAGTGTGTGTGTGTGTAAGTGTGTGTGTGTGTAAAAGCGTCTGTGTGTAAAAAGCCTCTGTGTGTGAAAGTGTTTGTGTGTTAAAGCGTCTGTGTGTAAAAGTGTCTGTATGTAAAAGCATCTATGTGTATAAGCGTCTGTGTGTAAATGTCCGTGTGTAAAATTTAAAAGCGTCTTTGTCTTGAAGTGTCCGTGTGTAAAAGCGTCTGTGTGTAAAAGCGTTTGTGTGTGAAAGCGTGTGTGCGTGTGTAAAAAGCATCTGCGTGTAAAAGCGTCTGTGTGTAAAAGCGTCTGTGTGTAAACGCGTCTGTGTGTAAAAGCGTTTGTGTGTGAAAGCGTGTATGCGTGTGTAAAACGCATCTGCGTGTAAAAGTGTCTGCGTGTAAAAGCGTCTGTGTGTAAAACCGTCTGTGTGTAAAAGCTTTTGTGTGTAAAAGCTTTTGTGTGTAAAAGCGTCTGTGTAAAAGCGTTTGTGTGTAAAGGCTTTTGTGTGTCAAAGCGTCTGCGTGTCAAAGTGTGTTTGTGTAAAAGCACCATCTGTAAAAGCGTTTGTGGGTAAAAGCTTTTGTGTGTAGTTTTACCGCACGACATGGAACTGTCAGAGATTGAGGGTGAAAATGCTTGCTAGTGCATCCGTGCTAGGACGTGTGGAGCTCGGTTCGTTTGGTGCGTTGTGTGGGAATTGATATGTTCATAGTGAGCTTCACTGTTCAGTTTGCATGTCTATGCGACAATGATGTTTGCATGTCAAACGCAGGAGTCGTGGTCTCAGGCTTCGAAGAACACATTCTTTGCCTTGCATTGTGCGAGTGCGTAGCAGGTTAGTGCATGAAGTTGTAGAAGTTACCAAGCTGTTGGGTTCGTTGTACCTTTGTGGATGGTTCCTTCGAGAACTGTGTGATGCATGCAATTTACAGCATCATGGTACCGAGCCTTTTTTGGCAATTTGTGTGGGAAATTGTATATTAAAATGCAACAGCAATACAACTGCTTTCGATGGTGCGCGCTACACCAAGGTTGAGACCACACAACGACACTGCTGCTTGGACGAGTGTCGCTCAATGACAGAGTATAGTCCTGAACTCAAACTTTTTGTTTTGAAATCAAGCATGTCATGGCATCGAGATCTGTTGCAAACGTTTGCAGACATAGTGAAGTATAGTTCCTGGGCTCGGATGTGAACGAATGGACAAGATGCGTTTCGGTCAGTGTGAACATGAAGATTAGCATTAAATATCAGGAACAAATATTAGGAATTAGCGAACAGATATGCATGTCTCGGGATTTCTGAATGCAAAATGTTTGGTTCAAGTCGCGCACCCGTGACGTTTGTGAACGCATTGTGGTCGCTGTTTCATTTTTTCTGTATTTCTGTTGAATTGTTTTGAGTAAAGTAGTGTAACATATATCATTTACAGCATCAGGGTACCGAGCTTGTTTTGGTGATTTGCATGGAAATTTCCTTAATAAAATGACATAACACATGTCATGCAGATGATCATGGTACCGAGCCTTTTTTGATGTAGTTTCGCTGCTATGTCGAGTGTAAGGTAGCGTAACATGTGGCATCTATGGCATCATGGTACCGAGCTTTTGTTGTTTATTTGTTTATGAAAAGTCCGATCATCAAATTCTAGAAATATGTGTCATTCACAGCATCATAGTAGTGCTGAGTCTCGAGCTTGCAGGTCGTCGCGACAATGGTGCTTTGCTATGTCAAACTCAGGAGTCGTGTTCTCAGTTTCGAAGTTGAAGATCTAATACTTTGCGGTCGACTGCGCAAATTCATACAGATTTACCTCTTTACTACAGGCGAGTTGCACATTCCTGGGCTCAAATCTTTCGCACGGTGTGAACAGATTTGTCGTGATGATGTAGCAGACCAAAACAATGTGCGCTGTTGATGTGATGCTCTCAGCTGTTGTAGAGCTTCTGTGTGTTTGTGTGTGTGTAAAAGCTTCTGTGGGTAAAAATGTCTGTGTGTAAAAGTGTCTGTGTGTAAAAGCTTCTGTGTGTAAAAGCTGTGTAAAAGCCTCTGTGTATAAAAGCTTCTGTGTGCAAAAGCGTTTGTGCGTGAAAGTGTGTGTGTGTGTACAAGCATCTGGGTATAAAAGCGTCTGTGTGTGTGTAAAGGCGCCTGTGTGTAAAAGCCTTCTCTGTGTAAAAGTGCCTAGTGTCTGTGTGTAAAGGCGTCTGTGTGTAAAAGCCTATGTGTGTAAAAATGTCTAGTGTCTGTGTGAGAAACCTTCTGTGTGTAAAAGCTTCTGTGTGTAAAAGCGTCTGTGTGTAAACGCTTCTGTGTGTAAAAGCGTCTGTGTGTAAATGCGTCTGTGTGTAACAGCTTCTGTGCAAAAGCGTCTGTGTGTAAAAAGGTTCTGTGCGTGTGAAAAATAATAGGAAGGATAGGATGCAAACTCCGTCTCTCTCTCCCTCTCTCTATCTATGTCTCTCTGTGGTTGCAAGTCACGTGTCATATGATGCCCTTTACCAAGCAGCACAGTGCATGTGCATGGGTTGTCACATGTATCCTCTTCTTGATCAATCTGACTTTTCACAACTTATCCCTCCATAGCTCATATACAATTCACCAACCATTCACCGACTATTTTTTACGACTACCATACTCAGAGCAGCTTGAAAAACGTCTTTTTCGCTCTCGGGCCAACCGTCGTCTAGTTTTTACTGAACCATGGTTTATGAGGGGTGTTTCATATTATGGGGATGGGATTGCATTCCGGTTTCTGTACGCATTCAACCCCACATTTTGATGGAAATGACAATGTCGGTTGGTGAATAAAGCCATATTTGTAGTTCTGCCATGGGTTCTGCATGGTTTCAGCAGACGACTGGACCAGGTGTTCTACTGGTGCTTGGATTTGATTTTGTCCTTTTTCACTGGCTATTTGCACAAGGGGGACCTGATCTCCAAACGCCGAGCCATTGCGCGTCGCTACCTGACACCCGGCGTTGAACGAGCCTCGTGTTACCCTTGTTCTTTCCAAAACGAATGAGAAGGGCATTGACACTGTGGCAACGTCTCCCACCGATAGTGCGGCCTATCATATCATATTATATATATATTCTGTAGATTATTTGGACTTGTAAGATATTTATGTGCATCTGTGTAAACGTTTATAGTACGTATATTAATGGTATTATCTGTGTAATTTTGTGAACATAGGAACATAGTTGTCGAAAGCCTGTTGTCGAAGGGGCCAATGGTTTCAATGTAGATAAACCCATGGTTTTTTATGCCGGTCAATAATGTGAACTGCACGTTGAAAAACCTCCACCAGCACCAGCAGTGCCCGTAGAAACGGTTGCGTTTTGTAGCTAGATACCATCGGGCCGCCCAAAGTCAACCAGGAAGACATGGTTTCTGCCGGTAACTCGACGAGAAGGGACTTGTAGATGGGACGTGGGAGGTGGAAGTGGTTGTCGCCCAATGTAGCTCTGGGGAGAAATAGTAAAGCAAGTAGTAGCCACACCAAAAATTGCGGAGTATAGATCCAAAGATAACTAAGCTGCTAATTGCTTTACTTCATAGCATAATTGTTTGGCATATAGTTGCCTCGCAGAGCAGTTTTCATAGTTTCTACGTTTGTTCATAGATATTTTATCCAGCAAAAGTTTAAGCAAAATCAAGTGGAGCCAAATATTTGTGTGTGGGTCAGAATAGAAATCGATAATGCACATCAACAATTGGAATATCATCAGTTCCAGGACTCAAAACAATTGAATCCAACCACTCACCGGGAAGTGTATCTTCAAAAATCATGATTGTTATTCTGCGCTATTGTGTATAGTTTAAGCCAAGTAATATCTATCATCATGTTGAATATCTACTAATTCCCGCAGAATCTAACGTTCGCCCAAGATGACATAAGATATCTAGTTTTCCCACCGTTTTAACGCATGTTTCATCCGCTGTTCTAACCGCCTTGCAGGGATCGACGGTACAGTAGGTGTGGCCCCTTGCCACGCGTATGACACAAAATTTGCTTTGGCAACACCCTTTCGCAGACTTCGTGGGCGTCCGTGAAAAAAAAAATGTCCGTTTCGTGCGAGAAAACACAGGCTCGGGGCAAACGTCCGGATCTGTGCGTACTAATTAATCTACTGTTTTTATCTTTCTTTCTATCCGCCCTATCCCGAATTAAAAACTAAGTTGTCTCTTCAGGGCTCATGAGCTGCCTGCGTCATGCTGGCTCCCAGCTGTGTACTCACCAGCTCTGGTCATGTGCCTTGAATCCAGTGATGGGAAATTCATGTTCCCGTCAAAACACTGGGCATTTCGCCACTCACCTTCAACCATTGATCAAAAACCGGCACGAACATCAGCTGTTGTTCAGCTTATTTTTGAAGCGCACAAAGAAGTCATGATCCGACCATTCGTGACCGTCCACAATTCTGGCCCTACACAGTTTTGGCCATGGGATTTCTAACTCCTATAACTAGTTGGTTGACAAATATCATGAAATAATCTTCGTTATAAGTTGTAAGTGTGAAGTATAGGCTATTATAAATCATCATATATCATGAAGTAAGCCACTATACATGGGATTATAACATATTATAACCAATAACGAAGGTGACAAACATCATCAAATAACCCCATGCATAAGATATTTAACTGCTTTATTTACAGCGATTAACTGCAAGGACTTTGTGGTGACCACCATCGACATCGTTTTGGAAGCCTCGGGGGGCGGCCGTGCCAGTGCCAGCACGCGGGTCTTGCGGCTTCTCAGGACCGGAAAGTCTGTCGATTGAGTCGACCACAGCACCAGTCCTTTGAGGGAATGCAATTCGGGTTCACATGGGAAGTTTAGGGGATTTCATGGTTGTTTCATGGAATTTCATGGTGATTCATGGTGATTCTACGGGACTTTATGCTGTTTCAATGTGATTTAATGGGTTTTACTTTGATTTCGTTTGCTCAGTTGGTAAGCATAACTCCAATGAACTGCTTAACCATTTTTTAAAACCATTTTTAAATTTGCTGAATTGTGTGATGCTGCGTGATACACTGACCAATCATTCATTTCGGTGCTTTGCTCGTTATAATTTGTTGGTTGATGATATGTCCATGTAATGTTTCGATCGTTGCTCACTGTTTACATTTCCATGTTCTGCATTTTTGATAAATTTCAGCAACAAACAAACCAACATCGAATCCACCAAAACCCCAACATTATTATTTGATATTATTTGACTGTCTTGCTAAATCGCAAAGAGCAGCACACCCTATTTTTTTTAGGGTACACCTAGTAACTTTGATTAATGATTAATCAGCAGACTAATGATAGCTACTTTGATTTTAGATATTAATCCAATTTGGAAACCTCTAGCGACCTCACCGCACCATCGGCTTGGATGATTGTGGCCGGCCGAACATACTTCAGGAATATTATATAATGATATATATATATATATGTTATCTGGTGTCCCCTAGTTATCAGTTGGTAAACTAACATAGCTATGGAAAATCACCAATTTCATTTTTTAAAGTGTGAATCGACTATAAATGACCATTTTCAATCGTTATCTTAAATTACCCGAGGGTATCAGTTGGTCTAAAAATTATGAATTCTAGCTGACCACGTTGTTTTTGTTCATCACATCAAACTTGGAGGATGCCTTGTACAGGCCTGATTTCGTTTGGTAATAGTTGGGTATCCCAAATGGATGATTTACACAATGAAAAGAGATGGGTACCCTAGGGTAAACACACGAAAAGGGTGTGGAAAACTTATGGTTTCCTGAAATGATCTACTTTCATGGTGGATCTTCATATCGTTTGGTATGCTTACAGCAAAAAAAACTATATATATATATATATATGATGCAATATACATATCAACGCGTAGTCCAACGGCAGATCTTGGCCAATTTCCGCGACCTCTATTCTGATGGTGAAAACCTCTAGTTTGATGGTTTAGATTCCCATGTTTGAATATGTTGCTGGTTGGTGGTTTCAAACATTTGTTATTTTTCATAAGATATGGGATGTCATCCTTCCCATTGACTTTCATATTTTCAAGATGGTTAAAACCACCAACCAGGTTGGTAAAAAGCATTTACGATTTCCCCCATGCGAAAACCATGTGAAACCTCGATTTCTCCGGGTGAAGCACTGGGATGGTTAGAGTTTGCAGGCTCTTCCGTGTGGTGCGCCTGGGCAAACTCTCGCGCTTTGCGAGCTTCCTACGCGATCGCTTTGAATCGGAGGTACGAAGCAGATGACATGGCCATGGCCATGGTAAAACCAGGAAAAGTGGCCATGAGCTCAAGGGTAAAACCATGTTTGGCCATCACATAACAGATAAAATATGTGAACATATCTGATTTGATCTGATTTGTGTTTTAAAAAATTCTTGCGATGACCGGGCTACCCTATTTTTTGAACGAGATGGGGAAATGTTGATGTTCTAAATACCTTGGGATGAAATGGGATATATATATATATAATGAATATCAAGATTGATGACCAAAACGATGCAGAAATTGTGAATTCTACTAAAAAACAATGACAAACACCTTGAAGTAGTCCGGAAAAGTCAATTTTCCTATTCCAGGAGGGGCATTGTTTTTTTGGACCAACATGTCACACGTGGAGTGCTTGACTATATCTCCACGGTTGTGAAGTGGACAGCAACTGGGATATCAAATCTATAGACAGGATACGATCAGAAAAATATTATACCGACGATTTTGGCACCTTATAAACCATTCACCTACAGCTTCTACTGGTGGTTCCCTTTGTTTACCTGTGGTAGGATACCAGAAGGATTTTCAGCAATGGAGCTACTGACCAACTCATGATCCAAGTGGGAGAATCCCAAAATAAGAAAAAAGATTTAAGATGGTTCCTAGGGGTTGATTTAGACTATAACATTCATCTTCATTTATTGTTTTTTTCGTTTTGGTTTTGTTTTTTTCATCATTAGATATTAGTTACATCATTGTTGTTTTTTGTTGTTGATTGAGCATATGTTACCGATTGAATGGTCCACTATTAGTCCATGAAGCCACTGTGATTCTGACTTGCTTCTCAAACCCCCACACTCATTTGGGTGTGTCCAAAACGGCGGGTCACCCTCAAACTTGCTGGAAAAAAATCTTCGACAACCCTCTTTTTGTTGTAGGTTAGATGAGTTTGATTCTGCTGATTCTTGGTTGGATCTCTTTTCGACGTATAGGTGGCCTATACCCAGTTCAGTCTCTTTCTGGTGATCTTCGGCATGATGCTCATGGAGCATGTGATCGCCTGTGGCTGGCCGCTTGGCCCATGGCAAAACATTCAAAGATGAAAAAAATATACATATAAACATATATATATAGAGAGAGAGAGGGAGAGAGGACACTCCACAGTTTGTTTGTGTTTTTTGTTTTCGGTATAGATGGTATGCCTCATAAATCAGGTTTTTGATTTGTTTTACTCTTTGTTGTGGGTTCTATATATGTGATCTATATAGTCAGTAAGAAATTCTTGTGACCATCGTGGTAAAGCCCAGATGTTTTTTCGGATAGATTTCAATTCATGTTAGCTGTGGATATAAAGGTAGCCCTGGTTGACTAGTCAGGAAGGTTGCCCCAGAGCGGCATAGAAAAAACATGTAGCCCTCCAATGATCAACGGCCAAGATGGGTTCGGATTATCCGGAGATGACTAGTTCCCCACCTGCCAGGTGAGGGTTGTTAGATTTTATCAGAGTTGTTCTCCTCCTCCTCGGCTAGCTGTCCTCCTCCTCCTCCTCGTCCTCCTCCTCCTGTTTCTCCTCGACCATGTCTGCATCAACTTCCACCTGCACTTCCGCCTTGCCAACTCTTCGCCAAGCTCTTTGCCAACTTCCCAGCTCAGTGTGCACCGCTGGACCTCAACCTGGGACCTTCCCAGCTCAGTGTGCACCGCTGGACCTCAACCTGGGACCTGCCCACCTCAGTGTGCACCGCTGGACCTCAACCTGGGACCTGCCCAGCTCAGTGTGCACCGCTGGACCTCAACCTGGGACCTGCCCAGCTCAGTGTGCACCGCTGGACCTCAACCGGGGACCTTCCCAGCTCAGTGTGCACCGCTGGACCTCAACCTGGGACCTGCCCAATCAGTGTGCACCGCTGGACCTCAACGGCCAGATAGAATGCCAGAAGATATGTCAGAATATATGCCAGAAGATATGCCAGATAGAATGCCAGATAGAATGCCAGATAGAATGCCAGAAGATATGCCAGAAGATATGCCAGAACACATACCAGAAGATATGCCAGATAGAATGCCAGATAGAATGCCAGAAGAAATGACAGATAGAATGCCAGAAGATATGCCAGATAGAGTGCCAGAAGATTTGCGAGATAGAATGCCAGAAGATATGCCAGATAGAATGCCAGAAGATATGCCAGAAGATATGCCAGAACATATGCCAGAAGATATGCCAGATAGAATGCCAGATAGAATGCCAGAAGATATGTCAGAATATATGCCAGAAGGTATGCCAGATAGAATGCCAGATAGAATGCCAGAAGATATGTCAGATAGAATGCCAGAAGATATGCCAGATAGAATGCCAGAAGATATGCCAGATGGAATGCCAGAAGATATGCCAGAAGATATGCCAGAAGATATGCCAGATAGAATGCCAGATAGAATACCAGATAGAATGCCAGAAGATATGTCAGATAGAATGCCAGAAGATTTGCCAGTAAGCAAATGTATAAATGTCATGGTGGGGATCACACGAAGTAAAGTAATTTTTCGATATTTTTTGCAAACGCTGCTAAATGGCTAGTTGTGAAAGATTGTGAACATATTCCCATGTTGGAGAAAAAACATTCCCCCATATTTGTCCGTAGAACCGTCGTTTAAAGCTAGAATTTTTTGTTGGTCTACTTTTTTTGACATTGACATTGTTTGTTCGTTGTATTATCCTTTCATGGTTCAATACCTCAAATTTGCCGCATGATTTAAGCTATTCAGCGTCGTATTCCCCAAACAAATATCCTCACCATTTCCCCATCTCAGAAAGTACCATTGTTGAATTGCTGCGCTATATGAACAAAAAATATCTTCATTTTCTCAGTAAAAAAAAACATGTCTTCCTGAGGTTTGGGATCGGTTCCTTGGACTCCGAGTCCGAGACTTGGCTCAGCCGATCGGGCGCGCTGCATTCCTCCTTTGGCATCCAATACAGCGACGCCCGGCGGAGGGTACGCTCCGGGATCATCCGGTGACCCAAAACAGGGCCCGCAGAGCGATTCAGGAAATGAGAAATGATCTGAAAGTGACACGGGGATGTTAACAGATAGAAGTGTTTTTTTTGTGAAATCAATATGGATGCTAGGTTCGTCCCATGGACAACCACCACAGGATTGCTTCAAGATCTCATGAAACACCGGGCAAGAGACATGAGCATCAGTTGGAAAAGGTCGTCCAATGTATAGTTGATTCCGGGAAAAAAAATATGGAAAACCACGTCTAAATGGGCGTCTATTTAACTGGGAATGTCGTTTGATCACCCAGATTGATTCTGGTTGGTGGTTTGCAACATTTTTTATTTTTCCATATATTGGGAATCATCATCCCAACTGACGAACTCATATTTTTCAGAGGGGTAGGTATACCACCAACCAGAGATTGATTGGCCATATTCATCACCATGCAGAAGTTTCTCCATGGCATCTCCGTCGGTGGGTAAAAATTTTGGGAATCGATCCGGTGAAGCGTCACCGAACCGGGAAGCGTCACGGCTGCCGTTCCAATGTTGTTTGGATCGGGTTTTCAACGATGGGAATTGCTCATGGAATTGTTGGTTTTCCAAACATGTTCAGGCAAACTTCACACCCAAATAGTTTTGATAGCACGTGTCCTACTACAATCTACTGCATAGATATCCGATATTATCCGATTCTTGTTCCAGAATTGAGTCCCACCAAGCAATAATTATGTTGGTTTATGACACATCTAACTATACATATGTATATTTAGATCCCACATTATCCCATCATAGATCCAACTATTTGCCTATCTGGTTATTTCAACCAACTTGCCTATCAGTTGGGGGCCTTTCCCTTGATTTTCACTCTAGGTAAATTCATTCATTTTCCCATCATCCTGCTATATAACGAGGGTTGTGGTTTGGTAACTCTTAACTTAATGAGACCTGATACATGAATGAAAGCATAGTATCTTGCAGTAGTGTATAACATGGTACCATCGAACGATCGATGGATGCTCTCGTGCTGGCACGCTGAGTCCAGCCTGAGATGGGCCTTTTCACACCTGGGCATCGGTGGCACCAACATTGAAGCAGTCAGCGAGTGCCGGGGCCTGGCTCGAGATTTTTTGGTTGAGGTTCAAGTGTCGATCCAAGAAATGCTGGATGACTCAGCAATTTTTAGCAGCAAAGATAGGTGGGGAAAAAACAAGTTAAATTTATGACATGGACATTTTTGTTGGTTCAATCACTACATCATTTTCGCAAGCTTGTTTAATGACTTAAGTCCATATACTCATCCCAGGGCGTTCGACAGGTTGCCTTCCCCCGTCTTTGATGTTGACGAATTTGGCTTTTTGACCCTCCCCACCCAAAAACGAATCCCATAATTGCTTATGCTGTGGGTTGTAAACTCCTCCTATGTATTGTATATAAGTGAACTTCAACTTCCAGTATTGACATATCATGATCTACGATGTATACATAGAATTAAATATATTTATATAAGCATTTTACCATTTTACCCTGTATATATAAACTGCATTTGCGTACATATATCATATATCATATATATATATACATATGTGTGTAGGTAATACTATGTAACGTGTATGCACATACGTAGATTGTTCTATCACAACATCCCAAAGGTTGGAAGGCCTTTATTCCATCATCGTGGCTCTGGTGTCGCTGATCACTTTCTCGACGGTGATCTCGTCAATGACTTCGTTGGTCAGCACCTTGCAGAACAAGAGGATGGAAGAGACGCAGCAGCTGCTTGGTCAATGATTTCATCAACCAAAATGGTGGTAAACTTGGCATTAATGTATAGAATTTGTTTATACAACTATAGTTAGAATCGATGGTTCCCAGCTCCATTTCCATTTTGAATGGCCCGGAAAGCCCAATATTTAATGGTAAACATGGTTTCCTGTATATGTTCCTTTAAACCAATCCATTGACATTTAGAAGTGGGGGGGTCCATAAATAAGGGACCCCAAAAATGATCAAAATGCTTGGTTTACAATGAACAATCCCATTTCAGGAAACCTCCAAGTGGCAGTATGACCATATTATACCATATCATACCCCAGTTACATATGAGATATCCTGAGTTTTAAGGGTTTATAAACCACTTACTAATTACTGTAATTGGGATGCACATCCAAGTAGAGACTCGGCTGGGCAGCAACAGTGGTATATCACAATATGGGTGTAAAGTGGGAGAATATCCAACAGTAGATATAGGCATAAAGTTTATGAACTATTATATAAACCAAGAAAATATGGTGGTGTAATGGGATATAATGGGATAGTACAAGCCGACCTTATTCACTTTGGGTGTGTTTGTTAATGGGGAATGCCACCCCCCCGTTGCCGAAAATATGGATAATTACCCGTCACCACCGAATCTAAGCCAATAGGTATTAGTACAATTCACCAAAGGTTTTCCAACATTTTGAAACACAGTCAATTGCGTTGCACCGGAGCCACTGGACGTGAAGAGTTGACCCACGATTCATTAAGCACAATGCAGCTTGACCTAATTATCACAAAAAATGTTAAACTCTATGTATGTCATCATAGTTCATCCTCCCCCCCTGAAGACCCCAACCAATTGTTCCTTGTGGTGCGCACTGGTTAGAAGTTGGTGTATAAATATATTCTCACCATATACACCATAGTTCATCCACAGAAACCAACTCCAATTCAGCCGCTCAGCATGGTCCATCCTGGCAGGTTCGGCCTCCTGCGTCGCTTCCTCCGGGTGAACAAGATCCCCGACGGCCTGGGACAACGCGTGACGCGCTTCCTTCACTTCACCTACCACGAACGAAGCGCCAACTCAGAGGATCCGCTGGTTCCCTTGTTTGAGGCTGGTGATTCGAAACGTGGTAAAGCCAATCATAAACCATCATAAACCTCTATTGAGGATAGTTGATTATTGGCAATTGTTGGGGTTGCCAAGCACATTTTTTTTTGGGGGGGGTTGCTCTGCTCCTTTTTCACATGGAGGTTGCCAACATTGCCATTGTTTGATATGGACCGTTATCGAACCCAACAATTTGGGGTGTAAACTGATTTGATGTCCTCCCAGGTTGCCAGTGGTTGGGTTAGCAGTGGCCAGGGATTTTGGGTCAGCATTGCAGCCCCAAAAAGAGGCCTAAAAGTTGGTTCTGAAGAACATATCGTCCACTGTATACCATCTTGAACATATGTTTTCCCATATGTTTTCCGGCATTTTTGCTTATGTTTGCACGGATATACAACGGCCCCCACCAAGAAAACTCGGAGAAAACATCACCTACATAAATTTGAATTTGAACATGTTAAGTTGCAAAAGTTGTTGTATTGACATGCATTAATAAAGAACCCCGATGAACCATCATTTCTCTTTGGTAGCAACACTCAGTGGACATGTTAATGTTCAAACAAGTGAATGTAGATAGTAAGCATGTCTACCAATGTAGCGTGGATGTTATGCGTCAGATAGGATATGTTTATAGTTATTACACACATACGGATACGTACGGTTCATATATATATATAGTATATATATGGTGTTTACGATATATATATATATATTTATTTACAGATACCTACCTACTATTTATAGGTATATGTATATATATATATATTTACATATATCTACCTACTATTTATAGGTATATATATATGTACATGCATATATATATATATACAGTATACAACCTGAGTTCTTCTTTGGTTATTTCTAGTTACGTTCCAACATTCCACAGGACCCCTATATCCTGGACTTCCTCTCGAAATCGCTGCAAGCTGAGCTTCGCTTGGCGCGCTACCACGAGCATTTGTCGAAGCTTCCGTTCCTGGCCAGTCTGCTGACCAACGACATGCAGAGTGGCTCGGGCATGGTGAACCGGTAAAGGTGGAGAAGTATGTGTGGAAGATGTGAAGAAGTTGATGGTGTTGTATGGATCTTTTGTTCTGAAGATGGGTCAGATATATGGTCAGATACATTGGCGGATATTGATGGATTTGGGTCTTGTTGGTGGAGTTTTGGAGGCGAAATAGACAGCGAGGTGGGCTCTTGGGTGGTGTCTTCAAAAGACAGCAACGAATTATGGCCTCTTCAAAGGGAATGGTGACATCTGGGCTTGCGTCCAGATCTTTGGGGATCCATAATGATAGAAACCTTGTTGTCACAAGCTTCCCATGTAATATACATCATGACATATACATCCCAGAAGCTTCCAATACACTTCGTATGATGGCTTTGGGCCATGGACTGGGTACCGTAAGTGGATTACAACATATTACAAGATCTTATGAGGGAATGACCCATTTCCTCAGTCAACCAACCATTGCCCATCTGAGCCGAAATCTCAGCAGGGAGGCCTTTTTTTAAGATACCTTGGGTGCTTTGATCACCATTTTGACAGGTGAAAAAGAAGAGCGTGATGAAAAAACAACCCGAGACAGCACGTGGTATTTTGTCTCGCCTACCATCCTTAGAAGGAAGTAAACTGTTTCAAACTAAATCGCCCCTGAATGATTAAAACGCAACAAACAAAAAGGTGTCCTGTCAAAACTTCTCGAACCTCCTCAGTGTTTTGAAGTTGTGCTGTTCATCCTACATTTTTCCCATGAAATGCTTATTCGAAACATCTGAATTGTTTCAAACATATCTAGTTCCTTCCTGCCTATCAACAGGCACCGCCGTGAGACCTCGTTTTAGTTTGAATCTGTGCATTTTCAGGTCCTATTTGTTGAGGGGTGTCATTGTGAGGGGATGGGGTTACATCCCCCGTTTCAACCACCAACACCATATCCAGACGGTTAGATCCCCATTTTTTAAACATATGATATGCAAATAGTTCACTGACCAAATTATTTTGTGATGGGATTCTCCATGAAAGGGATGGGTCAATAGCTATGGAAGCATTGGATGAAGGAGGATAAACGCTTATACAAAACAAAATATATGAATAAATGATAATAAGCAAACATGAATAAGGATATGATGGTATTCACGACAGGTTGCCTTGTTTCTGTGTTGACTCGTACCTTTCAGCATGGGTTAACGTCGGCTCTTCGTGAATCCTGAGTTGACACTTTGATACTTACATCCTCATATTTGATGTTCGCATGCAGCTCTCCATGATCAAGGCCGCCTTATCAAATGATTGCGAAAAGAGATGAGCCCATGTTCATAGTGATTGGTCCTATACCTGGTTTGTGTTTTCAAATACCTGGAAGAGTTTCCATTTGGATTATTTGCTTCACTCCATGTTTTGGATTTTGTCGTGGATCAGATCCCAAAACTGGCCTCCCATTTGCGCACAGAAAGGACCCGGATATCCCCATGAATACAAATAGTGTATAAAAATGATTAATCTTGTTCATTATTAATGTGCAAAAATACATCATGTGCAATATGATTGTCGGATACATGTTTTATACACAAAACAATGTAATCACCCATCATCCATCATCCATCATCATCATCATCATCGAATCATCATCATCATCACCACCATCACCGTCATCATCATCATCACCATCACCATCACCATCATCATCATCATCACCATCATCATCATCGTCATCATCATCATCATCGAATCATCATCATCGAATCATCATCATCATCATCATTATCATCATTATCATCACAACAATTACCACAACCATCATCATGGTCATCTTCGGCATCACCACGATCATAATGATCATGATGGTCATCCTTATCCTTATCATCGTCATTATCAAAATCATCTTGGACATTCACTTGATTTGCCTGTTATTAGATCCCAATACCCATGTGCTTAGTACCCATGTGTTTCTCCCCACAACAGATGGGTTTGTCTCAAAATAGGCCCATTGCATCCACATAGAACAATCATCGTGTGGCCGATTCAAATTACAATTCGGGTAGTATATCAAGCACTATCCCACATAGAAATATCCTATTACATATGCATCCCCATTGTATCCTATTGTTTCCCAATACCATGGTTTGTTGTACGCACACTTCCAGACACATCCAGATTTCCAGCGTTTTGTCCCGAAAATAGGCCGATAAAAATGCAACAAAACCCATGAAAATCCCATCAAATCCGGATTCAATCTTACTATATATCCCATTGAATCCCATTGCATCCCATAAAATCCCAATCAAATCAAATTATATATCCCATTATATATCCAATTATATTATATTCCATGAAATCCCCAAACAAAAACATGTATATGTATATATGCATATAACCCTACAGGATATGGCCCCCAGTCGATAGCGTGCAATTGCCTTATGGTTGTGAGTGAAATATGGTTTATGATATAACAAACTATAGTACTCATAGGGGTAGCAAAAATTCAACAAGATTCACATAAAACTGGCATCCCATGAGCCCATCCTGTACAGGATGGGGGCCGCAGGGCCCCATAGTTAAGTTGGTTTATTAACCATGATAACCCCCATGAAAACTTTAGTTATATCAACCATAAACCATAGAATTCAGCCACTTCACCAACCAGTTAATTACAGTAGTTGTTACTTAATTATGATCATGAATCATTAGTCCATTATCCACTGTTTAAATCATTGAATATGTTATATAGAAGGCAACTCAACGCCTCAACGCTATCGCTCGACTGCACCGGCACGGCCCGGCACGGCGGCTTCGGCTTCCCAGCGATCCCAGGTCTCCAGGAGGGTCACGTGGTGCAGACCTTGGCGCGGCAGAGCGTCTCGGTGCTGGACTTCGCCGAGGACGACGTGATCTTTTGCACGGGCAACATGGCGGTGGCCTCCTATAGCATCATGCAAGGTGAGCTAAATGGGAATCCTGCTGATTTCATGGTGGTTTAATGGGAGTTAAATGGGATTTATGATGAGTTGCTGGTTTTCTTTTTGGTTTGCACAAGAAGATCTTTTTTTTCGATGATTCAACCAACACAAAGATGGAATTTATGGGATCACCCTGGGGGAATGAAGCTTGGTGAAGTTAGAAAGTAACTTAGTAAGTCCCCTCCATTCAGTGGGTTAAGCAGTTTTTGAAATTCTATAAATGGGTGAAGTAACTATGGACTATGGGTATTAACCACAAACATGATTCGTGGGATGGGATGGATGGGATGGATGGGATGGAGTCGTTGGAATCTCTGGGCAAACGGTTCACATGACACGGACCATCAGACATTGGTGAAATATGAACTTGGAGACATTGGGTAATTGGGTGTGATGGTTCCATTCTCTGATTTTTTGTATATTTTTGTGAGGTGTGGTGATTTTCTATTAATGTTGGTAAAGATATGCTGGAGTTCAGTGAGGTTACCAGCAAATGCGGCGATGGAACCCTTGAAAAATGGTTGATTTCACGATGAAAAGTAAAGATTGAGCCGATAATTTAAATCAGGCTGATTTGCCAACAAAACTTGCGCAGAGATAGATTTTTTTAAAGACCTGATTGAACATCCAGGAGCACTGCGATTCATCAGAGCATGTGTTGATTATTTTTTTGCGGTCTTAAAGCAGCGCATGATAGGGGGATGCATCCCGGGAATCGTAGCAGTAGCAACCATCTGAATTCACTGAGTTTGACTGGATTGGCCCCAGATTCCACGGGTCATATAGATGAGAATCTACGAAATATAGGTCTAGCACTTACCTTTTGAAACTTTTGGGGCGGACATCCATATAGGGGGAAAGTAAAGAGATGGATATGGTATGATATGGTTCACATTTTGAGTTAACCATTAGAAACAGCGATTGAGCCATCAAAAATGCAGAATATTATTGTATATCTATTCACAAGATGGCTTGCCTAAGAATGGTGGATTTGACCAACAAATCATGGTGGGCTTGAAAAACTTTATAAACCAATCATATCCAATCATGATATCACCAACAATTCTGATGTAGCATTTTTCATTGGCCATGCGGCCATTCTCAACAGACTTAGTACCATCCGACACCATCCGAAATCTCCATGGCTTGGGGATTTCCCTCACCATGACACCGGAGCCTGTGACGCTGTGACCCTTTGGATTAGGGCCACCATCGTTTTAGTAGCTATAGCTTTCAATTAATATAGCATTAATATAATCTGTTATCCGGGGAAATTTATGTGTGTATATATATAAATGGCTATTATATAATGGTATATAACTATACCATTGAAAGAAGAAAACATCAGCATCTGATCTTTGGGTGAAGTTCTCACATGTTCTCACCAGGTTCGGTGCTCTACCTCCAGAACGGCGCAGAGGGCCGCGATCCCAACGGCGGTTGGGTCTCAGAAATGTGTCTGTGGACCCCCTGGGCCCATGTGGGGGACTTGGTGAGTGCCAACTTCAGCCGCGTCTTGGCCATCCACGTCAAGGACCGCTCTACGCTAGGACCCTGAGGGGATCCCCATCCCCACCTGGAGATGGCTTCTCTTTTCATCCCCATGTTTTTCGATCATCGTCCCACTAAAAAAAAGCCTCCATTTTTGGCAGGATTTCCCCTGGCCATTTTTGAGTACCGGAGGGTAACCAATCCTGATGCGTTGCTCACAGCGGCGGAAATCGATGGGATGACAAGAGACTAGCAGGGGGTATTTGGCCAACAAGAATGGGCGTACAACACCAACGATTACATATATGTATGTATATATATATACACACAAATAATATGACATATTTGGGCTACACGGGGAATAAAACTGATTTTGGAATTGCTCAAGTTTTTTCACTATTTATGGCAGGTATATCTCCACGTCTAGATTCTAGATGATTTCCACACCCAAAATGGGTGCTATCAATTGGGGGGACTATGAGAAGCAGGAGTTTTGCAATATCATTTGTGAAGCACCAGCTGTGCAAGTACAAGCCCACGGGTATGCCCTGGAATACGTGGAGAAATTGAGCCTCAGTGCTGCGCAAGACAAGCGTGTGTGTGTGGGAGATACTTTAGAGCAAAAAGATGGTAACTACCCTCCGGTAATCAAACGTGGCAAGCTGGGAAAGTCCATTATAAATGGAGGTCTTTTTTTATCCGGAAAATCAACTATAAATTGGGAGTTGTGGGAATTGTCCTTTGCCACGTTTGATGACCAGAGGGTATTTATTAACCAATCTTGAGGGTCACCCAAGAATTCCTCCCCTCGTTGCTGTTCTCAGCTCAGGGGGCTGTCAATATGAATAATTAGCCGGAACAGGTGGAATAGTATATTGTCAGAATGAATGTCAGGATATAAGATTAACATAAATTATGTAAGTCAAAATGCAAGATTCTATGTCAGAAAACATGGCATAACATAATATGCACGATGCGTCGCTTTAGTAATCCCCTGCCCCCAATTGATACTAAACCAGGGGCCCTCCCTAATAAGAATCACCTCGAGTAGTTTTATCATTAGGGGGTATTTAGTTTTGGGGTGCGAAGCCTCCCCTAATATTAGAACTAAAGCTTAATTGAAAAGAACTGAAATGGTCCATTTCAAAATCGATTAAATTCCTCTTAACATCTAATTAAACTATTACCAAAAATTGGATTTCGGAGCTTACCACTAGCAATGAAAGTATAACCTTAATTTAAAACAAAAAGACACCTTTCATCATTGATCAAGTCTCTTATTAATAATCCAATTAGAATATTACAAACAATTTATATTCTATTTCGGAGCTTCCCCGAAAAATGAAATTAACAAACAAACAAAAAATCAATGACGGACCCTGTAAAAAAAAAAACGCAGCGGATTAGCTAGTTTTTATTATCATGAAATCAACCCTCAAATTGGACCTTGATGTTTTAATTGGTTTCTAAAGGGGGTAAATTAAACATCAATTTGCCACTTTATTTTTCCAAACTTGGAAACAGACCCTAGTTTTGAATATGTTGGGTACTTTTATATAGTGATAGGGGGACGGGATTATATGTTTATTTATTCCCATCCATCCAAAGCTGGGAGAATCCCACTGTGTTCCTCCCTTTGACGCTTCAAAAGGTTTCTACCCAACAGTTGATTCGCTTCTCAAAATACCACTTCGAATTTGGACATATCTTGGTTGATTTTTAATTGGAATGTGACCACATCACGAGGGCCATTGGGAGATCTGATTTCTGACAAGAGAAAAAAATTGTTGAAAATACTGAGGAAATCGGAACTACAACTCTCTGACTTGCCACACAAGCCAGAGTTTGCAAGGCAGCAAAGTTTGCTGTCTCTGAATCTCAAAGGCAATTTCCATCGCCTTGTGAGTGCCTTCGAACATATTTCTCTGAGGCCGGGCAGCTGGTCACGAGTTGCACCCTGAATTTTTCAGGGCTTGACCGGTTGACCCCAGATATGATTCCCTTGATTTGAAGATATTTGAAGCACGTTGAAATCCCATGCTTTCAACAGACTTTGAAGAGACACTTTCAATGATGTTGACCCCGGAGTAATGAACCAATCGCTTCGTTCTTTTTAGCGTTTTTTTTCCCGCATGATACAGTTGAATACAGTTGACAGAACCGTTTCAGACACCTATTGTGGATTCCGGATTGGTTCTACTGCTGGCAAGGCACAACGGAACAATGGATTCCTCAATGTTTCCATATCAGACTAGTATTATATAACTCGAGTAAAATCAAACCAGGCAATGCCATGTTAGCAATGTGCCGCTGAATGCAAACATCGATTCCCGGGGAAAACATCAACGGCGAATATGGCGAGGTTGTCCATGAGAAACCCATCGCCACAATCGGACTTGGGTCGCACTGATGCGTGAAACCGTTGAAATCCGTTAAGGCATGTGAAGACATGTGGCCAGATGTTGGATGAACTTGCTCATTTTGAGGGCATGTAAAAAAGACAAATAGCTTGTGAGTGCTGAATGTTGACCCATGACCGTATTTCAGATGAGGTCTTGAATCACTGAAAATCTCAGCGATATCGAGACGCACACCACTTTGCAAATACAAAGGACGTCCACGGGCAGCCGCATCATTTGGCTACAAGGTAGCTGGAAGACTTGCTTACATTAGCTGCAAAATGGTCACCATTCCTGTTGGTTAAAAGTTCCACTCGAATTGGGTCACATCACAATGTGTTGGGCTGAAAAGATTGTCAAACCTGCAGCCTCGCCTTGAAGCAAACTGTTAACGGCCCGTGGAAGAAAGGTGGAACATTCTAGAGTCACGATAGAACAAACATAGTGAACAAAATCTTCAAACCGTACTGGTTGAAGGGAGAATGTACAGAAAAACCTATAGTTTTGGATGGAAACCATGGTCTTCTCCACATATCTTCAAACCAGTCCAGATATTTCCACCACCCGTTTTTCAACCTGGGCAGCTCGCATCCTTTCCGTGGGACGTCCACTTTCATGGCCTTGTTGGCGACACGGTGCTCCAAAGGAGTCCGACTCGACGCTGGGCCGCGACTGCCATGGTAGTTGCGCTTTACGCCTCGAAGAGAATCTATGTCCTTCAAGGAGGTGGTGAATACCATGGGGAAAAACATGACTACCGATGTTCATTTAACACTTGGGTCTAAGTGTCTGGAACTACAGGAAACAATCACAACTTTCCCGTTTGAAAGTGTTTTGGCCCGCAAAGGCAACACTTCATCATATTGTGAGGGATGATGACACCCACTCTTCACTGTACCTTCTGGTAATCAAACATGGCTGGCTGGAAAATCTCCTGTAAGTGGAGGTTTGAATGTGAGAAAATCACCTATAAATTGTGGATTTTCCATTGCCGTGGTTCCTGACCGGAGGGTAAATGTTCTGATCTTTGGCTATTCGGGTAAGACACCAATGTATGGCTCCAAAGCCCGGAGCAGTGGATTTTTTTCTCAAGTGTAGCATTTCTTTTCGGGGCAGAATTTTGAAGTGTATTGATCTAATGCAAAGCAGCCTCCGTTGCTGTGATGAGAGAAATTTTCGTCGGTCCAAAAGTACGGGCGTTACACCATGCCTTTGAGAAAAACGTCTGAAAAATGGCTTTGTGAGGCTTTGGGCTGGAAGGTTGGAAGATTTTGGAAGAGTTGGGAAGGTTGGAAGCCTGAGACCCTTGAGGCAAATCTGCCAACGGATGTTTGATTGCTCTTCCGAAGCATGAAGATAGGTTTCTCCAGCAACAAATGTGATCAGTTTGTCTCCGGCTAAACCTCTGTATCAAGTAGCTGCTGGTACAACTGAATCTTTTTCCATGGGAATGTGGGAATATATACCAAGCTACCCAGCCTCGAGATCAGCTGGTGTCAGCATGGCTGGGGCTGCTCCGAGGTCAAGATTTCCTTCGCAGATGTCTGGCAAAGGAGTGGGCCTTCAACTGATGTCATGGCTTTGATAGAACGAGTCGAGTCACGGATGGTGGGATGTTTTTTCCATCACACCCGGAGTAGTTGGGCGTTCCACAGAAATGGTAGATCCCCATGTCACCGTGGGTTTCAATCCAAAATGGTCGTTTATGACTTGGATGATTTGGGGAGCCCTCATTTTACAGAACTTTATCCATCTTCCCAGCTTGCCATGTTTGATTCCAGAGGGGTAGACGTGCCACTTTTGGAGGAGCTTCGTGCGCGACCGACCTCCAGACGTGTCGGGTATCCAGTGTTTTCCTGGGAACGGGGAAGGGATTTCATCTCTACCTTGTGCTATTTCAACATAGCTAAGAATGGCCCATTTGAATCCATTTGAACTTGATCGCTTTTTTCAAACCATAGCTATTTACTCTCCATCTACCTATGAATTACCATAGTTAACCCATGTTAACCCATAGTTTGTTAGTTAACCCATAGCCCCTTTAACCTTTGAAAATGGGACAAACTTCGATCCAAGGGATCCACCGGATCGTAAAAAGCACGCCGCTTTAGAAACGAGACGGAAAACGCCATAGCTCACTTGGTGTACCACGTGCTGTCATCATTTTATATATCACACATACATAAATATACATTTTATATATTTTCATATAATTGCATATGATATATTTATGATATATGAAATTATGATATGATATTATGATATGATATGATATGATATCTTATGATATGATATGATATCTTATGATATGATATGATATGATATATATATATATATATATTATAGCGTCTTTTTTGTACATACACATATCATATCATATCATATCATATCATGTCATATCATACCATATATCATATACCACTTATATAGCACATCATATCATATGATCGTCTTTTGAATAGCCATGTACACCTCGATTTCATCCAGGAAACCATGTGCCGATGTTTGCCAGTTGTGGGCTGCAGCTGCAGCTCCCCATCCCAAGGTGGAGCCCCTTTTCAGGATCTCGCTTCGAGAGTCATAAAATGATTCGTGACATGTTCTCAAAACTGAGGTGCATACTTAAACCATAGTTATGAAGCATATTAAAAAAAAAAAAAAACAATCGTTTCCTATACTGGTTGGTGGTTTGGAGCATGTTTTATTTTTCCATAATATATGGGAATAATCCTTCCCAACTGATTTTCATATTTTTCAAGATGGTTAAAACCACCAACCAGTATCGTTTTCACATCATGTTTACCCATCTCTTTGATGCTTAGAACCCATGGTTCTCGAGGTCTTGGAGTCCTCCTGGTTCACGGAGCCGCCAGAGGAATCGCCCAAGCCGGAGGCACCATGGTTGATGGCTTGGAACATGTGGAATTAGAGTGGCTTGATGTGGATTTATAGTTGATTTATAGTTGATTTGTAGTTGATTGATGATTTTAATTTGTTTATCTAGTTGATTTGTAGTTGATAATGATTGTTGATTCATAGTTGGGTATAGATTTGTGATGATTTTTGGATATTTCCCTGAAGATTTGCGGAATCTTTAGGGAACCTAAACGGAAATTTTCATGGTGAGAGTATTTTTTTCTGGTGGGTGGTTTGGAACATTTTGTATTTTTCCATCTATTGGGAATAATCACCCCAACTGACTTTCAGATTTTTCAGAGGTGTTGAAACCACCAACCAGTTTTTATTGATGATATGAATGGAATATTCATGGGGATACTGTGGGATCTCTATGATGACCAAACACCTCCGAAAACCTCTCGACATACGGAATGATGCGTGCTATAACCATCAATGCGCACCATGTAAGCTGCTTGGAAGCTGGGTTCACTAGGCTAGGCTTCACAATGGGTATCGAACTAGTCAACAAACATTTCACCAGATGATGTTCACTTTATTCCCGTTTATAGCTGTTTCTTTCCCACATATTTCATTGCCATGTTTTATAAACCAACAAACATAACGTTTGAGGAAACCACCTTGTATCTCCGTCGGATTCTCTTTGGAGAGGTGGTATTTTTTTGGGGTATGGAATGTCCAACTTTAAAAACTAACTACTACTATAGTCAGTATAATATAATTGTTTCACCAGCAAAATGATCTACAGTCATAGTGGATTTTCCATATATATATATATATATGACAAATTGACCCAAATCAAAAGATTGCCCAAAAATCTGCGGTTCCGTTCTTTTAGGCCTTTACTTTGGAGGCCGGCCCATCCCAGCATTTGAAAAACGGAAAGCCACCTCCGACAGGGCGACCGGCGGCAGGTCAAGGCACACTGAAGGGGAAGTCATGCGGATTTGGTTCGAAACTATTCGAAGTGATTTGCAGCCAGACAAGCACAATCATGGAGAATGTAAGACACGATAACATAGTTTCCCACGTGTTTTGAAAGCCTGGAAAACGATGTTATACACTCTTCAAAAACTAATGACTTGGGGCTATGCAATAAATATAGACGGCTGATGCTGGGCTCAATGGTTTTGATCCATAGCGGTATTTGTAGTAGAACCTACCTCTTGATACATGTGGCGGAGCAAGTAGCCTGCATTGAACTATTGGCGGCATGTCAGCTATATTCTTTGTTTCTTCGTTCGTTTGTTGTGGTTTTTGAAATTCTGTGTGTGAGTCTGTCAACACCTGTTTCTAAGGAGCACCGGCAAGAGTGCACAATAAGACTTCAAGTATGTCAAGTACGGGACTACGAAAAATCAAGCCTTATCCTCCTGCCAACGCCTGCATTGCTTGCGGCGTACCAACGAAGGAGTCTCCGCGCTCCAAACTTCAAGTTGCATTGGAAGGCCCAGCGCAACCGCTACGTCCGACGGCACTAGCCTGATGATGATAGAGTGAGGGTCCCACTAGCCGGATGAAGGGAGTACTACTATGGGAGTACTACGCTGTTGTTGCTGCTGTTGTCCTCGTCGTTGTTGTTGTTGCTGCTGCTGTTGTTGTTGTTGTTGCTGCTGCTTTGCCTGCCATTTTGATGGGATTCATCAAAGTTTTGCGGTGGTCATGGAAGGGAAGGGTGCATTGTCCAGAACTTCTTGGGCTTATTGGCTTGAAGCTCTTCTTCTCTGGTCATGTTGAGTGTTTTCCGGTTGGTTGTTTTAAACATGCCGTGTTTTCCATGTTGGGCCGATGATCCCAAACCGGTTCCCATTGCCATT